TCGGATAGCCATCGTAGCGTATATAGCAGGATTATTGTTCATGCAGGTGGTGAAATGGGCATTATACCAAACGCACAATTGATATTTAAATCAAAGTCGGAGTCGGGTGACTGTAATAATGACATAAACAAATCAAATTTTATGAAATGTCTACAAGGCAAATTTATATCTAATTTACCGCCTAAAAGTTTAAAAGTGATATATAATGCACCCTATCATTCTGTGAAGGTGAATGAAGCACCAACATTGAATTCAAACAAAGCTAATATGCAAAATTGGATCACGAGGGGCTATCTTATGTGCCTACTACGGTGAAAGCTCAATTACATGAAATTATAAAACAGCATAAAGAAGCTCCAATATATGAAGCTGATCAATTGTTGTGGCGTATGGACACAAAGTGGCTGAACTTCCACCTTACCACTGCGAAATAAATGCGATAGAATTTATCTGGAGCCTTTTAAGAGGCGTGTAGCTAGTAACAATGTTAGACGGGAAAAAGATAACATAGTAAAATTAAAGAAGATTTACAATCTATTACTGCAGAAGACCGGCAAAAGCAATGCAAAAACGTGCGCTACATTAAAGATTGATTTTTAAAACAGACGGATGTATAGATGTTAAAATGGGCAAATTTATTATAGAATTGAATAGAATAGAATACATTTTTATTCAATATAGATCACATGTGTAATGTAATGTAAGATAGCTGACAGTTAGCAATGGTATCTCAAGGCGCCTAAGTAGACACCTTATCTTGAGAATCCATCACCATCAGAGCACTTGGTTCACCGTTTCCACTAATAGTTCACATGCGTAGACACTTACACAAAATCGCACCACTTTTACATATCAAAGTCCACTTCAAACCATTATTTAAATAATAATACAGGAGCAGCAAACCGCCGCCCATCAAGTTCCCGTCAAAACCCCACGTAATTACTGTAGTGAACAAGGACATAGAGTAAGGAAATGCAAAAAGTGGATCAGTGAAGGGAGGCTACCCAGACAAATAAGCGTGAATGTAAATAAAACTAATCAAACGGCTTTATTGATGGACAATCTGGTCGATACGACTAACTGGTTTTTTTTTTTGGAGTTTATGGCCTGGTATCTAGACCTTTAGGCCAAGTCTTAAGTATTTTTATTCGGTTTATTGTAATTTCCCCACTCCTTCATAGTATACTGCTTCACAATATGTTGATGCGTCACATTGTGCAGTTCTTGGGAGATTTTGGCGGCAACTTGATCCAGCAGACAGCTGATAGTTGGCGATGGTATCTAAAGGTGCCTATGCAAACAAACAGCTTATCTTGAGAATCCATCACCATCAGAGCACTTGTTTCACTGTTTCCACTAATAGTTCACATGCGTAGACACTTAATACACAAAATCGCAACACTTTTACATATCAAAGTCCACTTCAAACCATTATTTAAACAATAATACAGGAGCAGCAAACCGCCGCCGGTCAATTTCCCGTCAAAACTCCGACTAACTGGTATGCGCATAAGGGTGTTACCAGTTACATAACCAATAAAGGGGATTTTTTAACATTTTGAATATTTTAATAGTTCTCACAGGTGCTAATGGACAAAGTATCGATTCTGTTGGAATCGGTACTGTCCGTTCGAATAATTGCATCTGGGCACAAAATAAGAGAAATTGTTTCTGATACATACATACATACATACATACATACATAAACACTCACGCCTGTCACCCAGAGGGGTAGGCAGAGATTATGGACTTCCATTTGGCACGATCCTGACACACCTCTCTCGCTTCCTCCACATCCATATACCTACGCATACACGCTCGTCGGTTAAAGGTACTCTTGATTTGGCCCATTTTTAATATATCGCCAATTTGGTCGATAAACTTTCGCCTAGGGCGACCCTTCCCGACTATGCCGTTCACCTCTGCAACATAAATTTGCTTTGTCACTCTTTCCTCATTCATTCTTTCTACATGGCCAAACCACCGAAGCATTCCTTTCTTAATCCTGGTCACAACATCATCTTGCAAACCACACTCTTCTCTTATTAAACAATTTCTCACTTTGTCATTCAGCTTCATCCCTAACATACTCCTTAATGACCGCATTTCTACAGCATTTATTCTACTCTCATGCTTCTTCTGCCACACCCAACTTTCACTACCATACATTAAAGTAGGTACTAACACAGCATTGTGAATTGCCATACGTGCCTTTTTGGACACATTCTGACTTTTCACAATAGAGTGTAGAGCCCCATTCACTCTATTTCCTGCATTCACTCGTCGTTCTATATCCTTATCATATCTACCATCCCTGCTAAACACACATCCCAAATATACAAACTCATCTACTTGCTAATATTAATTGTTTCTGATAATGGGGGAGAATTTGATAACCAGAAGGTCCATGACATTTTACGCATTAATGGCAATACTCAAAGATTGACTATGTCATATACTCCTGAACAAAATGGAGTGCACGTTTGAGTTGAATTTTGGATAGTTTACAAGAAAACTATGCCTCCCGCGTTCGACACTAGCGGTCAATCATAGACGACTTTGGCGTGCTGGATATAGTATTTGCTTAGATAAAAATCCATTTTTTTTAGTTCAATGTTGCTTAGTACTTGTTGCTCTAGTAGACTTGTTTTTTATACTCACACGTTGCTGGGTTATTCTTTTTTGAAGGGTGTAGAATTAAAATACCAGTAATAATTTTCCAACATCTATATTTCATATTTTTGTGGGCCGGGTTTTTTGCCAACTATAGACGTCGTTGGCGCTCAGGGCCCGCAGGTGCTGGTCAAGAATAGGCGGCTTTGGCGGTCAAAAGGTTAAATGGCTTTTATACTCAACCAAATTTAAGAAATACCTTTTGACAGCTGTCACATTTATTGCACTAAGCATTCCAACGGAAAAGATCGGTATTACTTACAATATTCGATTTTTAAGAAATATCGATTAGATTTGGTAAACAATAACAGTGTTCAGCTTTGAACATTACAACGCAGCGACACTGTGACCGCGTTATCAGAACTCACGTAAACCAATCGTTTTGCTGAATAATCTTAGAATATGACGTAAATTAGTGACTGTATTGACCTCAATGATTATAATCCTCATTTATTTTTTATATTTATATCGTTTCAAATTTTTAATGTTGGATAGAGTGACGACTTGGTCAGAGATGCAGGAAGTAGGTGGATACAGGTGGCTCATGACCGTACTTGGTGGCATTCCGTAAGATAGGCCTATGTTAAACAGTCGCGAACTGTTTAACATTGAATACGGTAAACATTTCCTTTGAAAAATGATTTACCACATTTTCGAATAAATAAAATATTATGAGATGTTTATTTAGCAAAAAAAAATTGTAAAATTTTCTGCTTCTTAACTCTCTAAGAACTGGGGGAAGGAACTGTATCCAAAAATGGGATTTATGTAGATTTTTTTTACCTTTATCCAAAACAATTTTTCATAGATCACATCGTTTTCGGAAATTTCATTTTAAGATAGTGAAAAAACACTTAGATGAGTGAAACAATAAAAATAAAACGTGGCGTTTATTTGTTATTTTTTATTTTGAAATCAATAATGAGATTTTAAACTGTTGCTCTTAAGAATCATTATTTTATACAAAAAATATTGTAAGCTTTTAGTATATTGGCTTTGATTTTATATTCAACAAATACAACGATTTAAATAAAATGACCAGATTAATAGGTTTATAATATTACTAATAATAAATGTTTAATCGTAGTCAGATTTATAATAAAATTAACAAGTAAATGTGAGTGTTGGTTAACGTTTTTAATTGAAGGAAGGTTACATTTTAAAGCACTTTTTATTTTATATATCAAAAGTATTCTTAGCTTTATTAAGGAGTTGTCTTTTGTATCGACAAGTGTACTTTAGTTACTTTACTTAAATTAAAGTCCGCTATGGAATTTCGTTTTTGTAAGCAGGTTATTATAACAGAGGGTTCTCATCAACTCTGGCGACAGTCGAGAGATCCCTCGTTCTATTTATCAATAAAAACTATATACCACCTACTCACGTACAAAATATTGTGCAAAAATCGTAATATAAATAAATCACATACATAATGTATATATCTAGTGACAATAATGAAATGTCAAATTAATCAGCATTCATTTGAACACAAGAATAAAATGACAATATAACCATGATTGTGCAAAAATGAAACAATATTACCTATTATCACCTTATGGGGATCATCGACAACTGCTTTTTGCCCCTTTTTCAGCGTTTGTAGTCTGGCGTTACTACAAACGAGAATTACAAGAAAAAAGCCGTAGCCGATAATCTATCATTATTTCGTAAATAAAATGGTCCCTAAAGAAATTAATACAAAGAAAAATTTCAAATCACACTCATTTCTGGTCTCCAGACAGAGACTCTATACGTATTTAACATACAAAAACATACACTAACAATTATGGCAACGTTGACAATAAATAAATAGAAAACGTATTCACAAGGTATTAAAGGCTTTTTTTTTTAATTTGATAGAATAAATACTGCCAATATAAGTAAGTAGTCAACTGAGTAACTTGCACAGATTGTAGAAAAAAGTATACAAGGCAACAAGTGCAGACTTTAAGTTTACTACTATCGTTCTTGATCCTAACTAAAAGCCACATTCGCAAATTTTTTACAAGCTTGGCTTCATCCGCGAATACGTTAATTTATGGTTAGTATAATCTAATAAACATACCGGCACTTCGTTAAAATGCTATGCCAGACCCTTTGACACCTTATTTTTGTGATTTTCATTATTTTTATTATACATTTATACTTAGCTCGTAACATGTTGAAAAAAATATGCAAATAATTGTTTTAAGTATATTATTACGTATCATAGCGACTGTCATAGCACAATAATTAACACACAATCGATAAAACTACAAAATTGAAAAAACAAAAGAATCGTTTTCAATGTTGCGGTTTAACGTGGTTAAGCGTGTAAATTGTTTTATCTAAAGTCGGAACGGTTCGCGTTTCTCCGTAGTTCGAGATGATGCTGGAGTGCCGCGTCGAGTCAGAGGCGTAGTAGGTGCTCCACTATCTGACGCATCTGATTTTTTTCGGAGCAAACGTGAAGTCGCTGTCTGTTGTCCAGGTCGCACGGGTGTGGTACTGCCCGATGGCGTCCTTTGCCTATTAAACGATAATTTTATTAAAGTAATATATATTAATTACTACGAAATACATGCACCAAACTAACAAACATGTAACTTATTCCACAAATAATACCCCAGAAGGTACGAAAAATAAAGACAAAATTTACAGTCACTACAAAATCACAGTAAGCTAAGTGAGTTGTTATGTGATAGGAAAGAATTGAATTACCTAGTAACGTTACTGTTAGTGTGCTGATCCTTAAGAACCGGTATGCGACTTCGGCCAGGTGTTTGTCCTTCCGTGGAGGCAAACGACCCGCTCCTACGATGATGTTAGTGAGCACATACACGTACAGAACATTAGTGACAGACAACAGAGAAGAATATGTTATTCGTTTGTTATCGCACATGAGAGTGTTTAGTAATATTCGAAAACATGTAACTTAAGCCTATGTCAAATTATGTATATAAAATTTTAACGTACATTGCTGCAGTAAGAAGATAAAAGTTAACGACAGAATCATTCTTAAATATAAAAATAATTCAACTGTAATGAAAATACTAATTTAAGTTCAACGGATTGTAAGTAATACTGACTTAACACTGTGGTGGGTAATTAACATCGCATGTGCAATAACAATGTCAGAAACAGAAGGTCAAACGATATTATAAGAAAAAAAGGTTTAGCAAGGAGGCGACATATAAAAGCTTTCAATAATAGTATAACTGTTAAAATTATTTAAAATACAACTGCAAAAAGGTATATATTCCAAAACCATATTAAGATCACAAAAATGTGCTATTAGTTCATAGACGAGTATTCTCATTAAGTATAATGTGCATAAGCTTATGGTAAATTTGAAAGAGTTGCATATATTGATACTTATAAATGAAGCCTGAATGTGCATTAGTGTGCAATAATAATTTAAAATATATGTATCTATTGCGTTTTTCGATTTCATGAACTGTGTAAATGTACGACACAAGTACAAGCAAATGAGAGGTGACGAGCATGGAGAATCGACTGTACTATACGTCGAAGCTTTATGTAACCGTGAATGGATATGATGCCGTGAAGTCAGAAAGTTATCAAATTTCAACGAGCTTCAATCAAAATAAACGGGCAAAACTACAGTTAACATTCTAGAAGCTTGTACCCTTTAACGTTGCGCTGAGTTGGCTTTGGTGCTTCACCACTTGACTCGCTTATATTACTTTCATATTCATTGTCGCTCGTCATTCCAGATATGCTGAACAGTGAAGAATCATCTTCTGGACTCCTCTGGTCGGATTTTCGCGAGGGATCATGGGATGTAGGACTAGGTTCTAAAGAAATTTCTCTGGAGTGAGATTTACGTGGTATTTTCAGACTTCGATCAACGGAGGGTGACCTTTGTGAACGGTTGCCGACATATACCGGTATCTTTGTGGAACCTTGGGTTTGGAATGCTGGATGGTTATATGATAGAGATTTGGGATGTTCAGATGCCATCGACGACGGTTGGGAATGTGTCGAGCTGTTTTATTTTGTGTCCATTTCGTATTGCATGGCATGCGGGAAGGAAAAATATAGTTATTTAATAATCATCAATACCCAATCCTTTTTATATAAATATAATATTGTTAGATTAATTTCTACACTGTTTAAAATTTAAAGCAATGTTATCTTTGTTTATCGAACTACTTGCAACATGCTTAAATCTCGTCGTAACTTTGAAGTTACTCGTATATTACATTATACATATTTTCTCTCCGAAGTGTACTGAAATAGTTCAATTACTACCACCACCACCACCACCACAGAAAAACCTTGTGAAATCACAAATATATGTCTTGTAACGTTCACCCAACACATATGTATATATATGCGTCTTGTCCCTAAAATACATACGTCAAGGTAGACCTCACTACAAAACCTATAACCCCAAAAAGCAATATAACGTGCCAATTCCAATTGATATTTTCCATAATTATGATCGCAATTTGTTTATTTTTAACTTTTTAAGTTAACTTTTAAGTAAGTAAGTTTTGTTAGTATCGTTAACTTTTTGTCTTATGTCAATTTTACTAGCTCAGTTAAAAAATAAAAAAATTGCAGTCATGATCATCCTATCCCTTTTACAAACAACGCATCCAACAAACTCCAATCAGTTTTTATACCTCACTAAGGCCGGCACCGGTGACAGTGTCGGTATACTGGACGTGCGATACATCCCCCCGCTGGTATACCTGCCCATGTGCATCATTGTCCAGTTGGAATTACAAATTTAAAGTTGTGGGATTTTCACTTTTTAATGCAAGTATAGTGTACGTTAAAATAATAAAATTAAATTGTTTTAATTCACGTGGATTCATTCAACTTAGTTAACAATTACAGATACTTTAGTTTTATAATTTCTTTAAAGTTTACATTTAATGTAATCGAAACGTACCTTCCACTGGCCGGTGTAAGGAAACCTGTCGGTGTCCTTGGCCGGGATCCACCATTAGGCGTGGTTACTCCTAGCTTACTAGCTGTAGCAGCAGCTCGAGCTGTTGATGCCCGCGTATTTGTCACTTTACGCATCGGGATACGGGATGGTGTTAAAACTTCGTCTGTATAGAGAAAATATTTTATTGCAACACAAGTTAGCAGCTACTAAACACTCAATTTGAAACTTTAAATTTTATACCTGTACTATCTAGGGAGAGGTTCGATCCATGCCTTGAAGGTGGTTTGGATCCCGTCCTTGACCCTGGCCTTGAACCTGGTCGTGAACCACCAGGTGTTAGAGTTGATCTAAGAAAAACATATCAAAATAAATAAACAACAAAAATATCACTCAAAAAGACCTGTTAAAATTTCGGTTAAAAGTTAAAAAGTTACAAGGCAATCAAATAAACAAGGAGACGTGACTCAGTTTCTTAAGCGATCACCAAAAAATTATTTTTTTATTACCTAGGCACACTTGGTTTCCTATATCTGGTTCCGAGTCCACTTGCTGCTTCATTATCACTAAGAGAATCAGGTGTACCAGCGCTGAGAGAAGATCTTGACGCGCGACCAGTAGCTCCTGTCCCTGACATGGGCACAGAGCGAACTGTTCGTTCCCTTACCTGCGTATTTTAAGAAAAAGAATTATTATAAAATCGAGAAATTTGCTCACTTACGTTGCTCACATACATAAAACACTTGAAACTATTAAAAATATAATATTAAATAGTTGAATTGTCATTTAATTACAAAAGCAGTTGTATGTTACACCGTGTTTGTGAATATTTCTGTGATTTTTATCAATATCTAATTTACGAGCATGCTGAACTAGAATAGGTTATTCACCAATATGAATAACAATTTCTAACACAATGACAACGATTTCACATAATAGAACTAAAACGAAAATCAAAAAATTCAATTCAAAATAATTGAGGTGCATTTCAATCTCAACACTTTCACATTGCCTAAATAGCGTTACCCAATGATATCCTGGAGAAGGCTGGTATCCATGGTGATGCGTATAGTGATGTGCGCCTGGTGTTGTAGAGCCCTGAGATCTTGAGTGTCCGTAAATGAAAGCTTGCTTTGTGCCATGCGTCGATCCCACGTGCAGCGGGTACGAACACGGAAGCTCTTCCCGTTGTCTTAGGGCCTCAAAAATGGGCCTCAGCTGCTCCATGAATTCTTCAGCTAAACCGACCAATACAAAACCGGGACTTTCATTAAGGATGGAAAGGCATACAGCCAGTACCATTACATACAAATCTTTCATAGTGCCAATCTTGTTGCCACAACGCGCATTTACGAGGTTTCAACGGTGTTACGGTTAATTCACACGCTTGATTGACACGGACGCGGGAGAATTTGAAATTTTCGGGTATGATGGGATCTAACGGAAGGGATAAACGAAATACTTTACCATGAGGTCCACAGGCGTTGAAGTGCCACCTCTCCAATGCAGTGGTTCCAATGAATAATTACACTAACGAACAACACCAAACACTACACGAGCTTATACTTCAATACAGCCTTGAGCACACCAATGCAATACGAAATCAAATACTACGAGCTGAACGCATGCTGCACTCACGAAACTGCCTCTTGCAAATGGATACAGAAATCCATGTACAAAAGACAACAGAAAAAGCGAAAACAAAAAATAAATCCCAAACCGATTGCTCCCTCTATCAACTACGTGCGTTTTATGTAGTACGTGTGCGAAATTACATCTATATTCTAACCTGTTGAAGGAAAATTAATTATTTTTTTAATAGTTATAGGAACTATTAGCTACTTACCTTTGTTATAGGTCCTGTGGATGGTGGCGTATTTGTGTTAGAGCGGGGCGTACGTGGTCGGAACGCTGCCATGCTCTGTGATACTCCATCGGCCAATATGAACTGTTCCCGCAGTTCGATGTTCGTGCGTCCCTTAGCTGCATGCGGGCGGCGTCCAGTGCGTGGGATTGCAAACAGGATGGGCAGAGGAAGGGCAAAACGAAAACCATTCGGTAATAGGAATGTTAAAAAAATAACACATAAGTGTAAAACGAGGATGCGTGCAATGGTAGTAGGGTAAGAAAGGAGGAAAAAAAAATAACAAACATAATCAGAAAAAGTCAAACAAAACAACACATCAAAAAAAATTGGATATTTATTTGCAAAAAGGGTGCAATTAGGAAAAGGAATTTTAAAAATACAATTAGTTTATTGTCACCAAAACACACAAATTTAATAAACCAAGAGCAAGTTTGAAGGAAAAGATTTAATATATTCCTTATTTAAAATCAAAATGATTCGTTATCATTTCTAATTATAATTAAAATTGTGAAAATGAATATTTACAATATGGGCTTGCTAAATAAAAAAAATATAACTTGCACTTGTTTTATTTTAAGATAAGTATCTACATTATTATTAAAAAAGAATGCAAAAATATGTACTTAATGCAACCAAATACACTGACATGCTATATTAATTAATATTTACGTAAAGCATTATTTTAAAATAGACGAGTTTGTACCCAGTATAAAAATAAAGAACAACTATGTGCTTAATATTTATAAATTAGTGGTGATAAAATAACTACAATAAAAGCAAGATATCCCCATCCCAAAAATAATAATATAGCTATTTAAAAGTAATACGATACAAAATTATAGCCACACCAAGTATAACAACTAGCATTAGAACCAATCTTTAATTAGAAAATGAAAATAATTTCTTTAATGTTCGGATATTTAAACAATTAAAGGTAGGTTCCAAAAGCTAGTCACATTATCTTACCGAGCGGGCAACAAGCTTCATGCTGCTCCGGCTTGCTCGGATCAGGCAGCGGTAGCACTAATGATACTACTTATTTAAGGTTTGTTTAGGAAGGATGGAACGCAAAAAATAATATTAATGAAAACAAAACATAATGGAAGAAGGATTTGGATTGGATAAAGCCAATACGAATTAGTGAATTAGTAGCAACATCAATATTTATCGTGTATAATTTTGCGTTTTGTTGTACTAGCAATAAAGGTTATAAACGTTTCGTGGAAAATGTGAGATAGTCATGAAATACTACTGTGGTTTTTAAGTAAGACTGTTACGTTTAAAATAAAATGCGCGTAGATATTGATTAAATTATTTTTTCTAAATCTAATTATAAGTATCAATTATTTTATTTAATAAAAAGCTAATGATATATTATAACGCTGCTATATATAACTGCTATGGAATTAACTGGCAACATTTTTATTTGCGCATGTCAAAATCGTCGCGTCAAATTCATGGATTCGCGTTCGATCGTGGCCGTGGTATTTTGTCGGTCGCCAAGCGTTGTCATATGAAACAACTATGGAAACCGGTTGTTATTTTTAAGACCGTGGTACATTTAAGATATAATTACTCCATTGGTGTTTAAGTCACAATGACGGGAACCATCATTGAAAATCTTAGCGGTAGAAAACTGGCTGTATTAGTCACGTTTCTTTTGTTATGTCAAGTAACATGTTTTCTCATCGGCGGATTAGTCGCACCCACGCCAGCCAATGCTCAGAATATACTTGCTACAGTATGCAAGGACACGACAATTATGAAAAATGATACTACAAAGTGGTTTTACAACCGCGGTAAAGGTTCATGTAAAACTGTCCACCTCGGCGACATGCATACAGACTTGAGCGAAACTGATGTTGTTTTTGCGTTCCAAATGCCGGTTCCGCGAGACGACAGAATCTTAGACTTCTCCAGATGGCAACAAAACTTAATTGGTGTTTTACAGTTGGATTTGAAGTATCATTCTCAAATGGAAGTTAAACCTAGAAGTACAATAACTATAGATGCCCGACTTGCGTACAAGAACAAAGGCGACGCAGATGAAGACTGGAAACTTTATACTCGGTCCGTCGAAAAACGACATTTAGACTGTGGTATTGAAGTGAAAACTGAAGAATATTTGTATAATTGTTCTGCAATACCACTTTTTGAACTTGGTTCTTTGCATCATGATTTTTACCTACTCAATATAAGATTACCAGTGGACACGCCCGACATGAATACTAACATTGGCCACATACAAGATTTATGGCTTACAGTCATTAACCAAAATGGAGGATTTACAAAAGTGTGGTTGTCTTTAAAAACTATATTTTTTCCATGTATCATTGCAATATTAGCCTGGTTCTGGAATCGCATTCACATGCTACAAAGAAAACCTGTATTATTGGAAAAGATGCTTTTGAGTCTTGGAATAGCATTATGTTTTCTTAACATGCCATTAGAATATCTTACATTACATTTTGATCTTCCATTTATGCTACTTTTGGGAGATATCAAACAGGGTGTATTTTATGCAATGTTATTTTCATTTTGGCTTGTTTTTGCTGGTGAACACATGTTGATTCAAGATGCATCTGCTCAAAGTTCTTTGAAGCAGTACTGGAGACATTTAAGCGCAGTAGCAATGGGCTGTATTTCACTTTTTATATTTGACATGTGTGAAAGAGGTGTTCAGTTGCGCAATCCATTTTATTCAATCTGGGTGACAGACTTAGGCACGAACCTTGCTCTGACCTTCATAATACTAGCTGGCATATCTACTGGAGTGTACTTTTTATTCTTGTGCTATATGGTGTGGCAGGTGTTCATTAATATATCTCAAAAACGTCAATCACTACCAACTATGTGTTCTGTAAGGCGATTGCATTATGAGGGGATTATATATCGTTTCAATTTTTTGATGTTGGCAACGTTGTTATGTGCTGCGTTAACCGTAATTGGATTTATTTTGGGGCAAGTTGCAGAGGGTCAATGGAAATGGGACGAGACTATTGAGATAGAGTATGCTTCAGCATTCTTCACTGGAGTGTATGGAATGTGGAATATTTACATCTTTGCTCTACTGGTACTGTATGCACCAAGCCATAAGCGCTGGCCTGTCAGTGAAAACACATCAGATACTCAGAATTTAAGCGAGGAGATTGAGTTTAGTCCATTACCAAGTGAGAGAAATAGTGAGATTTCATCCTTAACATCTTTTATCCGAAAGACCACAGTCGATTGAATTTTGCCGTTTTTAAGGAAAGTTCTTTAAAACATTAAAATCTTTTTAATTTAATCAATGTAAAACTGATGTTTGTCTAAATTTATACTTTTATATTTAAGGTTTTTCTTCCCTAGATGTAAGCAACTTTACCAGTATTACTTAGGTACTTATTGAAAAGTACATGTACTCAGATATTTAAAACAAACCATATTCCATATTTAGAACTCTTTTTATCTTTAAACTTGTAGTTGTTTAACCATTTTAGTAATAGGTAATAGCATTTAAAACTAATGTGACATGAGAATCTCAGTATGCATGCTTGATTCAATATTTATTTTTAAATTTTTATGGCCAAGCTAATGTGTGACTAATACAGACCATATTTTGACCTGCAAACAGGTTTTACAACCTTCACTGAATTGAGGGTTAATAAAATGAGCTTCCAAATTTAAAATGTATTAATTTTCCGTACCATGGCTTTTATTAAGTGTTTTTTTTGTGTGATAACTTGATTGATAATTGATAGTCAAAATTTGCATTTTTTGACAGTATTTTTATATAGATTTAAATTGATGTTGCCAGCATTTATACTAATTTAATGATTTTTGTTATTTTTACTGCAAGCTAATATAACTGTAGCCTGTCTTAGTACTTAAATAAATGTGATTAGAATTCAATTGGTTATTTTGTTATTTTAAGGAAAGCGTCCAACACTTAATAATTGTAATTATTTCTCCCGTCAACAATTGTAGTTAATGGACAAATACATTTGTTTTCCCTGTTAGGGTGTTAACACACAAAAGTTAAACCCCGAAATGTTTTTGATTGACACTTTGAATACCAGAGACATAAAACCTTCTGCTCGTTAGCTCGTTAAAATAATTTTTCTTACAAACAGAAGGTTGATAATACATTTCATAAACTTACAATGCTTATAAGAGTCAATAATATTTAGAGCCAAAATACAAGTATATTTATAGTATTATATCCATACATTTTCGTTTTAGAGTCAATAAACAATTTTACTTGTAGTTTGGCTTAAAATATAAACCTGTGATAATTAAATCCCATTAAAAATACCAATTAGGTACTACTCGTACCTCATTGGTATTTTTAATGTGATGCAAACTTAGTTAAGAAATTAAATTTAACCAAGATAAAATCACATCACAGGCTTACATCTATCTCAGTTATATGTACAAACACCAATCAACTTCATATAATTGTTTAAAAAATCCTTTATCTGTGAACTGACTTTAACTTTGAATGGTGTTTAAGGCACATATTTAAGACAAAAGTAGGAGAATTGAATAATTAAAAAAAAAAAAACAAAACAATGCTGCTTATTTAAAATGAAAGAGTCAAAGTGAGACAATTTACTTAAGTCAATTTCTTTTAAATAAAAATAGGTAGGTGAATTTTTACTCATAAAGAAATCAATCAAAAGCTGTCAGAGAAAGATTTATTACTTCAATTCTCCTTATGATAATTACACGTAAAAGTTCTCAGAATAGTTTAGTATTATTAGGTCCTTAACTTTGAAATTGTCGTTTTCTAACACTGTCTAGTTTGAAGCAACATCTTGCGTTTGAATGAATACAAATTAAGGTCTAATAATAATAATTGAAATTAAGGTAAAACTTGTTTATTAGTTTTCCTGCCTTTTTTTTTCTTTAGAAAAGATTTAAACCGCTGATGTTAAGAGTTCCTTTGTGGCATCAATGCCTAACATACCGTTCGCAGCATCAACGAGGTGTATGTATTGACCTAGTAATATCACAAATGAACGCACAGTGCATTTTTGCCTTGAAACTTCCAGAACAGAAGGTTGGATCAAGATCAGACCAGTAGTTTTTGAGTTAACCATAATAATGTGTATTTAATCGACTTCGACTACATTTATGATATTCTCATTTTATTTACATTGGAGTCAGTTGCACAAAATGTTTAATTTAAACACTTGATTTTTCTGAATTTGGACAATTGCTTGCAACGCTGGTATAGTAGAAATCGCTCCCATCTCAGGGATTTCTGTACCAGTGAATTTTCACCAAAATGGCTAAAATACATTAATTTCGAATCTTTAATATATTTTTCATAAAACAAACTTATTTCATTTTATTAAAAAAAAACTGCAATTACATTAAGGACCTAATAAAAGTAGAAAGTAATGATGATCTTTAAGAAAGCGAAGTGAGGTGGAGAGTGACTCAATTTACGTAAACAGTTAACATTATACATTTGATATAGCTATATTTAAAACTTCAATAAAAAGCCTGTAATTTTTTTTATACGTTAACTTTAATTAGTAGTAATTTCAAATAAGTATTAATAATAGTATTAGAATTTTCTTTTCCCTTTTAAAAGTTGTCTTTGGGTTAAATCAAATATTTCAATTATTCCATCCGTATGAATATGAATATAGCATATTTACAACTATTTTCTTTAACACGAAAAAAACAACTACATTTGCGCAACACGGCAAAATACTTTCTGAACTATCGCGCGGTCACTTCACCTCACCCGCGTTCCAAGGCATGGTAAAGTTGTGTCTGCGTGTGTGTTAGTCTGTGCTCACGTACCTCTGCAGGGGTCGTTCTTGACGAGGAACTCGTCGAGCGCCACCCATCCACCTCCCACTCGCACCATGACGGTGGAGCGCAGGATTCGAACCAGACGCAGCTTTTGCGAATCGCCGAACTGTTGGACCGCATCACGTGAGAGCGTACGCGGAACAGTAACAGTTATGCGTTACGGTTTTCAGCCGATAGTTTTTTTTATCACACCCCATATTGGCTGTGGTTAGATAACCTAGCTGTGTACTAAGATGGAACGCTCTTTGGCATTGATATATAGACCCGTACTGTCCTTTTTTTTTAAATAAAGTTGAAGTGACAAAAGAACTTACACTACCTGATGGTAAGCGACTCCTGCAATCCATAGACGCCGAGCCAACTTCAGAAAAAGAAGGCTTACAGGTGCGTTGTCACTTCTGAGGACTAGACAAGCACTGCTTATCCACTACCCAATATCATTATTATTCCATTTCCATTATCCCATATCATATTTTTTGTATATTAAACACTGATAATCATTATTTTTTTATAGGAGAGGGGCAAACGGTAGCCGGTCAGAATATTTTACACCTGACGCATATAATATGGTATACCACAGTCTATAGGAAGCTATTTTGGAGCCATTTCTCATAGTCGCCGTTTTCCGACGCCTTCGGAAGGAAATTGGGTGATATGGATATATACACAACACTATATACATTAACATATAATAACACAAGATATTGTTCTATCTAAGCAAGCTCCAATACGAATTATTGGTATTATGGTATGAGACACCATATTGCCATTAATATTAAAAATATTTAAAATTAAAACTACAATCCAATAACTATCTAAAATTAAATTGCTTACATTAACAAAGTGTATGAGATAACGTATCTATATTATGTATCATCCTGCAAACAAATGAACAAATAAAACAAAACTCAACCGAGGGAAGTCTTTTCACCTTTAAATAGTAGGTGTGATCAGGCCCAAAATCAGTAGTTGGGTATTCTATCGAGAAATTCTTAGTATCAGCCCGGAGCGTTTGATTTTAGCGGTGTTTCATCCATGTGCCCCAGGAAGGGCTTACACCACCCAATACAACACCCACTGGACGAAATGGGGTGATGTGTTCTCTTACGGCGCCAGCACACGGCTGCAGTATTTTACGGAGTTGAGAATCATTAAAAAAATGATACTAAACATCAGCTAAACTATTGAAGTAATATGTACTACGTAGTAGAAGACGAGACGCCGTGGTCATTTGCCACACGAGTTTGAGCCCATGTGCCTAAACTTACTGTTTGTGCCATAAAATTTACTCTGTTCCACGCGTCCCTTACTGTCACACAGGTTTTGTTCGCGGTGTCCGTTCTAATATGTAGTACATAATTCCTTCAATGAACGAAACACACTTTTTTATGTATTATAATATAATTCTATATCTATTAAGTATCTTTCTGGATGTTTTTAATAGTGAATTTATTGCACTTGAAATGGATGCTAGCACTTACCCGGTATTTGCCCTCTCCGACCTGGAAAACGCGGAACTTCTGGCGGCACGTGCACAACATGACCAGCCTCTTCACCTCGTCGTGTATCTTATCCGCGTCCGTGGGCGGCCCGCGTCGCTCCACCTGCACAAATTTCAACAAGTTAATTATGTTACGACACTTTGTATAGATAAATGATTATCACTATTCGATGATGATGATGAGGATGATGTTCTAATCGATTTGGACTATAGCAGACCATTATACTGCTACACGTATAACTTTTATCTTGCCTCCGGTGTTATGCGACACGATTAGACCCAAGGTAGAAATTAGGGTTAGTAATTCGTTGGAAAACTTATTTTAAATTCCCGACGTTTTCCCGGTGCTTCACAGCACCCATAGTCACAGGGGCAATTAATGTTAAATGCGCGTACATATAATTATCTTTTACAATTACAAATTTTTAAAAACATATCTATAAATTTCTTTTTTTTTTAAAAAAAACGTTACCCCCACACTAGGATTTTCTCCTAAGTCGTGGAGGCAGTTTACAAACATATATTGCACAAGGACAAACATCCTCAATATCGACTATATCATCATCATCAATATCGACTACCCATAAAACATTTCAAATGAAAGAAATCATACCAATACGCTTGTCCATGCAATGAAGGTACTTTATATCAAGTCTGGTAGATAGATGGCGTTAGTAGAGCAATGTTATTAACACAAATGACTTGATGATGGTCTTTTTGAAAGTTTATGTAGTTTTTAAATTTAAATGGAATGATGATTACGGTTTCAAGTTTGTATTTAGTAACACTTACCCAATCAGGTCTAAGGGCCGCAATGAATTCCTCCCAGTCGATAAGGCCTGCGCCGTTCCTGTCGAACAGGTCCGCTACAGCGCCCATTTCGAGACGGGATGTGTCGAATTCTGTGAAATAAAATTTCATTTAGAGCACAGTAACAGTGGTAGAGCCACGCGGCAGCTTTTGTTGTCGCACGGATGGGCCGGTTCGAACCGGGGTAGTACCACGACCTCACAGAAAACCAGAGGAAGTAGAGGTTTACCTCTGCGTTTCGCTTGGTGAGTGCAGGTGGCCGGAGGCCCTTTTTACTGTAAATTAGGCATTCCATCTTAGTCCTTACGGGTGACAACGCATCTACATTTTGATTTGTAACAGAGGATAGATGTAGATGTCTATGGGCCGCAGCAACCACTTACCATCAGGTGGACTGTGTGCTCGTTTGTCAACCTTATCCTATAAAAAAAAAACCTTTGATTTTCCCTCTTTTATAGAACTAAGAGTGACAAATGAGTACACTCCAACGAATCGACAGGCCACTGGCGCTAATGAATGCCAGTACCCAATATTAAATAAAGATGATTTAGAGTGGCCATTCCAGTGAACTCAAATGGAACGCCTAGTAGCCTATAATAATACAACGTAACATTTTTTTAAATAAGTAAAGGTGACAAATGGAAGCTGGACTTTCCCCAGCTGATGGTAAGTGAATGATGTGATCCATAAACATCTACATTTATTCTCGTTTAAGAATCAAGATGCAGATGAGTTGACCACCCTTGAATACTAAAATGGAATGTCTTGTTACCAGTAAAAAAGGGTTTCAAATGCCCGTCGCTCACCATACGAAACAGCAACATTATGTTGCTATTTCATGTTCTGTGCATTTCTTGGGTAGGGTGGATACCACCCGCTTTTCTTCCTATTTCAGCGACAGTGTTTTATATGTGGTTAAATAGTTTTTATACGTGGTAGAGCCGTATTATGCCTGTAGCATGAATGATCCTCTCGACCGGGAAAGAACCACGCTCGCACAAACCACTAGGTTCAAATGTGTGGTTAATGATGAGAACTAGAGACCATTTTTTACTGGTAATGAGGTTTTTCATCTTAATCCTCATGGGTAACAAACGATTACGTGGTGAAGCCACCCTGCAGCTATGCCAGCTATACACAGCTGTAACACGAATGGACCAGTTCCACTAGGATAGAACCAAACTCTCACAGGATACCAGCGTAAGACAGCACAATAATGCTGCTGTTTTATATGGTGAGTGTAGAGGATCGGAGACCATTTTTACTGGAAACGAGACATTCCATCTTAGTCCTCAGGGTTGACAACGCATCTGCATTTTGATTCTTATTTCGAGTATAGAAGTATGTCTATAGGCCTCAGCGTCCACTTACCATCAGGTGCACTGTGTGCTCGTTTGTCATACTTATCAATAAAAAAAGCTCTCACAATGCTGCTGTGTGTTCGTAAGGTGAGTGTTGATAACCGGAGACCCATTTTACTGGTAAAGACGCATATTATCTTAATTCTCAGGTGTAACAAAGCATCTGCATTTTGATTTTAAAGCGAAAATACATATGGACTGGACATAGTCCACTGTTCATTTGTGGTTACATTGTATTATTATCCATTCATCCATCTTTACTTAACGTTGTTTGCGTTTTATCCATGGTCGGCAGTGACCTGTCGATATAATTGTATTTAAAAAAAAAACTAGCAATGTAGTAAAAATTACTAAGTATACTCACTGGTGTTGATAATTCCGTCTATGAACTCGTTCCGCTGTATGAGGCCGTTGTTGTCCTTGTCCATCTTGCGGAACAGGTCCGTCAGGCGCGACTTCTTGTGGTTCATGAACTTGAGGAACTGATGGCAAGGAGAGGTCGCCATTTAGTATGAGCTACAATCGATTCTAGCCGATATTATCTATGAGGTAAGATTCAAAGTATGTGTTTAGTACTCACGGGTACGAACCGTAATTATTATATTTATCATATTAGTTGTTTACCTTCCGCTTCACTGGGCATAAATAACACTTTTATATAAAACGTTTCCTATAATATCCTTCCCATATAATTAATTTCTATGCGAAATTTCATTAGAATTAAGAGTCCAACCATTAAAGAGTGATTAAAGGTCAAACATACAAACTGTAGTACTTTCGCATTTATACTTTTGAATAAGATAAATGAAGCGTGACATTTACATACAGAAACTTTAATAAACATAACATAACGCCCGTCACCCAGAGGGATAGGCAGAGACTATGGACTTCCATTTGGCACGATCCTGACACACCTTTCTCGCTTCCTCCACATCCATATATCTACGCATACACGGTCGTCGGTTAAAGATACTCTTAATTTGGCCCATTTTCAATATATTGCCAATTTGGTCGATAAACTTTAGCCTAGAGCGTCCCTTCCCGACTCTACCGTTCACCGTTCACATAAATTTGCTTTGTCATTCTTTCCTTTAAAGAAAATTTAACTCTAACTTTTTCCTAAAAAACCTGTTAATGCCATTGTATCGTATTTAAAAAAAGTGTATTTTTCAAGATATCTCTGAGATAAAAGTAGTCACCATCAAGGTAAATGAGTTTTGTTTATAGACTAGCGACCCGTCCCAACTTCGCCTGAATAGTATCTATGAAAATTAAGTTTAGATCCCTCCTGGCATTCTATTCGTAAAGTTTCATAACATTTGGTTCAGCCATTCTGAAAATTAGCCTAGACAAAAATTTTAATAATTGTTATTTATGTCTTAATACCAAGCATATATAACCCCTTGAGCTTAATAGAAGCCAGTTATTTAAACATACACTTCAATTTTACTTTTAGGTATAGATTATTATTCACAATAGTCCCATTAAACCAAATCCTTTAATAATTTTATACAATAAACTAATTATACTCTAAGAACACGCTTTAGAAAAAAAGTCAAAAGAAAACAATGTAAAAGAAAATATAATTGTGTTAAACATGTTTATCAAGTTCACTTGAAATTTTAGTTTCTTTTTCCTCATACATATATAATCACACGCCCGTCACCCAAAGGGGTAGACAGGGATTACGGATTTAATTTTGGCACTTCCCTTGCCTACTTCGCTACTCTCTTATATACAAGTATCTTATTATAGTCACTCTTTTTTCATTAATTCTTTCTACGTGTCCGAATCACCGAAGCATTCCTTTCTTAATTCTTGTCACAACATCTTGCAATTATCTCTAATCAAATTATTTCTCATCCTAACAATTTCTCTTTTTCTTTTTCCTGCCCTTTCCCCAAATTATTTGCGGTCGGCATAGTATGCCTTCTTCTTCCATTCTCCACTATTAGCCGTCCTCTTTTCACTCACTCTTTAATTTGTGATTTCTTCAGCCCATCCTTCTTTTCTTAAGCCTCTCCCTACTCTTACATCCGTCCACTTTCATAGTCAACAACAACACCTAACAATTTCTACAAGAATAATTTAACTCTCTTTGATGCTTCTTCCAACACCCAACTTTCACGAAAAGGCGCCTCATGTATGGCTACATTGAGGTGCCTATTTGACATACATATTTAGATTTTCACAGAGTGTAAACACACTATTTTTGTATTTGCGTTTGCTGTGCTGTTTTTAATACAAATTTTACAGACCGAAGATAGGAAAGCAGCGATACTAATGTTAAGACCAATGGCACTAATAAAAGAAGGATAAACTCCTCTAACTAAATTAAAAAGGAACTATAAAAACCATTAAGTATATAAAAATTAAATGATTCCTTGGGTTTAAAAGGATATATTCACTGACCCGCTTCCTCCAGTCATCCCAACTGAAGTTGGACACACGTTGGAGCTCTCGGAGATGAGCCAGACGCTCGTGCAGCCTGCGTTGCCTCTCCCAGGCCAGCAGCCACACCGTGCGCCACTTGTCCCACAATAGCTTCACGCGTGGTGAACGGAACTCCGGTTCCGCGCCTTTGCTATTTGCCCAAGTGTGAGTGGATATTAATTTAACGAACTTTGTTCCTATCCTATGTATGTTTTACGAATTGTGTGCTTTGAAATGGGTCACCAACCTACTATAAAACATGATATTCTGTTCCATGGTTCTTAAACCTTTAAAAAATTATTGTATGATGAAAACATACATCGATTATTAATGGTTTGTAGAATATAATGTAAAATCAGATTGTTACCAAAGATAACTTTTTTATTTCCGTCGATTCCGTGGTCTGTGCTGTAATATGCCCGAAACGTCGACAATTAAAAAAAAATATTCAACGTGTAGTAGTGTTCGTATAAAAAGAAATCATTATGCAATGTTTCAGTCGGAAAAAGTTGGCAACCGTAATTAGTGAGTCATGGAATCGAATAACAGCTAAAACAGTTTTTGTTCATCATCATCATCATCAGCGATAGCAGCCTTACAACCTATCCAAAAGGCCAAAGCTAAACATAGGTCTCCCCCATACATTGCCTCATAGGATATATGCCATAGCTAACATGCTTGGCAGGTTGGCAGCTATAGTTTTTTATTACTTTGTGTCTAATTTCCCTCTGTTGCCTTTTACGACACGGGATCATATAGGATAGTAGATTCTATAACGCCACGACTACGCGTTTTTTGTTACAAGTTACTGGTTTTCTAGTTTATCGACACGTCAATCCAACCCTCCTGGATGTACAGTTTTAACAGTGGTAGAGCCACGCGGCAGCTTTTGCTGTCGCACGGATGGGCCGGTTCGAACCGGGGTGGTACCACGAACTCACAGAAAACCAGCGTGAAGTAGAGGTTTACCTCTGCGTTTCGCTTAGTGAGTGCAGGTGGCCGGAGGCCCTTTTTACTGGAAATGAGGCATTCCATCTAAGTCCTCACGGGTGATAACGCATCTACATTTTGATTTGTAATAGAGGATAGATGTAGATGTCTATGGGCCGCAGCAACCACTTACCATCAGGTGGACTGTGTGCTCGTATGTCACCCTTATCCTATAAAAAAAAATTGTACAGGAAATTGAGGCCATGTGACCAGGTGCAAGTGAATCCTTTCGATAGTAACTACAAAATCTTGTTGAAGTGGCCAGGAAAGCAAATGCTATTATTCCATTACTGTCTCTCTATATAATTGAATACCGTGTAGTGGCGGTCAAGAATACCACTACCCCATATCCTCCCGTGGGTGTCGTAAAAGGCGACAAAGGGAAACAGGCAGGAGATGGGCAGCAGCATCTTCCTGATAATAGCCAAAATTATAATAAAAAACTGCGGTTGCCAACCCGCTCGCCAAGCGTGGCAACTATGGCAAATACCCCCTTATAAATGTAACAAAGAGACGGCCCCCAGTCCCCGGCGGCCCCGCTATTCCTGGCTACGGTGGCGACCATGGTAACGGCGGGGCAGGGGGTGCTAAGAATCTCCGGTGGAGGTTCGGTTGCCACCTTAGACGACTCGACCTGGCAATGTACAACGCACGCACCCTGAGGACTGACGAGAAGATCGTGGAGCTGGAAGAAGAGATAGACAAGTTGCGCTGGCATATTATAGGATTATCCGAAGTCCGAAGAGAGGGGGAGGACACGGTAATCCTCGAATCCGGCAACTTGCTCTATCACCGGGAGGGCGACCATCTGTCCCAAGGAGGTGTCGGATTTATCGTCCACAAGTCTCTCGTTAACAACGTTGTAAAGATCGGGAGTGTGTCGACGAGGGTTGCGTACCTTATACTCAGAATCACCAAACGGTATTCGCTGAAGGTCATACAGGTTTACGCACCAACCTCGGCACACCCCGATGGGGAGGTGGAGGAAATGTATGAGGATATCTCTAGAGCCATGCATTCCTCCAAAACCCAATATACGGTGTTAATGGGAGACTTCAATGCAAAACTAGGCACAAGAGTAAACGGTGAGCTGAAAGTAGGGAAATTTGGAATAGGGCGACGGAACCCAAGGGGCCAGCAGCTGGCCGACTTCATGGAGAAAGAGGGACTCTTTATCATGAACTCTTTCTTCCAGAAGCGGCCCCACAGGAAGTGGACCTGGTCGAGCCCCGACGGTTCGACAAAAAATGAGATGGACTTCATTATGACGACCAGACGACAACTGTTCAGTGATGTCTCCGTGATCGCGAGGGTGAAAACTGGTAGCGATCACCGAATGGTTAGAGGCACACTGAACCTAAACGTTAAGTTGGAGAGGTCTCGTCTAATGAAGTCAACGCTCCGTCCCCCTCGTGCTCTGTTCCAAAGTCCCGAAACCTTTCAGCTCGAGTTACAAAACCGTTTTCAGTGCCTAGAAGACTGCAATGAAGTGGACGATATGAATGACAAGCTCGTGGAAACTGTCCATGCGGTCGGAGCTAAGTTCTGCAAGACCCGCCGCAGAAGAACACAAAAGCTCTCCGATCACACTCTTAATCTCATGGCTGTTAGACGGGAGATGAAGCTACATTCTTCAACAGACTTGACAGCATACAGGCATCTGAACAGACAGATCTCCAAATGCATGCGGCTGGACTTACGCAACTTCAATACAGCTCGTACTGAAGAAGCGATCGAGCGGAACCAAGGCTCCAAAGTCTTTGCCAGAGATCTGTCTGCCAGAAAGAGCCACCTGTCAAAGCTGAAGACAGAATGTGGCAGCATCGTTTCCGGGACACCTGAGATTTTGAGTGAGATTGAGAGGTTCTATGGGCAGCTGTACACGTCATCGTTGGAGCCACACGCAAGTGTGAGTAACGATCCAAGAGCGAGTCTCATCCGACACTATTCCGAAGATATCCCGGACGTCAGTCTGAGCGAGATTAGAATGGCTCTCCAGCACCTTAAAAACGGTAAGGCCCCAGGCGAGGATGGAATTACAGCGGAGCTTCTGAAAGCGGGTGAAAAACCGGTACTTGAAGTCCTTCAGAAGCTCTTTAATTCCGTCCTCCATGGTGGCATTACACCGGAGGCGTGGAGCAGAAGTGCGGTGGTCTTGTTCTTCAAGAAAGGTGACAACGCTCTCTTGAAGAACTACAGACCGATTTCCCTTCTGAGCCGCGTCTACGTGCTGTTTTCGAGAGTCATTACTAATCGTCTCGCGCGCAGACTTGACGACTTCCAGCCTCCCGAACAAGCCGGTTTCCGAAAGGGCTTTAGCACCATAGACCACATACATACCCTTCGGCAAATTGTACAGAAGTCCGAAGAGTACAATTTGCCACTATGTCTGGCGTATGTGGACTATGAGAAAGCCTTTGATTCCGTCGAAATTTGGGCGGTGCTGCAGTCCCTTCAGCGGTGCCAAGTTGACTGTCGGTATATCGAAGTGTTGAAGTGCTTGTACAGTAGGGCTACGATGGCTATCCGAGTACAGAACCAGAGTACGAAATCTATCCAATTGCAGAGAGGTGTAAGACAGGGTGACGTCATATCCCCGAAACTCTTCACCGCTGCATTGGAAGACGTTTTCAAGCTTCTGGACTGGAAAGAATACGGTATCAACATCAATGGCGAGTACATCACTCACCTTCGATTTGCCGACGATATAGTCCTTATGGCAGAATCGCTGGAGGACCTAAGCACTATGCTCAATGACCTCGATAGTGTTTCCCAACGGATAGGTCTTAAGATGAACATGGACAAAACAAAGATCATGTTCAATGTCCATGTCACACCTATGCCGGTAGTTGTTGGGAGCACTAAGCTCGAAGTTGTTGACGATTATGTTTACCTGGGACAAATAGTCCGACTAGGTAAGTCCAACTTCGACCGAGAGGTCAATCGACGGATTCAACTCGGCTGGGCAGCGTTCGGGAAGCTACGACACATCTTCTCGTCAGACATACCTCAAAATCTGAAAACGAAATTGTACAACCAGTGCGTGTTGCCAGTGATGACTTATGGAACTGAGACGTGGTCCTTCACTGCTGGCCGTATGAGGAAGCTCAAGGTCGCTCAGCGAGCTATGGAGAGGGCTATGCTCGGAGTTTCTCTGCGTGATAAACTTAGGAATGAGGATATCCGCAGTAGAACCAGAGTAACCGACATAGCCCAACAGATTAGTAAGCTGAAGTGGCAGTGGGCCGGCCATATAGCTCGAAGAACCGACAACCGATGGGGAAGAAAGGTTCTCGAGTGGCAGCCTCGTACCGGTAGGCGAAGTGTAGGGCGTCCCCCCACGAAATGGAGTGACGACCTGGTAAGACATGCAGGAAGTCGATGGATGCAGGTGGCTCAGGACCGTGCTTTGTGGCATTCTTTGGGGGAGGCCTATGTTCAGCAGTGGACTTGTGAAGGGCTGTAATGATATATAATTGAATAGTATAATAACTGCGACGTTGTCAGTGTCTAGTAAGTGTTCAATGAATGCCTTTTAGGCGACATGGCTTTAAACACTGATAAGAGTTTAAAGTAGAAAAATTTGTTGATTAAAACATGAATGATTAAAAATAACGTTTGATTATGGTGTAAGTTAATAAAAACGTGATGTAATATTTCATTTTTTACTAATTTCAGTTTCTAAATTAAAAGAAAATACTTTTTTAAATAGCTCCGACATGCTACATTGCGTATTTAAGAAACAATATTAAAGTACAGTTATATTTATTATAGAAAAAGCTAGAAAAAATCACTACAAGCCATTATAACATTCACGATAAAAATAAAGCTATATTATAGCAACAGACTATACACAAATTTATAATGGATCAAAATTTAAATTAAAAAGGCGGGAAAATGAAAAAGCGATAATCAAACCACTACCAAGTTCACGGATGACCTTAAAATGATGTACAGCGAAAATCAACCCCCTGTTTAAGTACACTTGTGTTAATCAATAAAATGTACATACATCTTACCTTTATAACGACGCTTTTTATATTTAACACTATATACATATCATGACATATAATTTAATTTCAGTAACTAGTTGCCATTAAACGTAGTGATTATAATAATATGCTATTTGGTTGGCACATGTTATTTCTTTATTTATTTTATAAAACTGAAGTGACAAACGAACTCGCAGCCCACCTGATGGTAAGTGGCTACTGCAGTCCATGGGCACCTGCAAGTAACTTCAAACAATGAAGTATACACATGCGTTGTCACCTCTGAGGACTGAGATGGAATGTCTTACAAGTTACAACCTGTAATTATACAGGCTCCTCTATACTATTATTGTCTACGTCAGACTGTGATTTTCTTTGTAGGTGATAGTGCTTACCGTTAATTTTATTATTATTATTTTATATTAATTTCATTGTGGATGATTAAATGTAATTTTTCAACTGGTAACAAAAATGAAAATATGTTTTTATTTAAACTTTTTCCGCGAGAAATCGTAAGAAATTACATTAAAAAAAGTTAATGTGATTTTGATGGTTTGCCAGATTTTTAATAATAGTTTTATGACAATACATATAATTACTTATTTAATATGTTTATTTGTGAATATATGTAATTCTATTTTATGATTTTAGAAAGGTACGAGGTATGGACGGTTTCGTGTGTCATGTGATGATGAATAGGCCTTACCTTCCCCGTGGCGGGAATCGCGGCCCGTAGTGCGGCAGATTGCGGTCCGGTGTCTCGCGACCGGGGCTCACGCGACTGCACACGCAACATTGTCGTCACAAGCGAGGGACACGCACACACACACAGTACAATACAAACCCCACCGGTTAGTCGTGATCGTCGCACGCGTGACGGTTAGTCGCTGACGTTAGTAGTGTGTAGCGAAACGACTCGTATGTGTTATAGCAAGGAACAGGTGTTGTTATTGTTAAGGGAATTAAACTATTGGGCGATTTATTGTTTTAGTGGATTGTTTATAAACATGCAATTTCTTTTAAATGCGTCTTTTTTAAACATGCAACTTTAAAGTGTCTAAGGAGATGCCTTACTAAATTTGTATCGTATGTGAATTAATTCATAACATATAGTTGATGGTGTACAATATTTTTAAATTCAACAATAAGAAAAACTAATCGAAAAACATCTCCTTGTCACTGAAAACGCCTGCAGCTAAACCATACATGACATGCATATATTTCTTTCAACCAAAGCAATGTCACATATTCTAATGCTGTATATACACTTCGTGAGAGACGTTGCCATTATAAGACATTTTCTTTTTCATAAAATTTTAGTGACTAGCGAACTAACGGACTAACAGTTCACTTGAGGGTAAGTGGCTACTGCAGCCACATTTGAATAAAGATGGCTACAGATGCGTTTTTGCGCGTGTTGCCAGTGCTTGACTACAATCCCACCTGGTGGTAAGTGGTGAGAGTCTGGTACGCATCCAAGACTGACTTCAAGGCAGAAAAGAAGTCCTACTTATTTAATATATTTCCTTATTACGGTTTAAAAATGAAAACTAAAATTTTGGAATTTTTAATAAATTATTAGGGCGTAACCTTTTATTTTAATTTTATGCACGCTATTAAAAGGAAATGGTGAATTTTTACAGTGATATTAGAACTTTTTGGTATAACAAGTTGATTTTTCGTATTATGAAAAAGTATTAACGTATTTAAAACGTTAAAATATTTGAAAAGTCGATAATATATTTTTAGCGCGATAATTAATGTAAAAACATTATTAACATAACATTATTAATATTTTCTAAACCAACTTCTGGTCTTGATAGAAAAACTCTGATTTTGCTGACTAACTTAAAACTGATTTTGGCACTATTTGGATCGAAAGTTGAGTGCGATAATAACGTGACATTAAACATTTTTTTTTAATATTTTAAACGTATAAAATAAAAGCGGAAAACTAAAACTGCATGGAGGAAAAAGCAAGGCAAGTACACTACGTCGTGTACTACAATATACTGCTACAAATAATACACGATGCAAATCAGATTCGATGAAAAAAATAATTTGACAAATTGAACAACGTTCTAATACTAATCAGTTAAATGTTAATGATTACTATTACCAGACTGATTAGGCGATATATGATCAAATGGTCTAACCATTTCAACCAAGACAGAGCCCGTTTTAACGCACAAATACAAATTATTGGTTTCGTGTTTCATATTTGAAGTGAAAATTTCTTTAGAATCTATACGTGGTGGAGCCATGCTGCAGCTATATTAGTAGTATAGTTGTAGCACGAATGGGTCGGCTCGACCGGGGACGGACCATGCTCTCACAGAATACCAGCGTAAAATAGCAGTTTAACACTGCTGTGTTTCGTATGGTGAGTGTAGAGAACCGGAGACCCTTATTACTGGAAAAGAGGCATTCCATATTAGTCCTCACGGGTGACAACGCATCTGCATTTTGATTCGCAAACGAGGATAAATGTAGATGTCTATTCGCCACAGCAACCACTTACCATCAGGTGGACAATCGTTGTGATTTGAAACTGAATGAAACGAAAAGGCGACACCAAAAAGAGACAAACATATACATCTATAGGATTTAGCCTGCTAAAAAAATGAGACGAAATACATTATATAGTTTTTCCTAATATCTCGGTCTCCTTTTCTGAATGTTTAATTTCTAACGCGTGTGAACTGCACACATGTTTTTTTTTTAATTTTATATAAGTAAAGGTGACGAACTAATACACACTCCACCTGATGGTAAGTGAATGCTGTGTCCCATAGACACCTACTTACATGTATACCCGACTAAGAATCAAAATTCAAATGAGACGCGTTGTCACGTCACTCTTGAAGTGTAGTGTGGAAAGTTACCTAAAAGTGTCTTCGGTTCTCTTCACTTTCCTATGAAACACACCAGCATTATACATCAGCATATTCACGCTGATATTTTGGGAGAGAGTGGTCTTTCCTCAGTCGAGCCGACCCATTCCTGCTACAGCCATTTTAATACGAACCGATCGAGTTTGGCTGCGTTGTGCTTGTCGTTCAAACTAATATCTTATTAATTATCTTATTGTATGAAAGTTACTTCATATAGTAGTAATAGATAAAGAATAGCATGTTTGCGCAGCACAGTGTTGTTGCAGTAATATTCTTTATTCTATTATTCTACAGCAAATTTGGTCGTAAATTAAAAAAATAAATATTGCACAATTTGTCAAAATTATTTTTCCAACGTGCGAACTAAATCACTATTTCCAACTATATACATAACTAAACAGACTAAAGATCACAGGACAATAAAAATGACATCAAACCTTCCTCTCCTACTTCGACTGTGTATCCTGGACCTGCCCGTGAGATCATCGAAGCGTGACATATGAACGAGACAGAAAGCAACATTTACAAGTGTTAGAGCGAAATAAAGCTATGTCACTATGTCTCCAGAGAATGTATAACCACATGTTGATGTAAGTATACTAATGTTTATACAATTTAAAACTCTTTACGACATTCTCTGTTGACAGTGTTAAAATAACATATGACATATAACATAAAACATTTAAAAGCAAAATGGACTGTTAAATTTGATGGTAACACGAAAATGTAAAATAAATTTATTGATTTTTTTTTATTCTGTCCAGCAAATATGCGTGTATATATTTTTATAAAAATAAATCACTAAGTGGTCACTAAAAATATATATAACTTTGTACAACACATATTTGCTAAACACTAGTATTAAAAAACAACTTATACAATTATATAAAACATAAAAACAGCTAAAATGGTAACTAACCTGAAACGCCTACTGCCATAATAATCCGGCGACACAGATCGCTCCCTGTGCAAATCGTGTTGAGAGCCGCGCCTGTTTTCAGTTATGGCAACCCCGAGTACACATCATGCAATGACGTCACAACATGGAGATGACGCGACGTGCATGAGCGTGGTAAAAACGGAAAGAAACAAAAACAAATGAAATGAAACGAAAAGCAACTGATACAAAATGTTAAAAAATTCTCCAACAAAACAAAAGTGCTAACAAAACACAAAATGATAAGTGAATGTGATTCGTAAATGGCACACATAGGGTATATAATAAATAAAAATATAACAAATCGATTAAAGCCAGATTGAACTTTTTAATGGACTAGTAATTTTGATAACAATTGATATTAAGTACTGTTGTAACATTATAACGTACCCAGGCGTTCCCTTTGTAGCACTTTTGGCCGATATCTTTCGTGGTGTTGTGTCGCGACCTTGACTCTGGCTCTTGACCTACAGAATAAAACAATGTCGGTTATTAAAGATATTATTATTTCGAGAGGAGGGTTCGAAGAGCGTTGTAGGGCAAGGACACCGTTGCGCTGCCCCGATGCTTGTTGGCGGACTTCACGTGTCTTCGGATTATTCTTTTTTCTCAGACAGGTATTTACCTCTCGATGTTGAACCTCTCAGAAATGTGAGGAGGCCAGTGCGACTTTTCATCAAGATGTTTTCCTTCATCCCCGAGCACCGGGTATCTAACAGATTGTTTTACAGGCTAACAACTGACGTAATGCCAATAAATGTAGATATACAAATTGTTCATATGCTTACCTGGTAGGCTTTGCAAACTCGGTCGACTTCGTTCTGTCTCTTCTGCGTGTGCTCCATCAGTTCTTTGTGATCTTCTATAAGACCTTCCAGTAGTTCGATTGATTCCGGCAGAGGCTCAGACTCCATTGCTAGGAAAATAACATATTAAGTTTTTTTTCCGACACAGTAAGTGATTATTTTGAAGTACATGTTACAACCAAAGTGCTGCAAGAATTGAATTGCAAAAATATATCTTTGAAGATATACACAAAGTCTAAATTAGATCAACGAACGTCTATCTGAAGGACATCATTTTTAATAATATAACGAGCTAAATATAAGAACCTAGTTATAAGTTATTATATATAGAAACATAAGCTTGATACTTGTATTTGAATTTGATGATTGAATACATATTAAACCTTTATTGATATAAAAATACTTCATTAATTATAATCACATGATCTTTTTAAATCCTTAATGTATTCGAATTACGTTATTTATGCAAAGGTCTATCCTATTGAATACTACTGGCTGATTTAATTCGAAAATTCATGTCACAATATTCATACTCACATATCAAGGTGTTCTCTAGTCCGGTGAGCCATTGCAGAAGTTCCTCCAGCACTAGATCCAGATCTTTAAGACTCTGCATGTGGGCTTCGAGTTTGTTGCCGCGCTGCATTGCCCATTGCCATACCTAGGACAAAGAATACCAACAAATAAGTTTAAGGGTGGAGGGAGAAAAAAAAATAATTACAATTTTATTGGCGTGCATTGATATTCTGTGTAATGGAAATGTAAAAACCAAAAGTAAAAACCGACTTCAAAAACTAAAAACGAATACAAACAATTTTCACATAACAGCTTCTGAAGTTGGTGTTAAGACATACTGTGCCGAAGGGAAGAGAGAAAACCCATCATGAATTTAATGGACCCAGCATTATCACGAGATCGGGTGAAAACTAACAAGAATGTCATTTTAATACTTACAATAAAAACTTCATACCCTATTTTTTCTAACCATACGAGTGTTTTTCTTTAAATTTTCATGGGAATAAAAAAATTAAATTGCCTTTAATTTTTTTTAATTGGCCTTTTTGGTCATTGACCAAGAAATTTACGAACCATCCCTCTTTTGAACTCTGTTAAAAAGTCACTTTAAGTCGATTAGAAGTTGAGATATTCATACCTTTTGTTTTTCTTTTGAAACTTCGAAAAGAAACAAGGAAGCATCAACTATGATGTGACATATGGATTGTATTTTTATGAATTTGAAAGTAAAATTATTGATTACTTTACAATTTTTAAAACTAAGGATAATATAAGAAATTAAACAATGATTTCAATACTACCTGTGCGGCAGACACCTTATTAAAGATACGTATCACTGGCAGAATTGTCACCACAAGTTGGCGTGGTTTACTCGAATGCATTTTATTACAATATATCAAGACAATAATTCAAAAGAAATATAAATATTTGCATTTCAAGCTAGATTTAAGCGCCAAATTACCATTAAAATTCGTTCTAAGGTCGCAAAAAAATAAATCCAAAACAGTAACTCTATAGATAATATATTTCAATGATTAGATAAATATTATGATTTATAATGAAATAATCTATTGCATACGTGAGATAAGATACATTGATTTTCTTTTTATAATAATTATATTCTAACACATTTTGTGAATATAATTTTGGATATTAACAGGCTTATAAAAAATACTAACTGTTTCGTAATTGTCAGGGAAATGGCGGCAGAGATTTTAAACGATTTCAACATTGGAGGTTAATAAATGTAAAGATTTAACTGAATAAAATACTTAACATGAACAATTGCTGTAGCTTTTATTCTACTTCTGTCTTTCTAATATTTTTATTGCGTTCTGAAATGATTGTTTATTTAAGATGTTAACATAACATTACTGTATACATTATAGCCTCTGTTTTGTTTCATTGTAATAAATAATTATAACTTTAAAAAAATAGTTAAAACCGACTTCAAATTGCTGAAAAAGTAGTTATTTATTTGCTTCCGTTAGGGTTGATATTGTTTTTACAAATTTATACGGGACCACCCTTGAAGTACTATACCTTATTAATAAAATTGAAATGGAATAATTAATGTATAAATAATGAAGAAATAACAAAATTGGTTCACAATATACGACGATATCGCGTAACATACACTCGAATTGAGAAGTTTTTCCTTTTTGAAGTAGGTTAATGAACTTAAACAACAGATTGGTGAAAGCACCAGACTTTTGTGCTGCGGTATTTATTTACTTAAATATAAAAATAAACTAAGAATAGCTACTATAACTATAACTATATACTATAACTATAACAGTTATAAATATGAAAATTACATCATCATGCATTATTGTATAATTTAATTCCTCCCTCTCCCTTCCACCATAGGACAACCAGACGTTCGGCCAGTCACAACCCTTTCGTTGTTGATTTATCACGCATTCGAACCAAACGGTTCGCTACGTCGTTCATCATGCGTACAGCAAAGGAGTGGAATAAGTTGTCAGCATCTGTCTTTCCATCCGATTATAATGTGAGTGTCTTCAAGGCAAGAGTGAATAGGCTTTTGTTAAGTCAGTGCGCTTCATCATCTTAGGCTACATCACCACTTACCATCAGGTGGGATCGTAGATAAGCGGTGGTTTAGTAGAATGTAAAAAAAAATCAAAAGTATGGCACGATACATCAGTTTGATAAGTTTCTTTAATTTTTTGTATTTGACATAAATTGGTAGTTTGATTACAGTCGCACTTCATAGCAATCTACGGTGAAGACCTATGTTCAGCAGTGAACTAGTGGTAGGTGATATGGCGATGATATTAATTGTATTTATTTTGTGTTATCTAGCAAGTTTGTTTTATAAAAATAATCTTTCCGCTCTTACTTATTATTCACTGAATATAATTTGAAATACAAACATATATTCAAGAATAAGTTTATCATTTTAGTCTTAAAGTAAAAAATGTATATTCTTCTTCTTTTTCTTATCAATTTTGCTATAATATGCAGTGGTATTGTCACTCGTGAGGACTAAGATGGAATGCCTCGTTTCCAGTAAAAAGTGTCTTCGGTTCCCTACACCTACCATACGAAACAGCAGCGTTAAGCTGCTATTTCACGCTGGTATTCTGTGAGAGCGTCGTTCTTCCCCGGTCGGCTGCAGTATAGCTATGGAATGTAAACGGTAGAGACGTGACGAGAAAGCCACCGACCTCGTCCCAGCGACTCTGTATGATGGTGATCCAGTGCTTGATGACGGAGACGGCGTCGGGGTGCGCCTTGGCGAGCAGCGAGTGAGCGAGCGCGACGGTTGTGTCCTTGTCGTGCAGCTTGTCGTGCAGCTCGCGCACGAACTGCTGGTGGTCGCGCAGCTGGCGCGCGGCGTCCGCCTCGGCGTCGGGCAGCTGGCCCGAGAAGCGCAGCCGCGTCTCGGCGTCCGACAGCCACTCCAGCAGCATGTTTACCGCCTTGTGCAGCCGCTCCGCCTCAACACAAATATACAACATATTACCTATCCTCAACACTATATTTATGTTATTGCAACCTACCGCTTTTTTGAAATTATCATATTTATTGAAGTGAAATTTATTTATCAACTTTTGATTATTAATTAAAGAAGAACGAAGGCAAACTAAGAATTTAATTTATAAAAATATACTTAAACAAAAAATCACTGTACGTAATTTGGCTAAAATATACTTTATGACTTACCTCTTTAAGTGCAATTTCAAGTTTTTGCGCTTTCTTCTCACTCAGGCTTTGAACCGTCTCCCAAGCTTGTTTAAGTTCACTGCACTGTTGCTTGATGTTGGAGGCATCTTCCACTGGAACCTTAAGGATGATAATAAAATTTGATCTTTAATACTGTTAATTTAAATGCATTTTACATAATTACCATTAAAATGCGTTCAAAAAATAATACAAATGTAGCTTTTACTTACAGTTGCTTCTAGATCTTTGCCGGTTTTCATAACGGATTGCATTTGTTGCTCCCGTGAATGTAGGTCTTCTTCGAATTGCTAAAGGAAAAAATATTGATATAATATACTTTATTCAAATTTAAGTTGTACAAAATAGAAGTCAAGAAAACAGTAGCAATTCTAGTATTTGATTTAATCATCATTAATAGTAGTATATAGTATTTCCTTCTTACACGTGTAAAGAAAAACATTAGAATCAACTTAATATCTCACAATTTTCTTAAATATAATTTACAAACAAAAATATAAAACAAATTGCAGATCAAATTTAGGCTTTGTTATTCAAGTAATAAAGTGTAATTTACATTGTTTCCGTGTCTCACCTTGTGCTGTTCTATCAAAGCCATCACAGTGTCGAGATCACCATGTACGGGTGAGTCTCCAGACAACTGCTTCTCCTGCTTCTTCAGCCAGTCAAGGAGAGCCGACATGGCGTCCTTGAACTGACCAGAGTACAGCAGTGCTTCTTCCAGTCGCCTTTGTCTGTTGAAATATTTAGAACGTCACCGTCAGCACACACAAGGCCTTTGTTACGAATGCGGTCTTTATAATGTTAAATGATAATAACGCAATCGAATAAATTGTCATTTGAGCCACCATAATGTGTTAGAAATACTTTAAATTGATTTTAAATGTATATTTAATTAAAGAAGTGACATATATACGACGTTCCAAGGCTGGGCATATGCCTCCTTCCATTTCTGAGAAGGTTTCTAAAGCGGGAAAAAATTTGTCGCTTTTCCTCTTCGAGTGTAAGATCTAAATTTGAGTATTTTATTATAGCAGATAACAAAAATAATGTTACCGTTGTGAGTTCACTTAAATGTGAACATTTAAATGTAAATTTTATTTGTTACATAGTTTCGTGGTTGTTGGTGGACATCACATGCCTCGCAGTATTTCTCAAATATAAGCTTTTTTCACAAAACTGAAGTGACAATCGAATTTACAGACCACCTGATGGTAAGTGGCTGCTGCAGTCCACGGTCGCCTGCAACTAACTTCACTAACAAGGCTACAGATCCGTTGTTGAGGACCAAGATGGAAAACCTGGCAGCGTGTAACTATACCACCTCTCCATCTACACTGCATTGCTGCTTAGAGGAAGAAATAATAGGTTTCCTTCATCACCGAGCACGTTATAAATCAGAATTTAAAAAAACTTCTTTTACATCTTGTCCATTCAAAGGTTGTCTGAAAGTAATAGCTTTTAGCGATAAGACCGCTACACAGAATTACCTTTTAACATTTTGTAATTTATTTTTTCTCTTTTATTTTGTGTTTTGGTATGTGCAAAAATGAAATTATAAAGATATCTTAATGGTACATATACTAACTGGCATACTATATTATTTTTTGAAGGGAGAATAAGAAAATTACCTTTCGACAGCCTTAGAGCAAACTGTAGTCCACTTGGACTTGAGATCTGCGAGCATGGTCTTGAGCGTGGGTTCATCGGTCTTCGGTGCTTTATCTTTCAGGTTCTTGCCGGTCTTCGTTGTTAGGTCGTAAGCGGGCTGTTTAGCGGCCAAGGCCTTTTGGAACTCACGATGTTTGTTTAATCTGTGTACAAATTCATATTTGTGAAAAATATCTTGACAATTATATGACTATTGGTTCCTGTACCCCTGTTCCTGTACTCCTGTACCCCCCCCCCCCCCTAGTTCCATACTACAAAGAAAAGTGGGGTATTATAATCCGCAAGTGGTATGGTAGGGGATTTATACTAAGATAACATTTTGTGATATGCTACATTTGTGATATGGAACATATGCATTAAAAACACTATACCTCTGTTTGATCTTCTCTGGGTCGTTAACGATGGCTTCAGAGTTGAGCTGGTCAAGTTGCTGGTCGGTCTCCGACAGCCAGTTCATTAAGTTATTCCTATAAAAAGGATACAAGTCCCACTTTCAATTATTTACGTCTTTAACAGTTTCCTTTTTCAACTACTGCTTAACTATTATCTCACCTTATGTAGCCGAGGATAGTAAAACACAGTTTGTATTCTAGTTTTCTTTTGTGTATGTATACAAAATAACGAACGACAAAGCTTCATTATTCGCGAAATGAAGACAATTAAGAAACAATCGAAACGAGACAGGGAATTTTTTTAAGATTGTGATGCCGATTGCGGACTTAGAATATCGGGAAATCGCTGCTCCTGGGTTCATGTCTCAACTGTTCAGTATGACAAGGTTTTTAATTTTTTTATTCTTGGAAAATTACAATGTCAGATTTCGGATCTATAACTGATGCTAGCCGTAAGAGGATGCTCATATAGACGTAATAGAATCCGCAATTAAAATATCCGAAGTAAAACCAGTGCAACCAACATAGCCAAAGGAATCAGTAAGCTGAAGTGGCAATGGGCTAGCCAGCATAGATAACAGGAAGAAACGACAATTGATATGAAAGTGTCAGACTGACAATGGTAGACATACATCAATCGTGAATGATTTGCTCATCTGACCCGTGTCGCATTAAAGTATTGATGATTGCAATTACATTTTTTTGAACGTTTCGGATCAAACAATTAATAGGGCCGAAGACCAAAGAGTGTAGTAATGTCCGACGACCGACATTATCGAGCGGGTCTCACAGTTCACAGAGTACTGAAGCTTGAAATGATCTATTTACATGACCGACCCGAATAAGACAAATGAATACTTAAATGATCGGGTAACTAGAAATGAATGAATGACACATTTCTAGAAAGTATAGTTCTCGAGGTTGTGACCTCACCTGCCGTTAGTTACTCACCACATCTCACTAAACTCCTTGGCCTCTTTGAAGCCGTGGTCCAAGGCCCTGGTCCTCTCGGCTGCCTTGGAGACGACTCTCTCCCAGCGATGCTGCACAGATACCAACAGATTCTTGATGAGAATCACGTCCTGCTTTTGGCTGAAGTACTTGAGGTGGGTTCCCTTCTTGTCCAGTTGGAGCATCGTCTCGCGGTGCGTGGCGACTTCCTTTTGGAAGGATTTGTGCTCTTCGATTTGGGCTGAAAGAGAAGGCGATAGTAAGTAAAAGATCATAAGTAGCACAGTTTCGCTATCTGAAAATAGCCATACTGAACTGTTTTCGAAAGATAACTTATTTAGGTGCTAAACTACCCACTTTGTTGAAACATTTTTTTATAAAATCTGAAGAGAAAGACAGAGAGAGAGGGAGAGAGAGAGAGGAAATACTCTTTGCAATATGTGCGCTAACAATCCACCTCTTTAAATGGAATTAAAGCGCCTTCTGAAGCTACAACATTCATTACAATTATATTGTAAATATATAAAAAAAGCGATTGCTTACTTAGCAGTGTCTCCATGATCCTGGATACAGGTTTGGCGGAGGTCAAGGTCTTCTCAGCGCTCGTCAGCCAGTCTACGAACGATTGTAATGCGTCATGGAATTCCGTTGCTTCTTTCAGAGCTATCTCCAATTTGATCTTCTTATCCGAGGCCCTAAATAATATAGAATGGCATCATTAGCAATTCATCAATTTAGCAGAGTGGATACTGTCCCTATTATTGTCATTTCAGATCAAGTAAATTTTGTTGACTATGTGAGTTTACCTAGAAGTGACATTATCCCATCTGGACTTCAAGTTCTTGAGGTTGTGATGTAGTTGCGACGTCGGGTTCGGCTTCTCCTGCCGCTTCAGGTACTCCTGGCCTTGTTGTAGTACGGCCTCCATCTTAGGCCGGTTGGCTTCGATTTCGTTATACACTTCCTGTTTTGCAGAACAGAAATATTGTACTAATTTTACTCTCAAAATCACGTTGAAATATTTGTTATATTATAGAAAATCAAAATAGATCAGAAAAGATTTCAAACACGCACCAACTTTTTATCTGCCGACTTCCAAAAAGGAGACGGTACTCAATTCGATTTTTTTTTATGTGTGTTACCTCATAACTTTGTACTGGGTGAACCGATGAACCGATTTCGATGATTCTTTTTTCATATGAAAGCTGATAGTTCTCGTGTGGTCCCATATGAATTTGATCAAGGTCAGACCAATAGTTTTTGAGTTATTCTTAAATAACTTATATTGAAGTCGGCTGTACAACATTTTTAATTTTTAATTATTTTTATCGACTAAATTACTTTAAAAAATACATTGCACTACAAATAATAGTTTTCATTTTGTATTATATACAAATTATATTTTTAGCTTACATAAGCTGAAGTTGTTTCCTTTAAAAAACTGATAATTAACTGAATCTGACTATAGTGACTGATAAAACTCTGTAACACTATATGATGAAATATGCTGAGAAACGAAAGTAAAAAAATTGTTCAATGTTAATTCTCAAGTCGCTTACTTCTACCATAAACAGTTCTCTTACTAACCATAAACCTCTCTAGTTGTTCTGACGCGGTCTCTGGAAGTCCTCCCACTGGCTTCGAAGCTGCAATCACAGCATCAACCTCCGACAGCCATGAAAGTAAGTCTCCGATCTCCGCGTTAAAGCTGTAATAAAATATTTTTATATAGAAATATCTTATAATTTATTTTTTAATTTAAAATATAGCAGAAATTTCAAATTGTGACGGTGAAAAATGTTCTTAAAATTAACAAGAACCCAAACTCCAACAGTGTTCTTTTAATATTTAACATAATCGCAAAGAATGTTAACGTAAAGTAGTTGTCTATCAAAAATCTACTTTATGGCGTTATATGTGAAGGCGAGTTAACTCATTGACAATAGAAAAAAATAACAACTGTAGAAAATCGCATCGTCTTGTGTTGACTTTATCATCATTTTGTATTATTACAGACTAATCTAGTTAGATACATACATAAACTTTATAATCCTAAGTATGTTTTGAACTAACGTACCTCTAAGTAAGCAAAAGAATGAATTTAAAATATTTAAATTAATTACCTTTGTGCCTCTCGAAGTGCGTCTTCGAGCTCCGTTTGTCGGTCTCTAGCTTTTTGTTGCAGCGTGCGCCACTGCTTATTCAGTGTTGCTAGCTTTTCGGCAGTCTCTCCCGCCTCTTCACTGCCTAAAGACGTTTATTAGAATGTTTAGAAATAGTTTAGGTATTACAGTTTTAATTTTCGTCTTTAGAAAAAAATAATTGTTGTTGGTATGGTATATTATTAACACTATATTTAACAAATAAAACGTATAAAACAAAAACAAGTTTATTATATATGGTACACTCAAAAACATTTCATGATGAATTGTAACTCGTACCGTATGTGGATAGATGAGGACTTTTTTATGAAAAATAAAAGTGGAGAAAAAGAAGTAGGGCAGACAGGAATATAAATCGTACAGGTAAAAGTAAGGAAAGTAGGAATATGAAACAAAGAAGAAATGGATATTAGAAATGATGTGTGCGTGTGTACACATTGGGGCGTGTGAGCGCGTGCGCGTGCGTGTGTGCGTACCGTGCTGCACGATGTGCGCGCCCGCGTCGTTGATGGTGTCGACGCTGGCCTGGTGGGCCGCGATGTCGTTCACCAGCACCTTCAATTTCGCCAACTCCACTTCTAGGATCTGAGGCTCGCCTGCCACCTGCAAACAATCAGTTCGTTCGTTAATGTGAAAATGTTACGATTTTTAATTTTGTAGTGGTTTACACAGTAAATTGAATCGTATTTCTGGTCAATGTAAAGTTACAATTTATATACGTCCGACTTATGGGTGCAGGTCTCCTCTTATTTCTGAGCAATTACTTCCCCAAAAGTAATGTGTATTTAACACAAATATTTGTGTTTAATATATTTTTAGAGCTCCTTTAAAAATGAAAAGAATAGGAACAAAGATCATTTATAATATATTTTAGATAATATGAGCAAATATTAAAAAAAACATCAGCTTAAAATAGTAGTATAATGCTATTGTGTTTAGTATGGTAAGTGTAGAGATCCAGAGAGCCCTTTACAGGGCATTCTTTGTTCTTAGGAGTCGTATAGGATGCTATAGGAGACAACATTCACTTGTAATCGGTTTTTTATACCATTGTGTGGTAAGCAAGCATACTACTCACCTGATAGTAAGTAGAAAGAAACCTTTATTTATCCTCGATTAAGAATAAATATACAGATGTATTATCTTCCAAGAGGACTAACATGGACGCTGCGTTACGGGTTAAAGAGACTTCCGGGTCTCATCACGCATCACACAAAACAAAACAACATTATGATGCTCGATTTGTGTTTATTGCAATCAATTAAAAGTTCACATATATGTCATAGTTGCCACGCTTGGCAGGTAAGTTGGCAACTGCGGTTTATAATTATTTAGAGTTGTTGTCAAGAAGATACTGATGCCCAATTTTTGTTTCATATCTTTCTGTCGCCAAAAAATAGTAGTGAAAAATGGCATGGCGCTACAGCGCATATGCCATTTTTCACGTTAATATTGTATGCGCTTGGAGGACCGAGAAAGGGCCATCGTTTCTCGGTAGAGCGTGGATTCAAGGTGCAGTGTGTTACAGCAATAGGTATCGTGCGGTGCGAGTGTGGGTATGTGGGTGTGTGGGTGTGTGGGTGTGTGGGTGTGTAGGTGTGTAGGTGTGTGGGTGTGCGGGTGTGCGTGTGTGGGTGTGCGGGTGTGCGTGTGCGGGGGTGCGGGTGTGTGCGCACGTACCGGGTGCAGCGCGTCGAGCGTGTCGGCGGTGCGCTGCAGCCAGGCCAGCAGGTCGCGCAGCGCGTGCTGCAGCTGGCCCAGGCGCAGCAGCGCGCGCTCCAGCTGCTGCTGGCGCTCCACCATGTGTGTGTGTGTACGGGTGTGTGTGCGCACGTACCGGGTGCAGCGCGTCGAGCGTGTCGGCGGTGCGCTGCAGCCAGGCCAGCAGGTCGCGCAGCGCGTGCTGCAGCTGGCCCAGGCGCAGCAGCGCGCGCTCCAGCTGCTGCTGGCGCTCCACCATGTGTGTGTGTGTACGGATGTGTGTGCGCACGTACCGGGTGCAGCGCGTCGAGCGTGTCGGCGGTGCGCTGCAGCCAGGCCAGCAGGTCGCGCAGCGCGTGCTGCAGCTGGCCCAGGCGCAGCAGCGCGCGCTCCAGCTGCTGCTGGCGCTCCACCATGTGTGTGTGTGTACAGGTGTGTGTGCGCACGTACCGGGTGCAGCGCGTCGAGCGTGTCGGCGGTGCGCTGCAGCCAGGCCAGCAGGTCGCGCAGCGCGTGCTGCAGCTGGCCCAGGCGCAGCAGCGCGCGCTCCAGCTGCTGCTGGCGCTCCACCATGTGTGTGTGTGTACGGGTGTGTGTGCGCACGTACCGGGTGCAGCGCGTCGAGCGTGTCGGCGGTGCGCTGCAGCCAGGCCAGCAGGTCGCGCAGCGCGTGCTGCAGCTGGCCCAGGCGCAGCAGCGCGCGCTCCAGCTGCTGCTGGCGCTCCACCATGCCGCGCAGCAGCGCCGACCAGCGCGCGTTCACCTCCGTCAGCGGCTGCTTGATGGCCGCCGCCTGCTCCGCGGACGTGCGCTCCGTCAGCTCCTGCGCTTGCCTGCGCGACCACACCATGGGTTAAACAAACCGTCACCGACGTATATTGCGTACCAGTGCGAAAGTGAACCAAGTCCACATTCTTAGGCCAGTATTTAGAGTCAATCTCGAACTCCAAAATCAGAATTTCAGTCAAAACCATATTACACACACTTTGACACAGTGAAGTGAATATTATGAAACACACTTTAGTTAACCTTTATTTATAGCTTTGTACATATCTCGAAATTGACTCATAGAATTCAGCTATTAAAAATTACTGAAATATATTTATCACTTCACTATTATGGCAATATGAAATACAAATTATAAAAAAAATACTATTATAGGGTATACAATTAAATTTCCTTTAGTATAAAGAATTCCATCCTTTAAATATATTTACTACAAGAGGAAAAACAGTTTAAAGAACAAATAATTCGAAAGCAAAACTATGTATAAATTTAAACTGATCATAAGATACTGTTAACAAGTAAACATGATAGCAGAAACGTGTTTATATCATTGCATTTCTCGTCTGCACCAATTTAAATGGTTTTTTTTTGCTGATGATGATTATGAACACGCTTCAGCTTGTTAGAAGTAGTATGCGAAAAGTGCTAGAAGATGATTTCGGACAAAATACAAGCGGAATGCATTGACAAAACTACATTGTAACTACAAAGAAGGACTATCGAAACATTTTAAACCTTTGCACACAAAATTGACTTATATTTTCTATGGGCCAATTTGAAAATATGGGTTTCGCGATCAAGTTGAGATTGTAAATTAAGGCAACTTAAATGCTGAATTCAGGATAATTACTACATTTGCCACATTTTTCATATTACTCTAAGCCAGCGCTAAACTACAATCCCACTTGATGGTAAGTGGTGATGTAGTCTAAGATGGTGAAGCGCACGGACTTAACAAAAGCTTATTCACTGCCTTGAACACACTCACATTGTAATCGGATGGAAACACAGATGCTGTCAACTTATTCCACTCCTTTGCTGTACACATGATGAACGATTTAGCAAACCGTTTGGTTCGAACGCGTGGTAAGTCAACAACGAAATGGTGTAGACTGGCCGAACGTCTGGTTGTCCGATAGTGGAAGGAGAGGGAGGAATTAAATTATGCAATTCCTGCGCACACTCTCCGAAATGCATCCTGTACTAAACCGAAAGGCTGGCTACTTTGCACCTGTGTTCGAGACTGGGAAGATTGGTTTTAACCAAATTCCGGTCACCAATAAGCCTCTTAGCAGGTCTCTCCATTGAGTCCAAATCTGCTAGGTGGAATTTTGCAGCACTAGCCCATATATGGCAGCAATACTTCCGGACCGGACTAGCGATTTATATAAAGTAAGCAGTTGTCCCAGCGTGAAGTATCGTCGCACCTTTGCCAGTACTCCTTCGGGCGGTTCATTGAGTCCAAGGCCAAACCAGCTTCCTTGCAGCTGGTTTGGCTTTGAACTCAATGAACCGCCCGAAGTTCAGATTAGAGGATATCTCAACCCCAACAATTGAAGGCGGTCGGTGTATTCTAATGATACATTTCGAAACGAAGGAGCCAAGATGAGCTGGCTTCTTTTTGCAGTCAAGAGACACGCTTGTGTTTTGGAGGCGTTGAATTTTACAAGATTTTCATCGCCCCATTCGGAGACTGCCTGTAGTGTGAGATTCACACGCTCCACCTTAGTTTCTCTTTCGGACTGGATTTGAACCCGACTGGCCCGAGGACGTGGTTGGTATCGCTCCACAACTATGCTATCGTCTTCATACCCATAGATATCGGGCATAAGCAGATCATTAAAATTTAACAACAACAAACATTCCCGACATAGAATAATATTTTTTCTTTACGTAGATACCGCTGCAGTATTGATGCAGTTACTTCAGTATTTGATTAAAGCATTTGTGTTCTATGATAAACATAGTTTTGAATTATTAGTGACAATCATGACGTGCACCTAACAGAGCCTTAACCTGATCAAATCAGAAAACGATGTGGCAGTGCTGTCAAAATACTACAATAGCGTAAACGTACTTTTATCACAGTGATTTAATAGAATTAGGTCTATATATTACGTTTATGAGTTATCCAGAAATACTATATAACCCAATTGGTGCAAAGGTTCATTAGAAAGAAGACAGAGTTCACAGTTAATACAAAACTAAGTAACACAAGCTGCACACTGAAAAACTAAAAAATCGTGTCCTTGCCTCATTAGACTCCTGCAATGGTGTTTCGGTGGCGGGTGGGGTGCAAAGAAAAATACAATATTAGTGCAAAATTCATAAGAGACTCACTTCACCTTGTTACAAAATTAAAATTCACAGGGGAAATCCTAACATATTAAATGTTACCAAGTATAACCAAAACACAAGATATCCCTTTGTTAAAATCAACTTATAAATGGGAAATTAAAGCTAAAGCTACACCTAGTCATATAGCTTATGCGTAAGTAAAAACGTACGTAAAAACTTATGCGTAAGAAAAAAAAGAAAATAAAATTAAAATAAAAACTTTATCAACTCTCGAACTCAACACGCATTACACTTTACTAGACTAGGTGTAGCCTCGGCTTCAATTAAATTAAAAGGTACTTCAACCACTATGGACTAAAGGCATTATAAAGGAAGAAGCAAAAAATTTGGAGATTTTTATTAGGCAGTGACATTAAAAAGAAAAATAATTAATCTCAATTCTATGTTTTTTTTTGTTTAAACGTTACCAGTAGGATAATAATAATGGTTAGGATAATGTTTCTCCATTTTATGGCTAAAGGCCATGTAGCCAATGCCACAAGAAATGAAAAAAAGCAATGTCTCTCGTTAATTGATTGTCTTTTTTATCTTATCTTATTTTTTTATCTTATTGCTGCGGAGTTTTAGAAACACAAATAAGCAACTGAAATATTTTAGTTATTAAATGAAACCGTTTTTGTTTTGTATTTACTACATTGATGAAACAACTATAGCCAAGAATAGGTATTTCCCTTTATCATAATATACGGTTTTACTTATTGCTAATTTCTAGAAATACTAATTTAAAAATATTAAAAACTGAATCTTATTACAATAAAAACTAAATCTTAATTTGATCCATTATTATGGGGAAATTTCATTGATAACTAAATCCAAGAATCATCACATACCTGTTCAAGGCCTCTACTTTGACCATGTGCGGGTCGACTTCTTGTTTGAAGGTAGCTAGTTGTGCGATCTGACGTTTGACCGCGTCAATGTCGGAGCCCAGGGGACCCATATTGGAGAATTTGTCCTCCGCTGAGTCTAGGAACTCTTGGAGATTCTGAAAAAAAAATCATGTTTAGGAAACAGATAGATGGTACCTAGCTTCATGGAGTTATTACAATGTATAAGTGATTAAAAGATATTGGTGTGTCAGATGCAAGTCTTCAATTAGTTTTGAAATCTTGAAAAACACATGTTAATAACACTTTCATCTCGGAAATATAAGATCTGATCTTTTATATACCGTTCTATGAAGTTAAATTTGCAAAGTAATTGTTTAAGATCGGGTTAGCTTTTTATTAACTTTACAAGTCAAAGCAATTAAATTTACCTGTAATGTGTCGTGGAACTCCATGGCCTTCTCCATGGCGTCGATGAGATTCTCTTCTCTCCTAGCGTACAGCGCTGTGATATTATCCCATGCGTTGTCCAGATCTTCCATGTGCTTCTTGACCTCAGGTTTGTCCGGCTCACCACATATCGACATGAGAGTCGAACCGGTCTTGCGGACTTTCTCAACCTATTAAGATATGAAATGTAACATTAGTCTTATGTGCTGTTAAAGGTGTGTGGTTTTTTTATAGGATAGGGTGAAAAACGAGCATACAGTCTTCCTGATGGTAAGTGGTTTCTGTGTCCAAAGACATCCACATTTATCCTCATATGCGAATCAAAATGCAGATGCGTTGTCAGCTGTGAGGACTAAGATAGAATGCCTCTTTTCCAGTAAAAAGGGTCTCCAGTTCTCTACACTCACCATACGAAACACAGCAGTGTTAAGCTGCTATTTTACGCTGGTATTCTGTGAGAGCGTGGTCCTTCCCCGGTCGAGCGGACCTATTCGTGCTACAACTATACTACTAATATAGCTGCAGCATGGCTCTACCACGTAAAAAAGGTGTGATGGGACTTATTTTATGTCTAGAAGACCGTTAGGCACGGTGTTTTATCGCCGCCTTTTAACGATTTGTGCGGCCAAGCACAGGGCAGGTGTTGCAGGTGTTGCAGGTGGTGGCAGTATGAGGGGGCGCGGTGCGTACGGTGCGTACGGTGCGTACCTCGGGCTTGGTGTGGTCGATCTCGTGGCGGATCTCCTGCAGCGCCACCTGCTGCAGCTGGATGGCGCGCGGCTGGGCGGCGGGCGGCGGCTGCGCGCCCAGCGCGTCCTCCAGCTCGTGCAGCGTGCGCATGACGGCGTGCAGCTGCTGCCAGAAGCGCCGCGCGCACTCCAGCGCGCTCTCCAGCGACGACCCGCGGGCACTCGTCGCCTTTTGCACGTCATCCCATAACCTGCCGCGCAAACACAATTATTGCTTGTTTCAACGTACCTAAATACCTTTACCGTTAGAGCCTATTGAAGGCTACGGCCGGACATAGGTCTCCCTCATAGATTGCATCATAGGAGGGATGTATACCAAAGTTGCCACGCTTGGCAAGCGGGTTGGCTACCGCAGTTTTTTATTTTCAATTGTTATTAGGAAGACGCTGCTGCCCATATCCTGAATTGTTTGCCTCTGTGACCTCTTACGACACCCACGGGATGGTATGGATAATAATGATGTAGTGAATATTCTTACACCGCGACACAGTAAATAATGGTTTTGGTAATGGTGCCTGAATAATGGTTTTTAAAAATCAAAATAATTATCTTCATTACAACTCTACACAACGCCAGTGGCAAACATAGGCTTCCCCCTAAGGAATGCCATACAACACGGTCCTGAACCACCTGCATCAATCGGCTTCCTGCATATTTCATCTCTCATAATATGCTAAATTGCACACCTCATAACGCAAAACGTTATTAACTAGTGCTTTTTTTTTTGGTATGGTAAGTGGTTGTTGTGGCCCATAGACATCTGCATCTATTATTGATTACGAATCAAAATGCAGATGCGTTGTCACCCGTGAGAACTAAGATGGAATGCCTCGTTTCCAGTAAAAAGGGTCTCCGGTTCTCTACACTCACCAAGCTCAGCAGTATTAAGTTGGTATTCTGTGAGAGCGTGGTCCTTCCCCGGTCGAGCTGACCCATTCGTGCTACAACTATACCGTAATATAGCTGCAGCATGGCTCTACCACGTATAAAATTTATTCTCGACATGTCAATGTCAAGCAATTTTGTGTTCATAAAATGCCTCTATCATAACCATATTACACTTATAATAAGAGTCGCCATATATCAAAAAAATACTAACAAAACCATCTTATATTTTTTAAAAACTCATTTTATATTACTACTTTGAAAAAAAAAACGGTTTGAAATTTTTTTTACGTGATCCATATTTTGGCTTTGTATGTGGTCACAAATTGACGTATCGAGACCGGGTTTTCTTTTTATTATAGCTATTAAAAATTTAAAAGTGCTTTCATATTTTTGTAGCCCTTGATAGATGTACCTACAACCTATATCGATTTTATACTTTGTGTAATCGATTTATTTTGGTAAACATTATTAATTTTCTCCCTGTAGGTGACGCTACCTGTTAAAATAATAGAGCCCTAAAAACACGTAAATAATATATTTTAAAAGTCAGGAATACATTTTTTTTCTTAAAAATTAAATGAAACGCTCATGAAGCGTGCGCTTTTGGATTTTCCGAACTATTTTGTATTCTTTACATTGTAAAATACGTCTAAACTTTACTGACAAAGGAAAATAACTGGCTTAAAGTTTATTTTTTATCTTATTCAGGACAACAAACAATTACATAATAATGATACCAAATAAAAATTTATAAACAATATTAGTCATTATGTAACCGACACCGTTATCCACAAAGTAAGAAGTTTCTTAATAATATACGGGTACTTAAGATTCTATAGTTCAAAATCATATCTTAGTAGTCCTTCAAACCGGATTTCTATTATACAGGGTTATTTTGTAATATACCGCCAAATTTGCAGAGAAGGTTTGTAATAAGTAATATAGGCGAAAGAAGGCGAAGACAAAATTAATTAAAAAAATCTCAAACACTGTCTTTTTATCTATTAAATTCAGAATGTGTGGTAATTCATTATTTTAACTGATTGTCATTCATAAATATCTAACGCCTACTACTTTACTACGCATGTACACATTCGTAAAGGTCGCTCGGTTACTAATTATAGGTACCTTGCCGCGCGTCTTCTCACGCCTTTTCCTCCATTAGGTACTTACGTCTGGCGAGCTAGCCGACAGTTGACAGTGTTGACCGTGACTTCATTACGTGCAAGTGTGCTTTTGCTATCTTTAAATTTTCGAAAGTAGTGTCGCTTCGTTACCAATTGTGTGATATATGTAAATTGTAATACTATAAAAATGAAATGGTGCGGTATTACATTTTAAGCAATGAAAGTTTACGTTCTGCGCAAAGGTTATAGGAAAGTGAGTCTTTACCGCGGCAAGAAATTAACGTACGTGTACCTACCAATCGATGAACAATTGACAGCTAATCAAACTATTCGAGTGCAGTGAGCTAAATAGTGAATATGAAGATAGGTTGAAGTGATCACGGAGGCCCTTTATTATGACCTGCAAACTCGCCGGAATTTTAATCGTTAGACTTTTATGTGTAGGGTGAAATAAAGAGTCCTGTTTACGTTAAAAAGGCCCAAAGTTATGAAGAACGCCCAGTAAAATTATTGGTGCGTTCACGGAAGTTAAAAGTGCTCAAAATAATTTAAGAAAATGAGCTCGTCTATGCACTGAGAGTGTAATTGAGAATGTAATCTTTTAGTGTACCTATAATCTTCTTTGTGAGAAGTAGCTTGCTTGTGGCTATTGGCTGTTGAAGAAAATATGTTATTTAAAAAAAACTAACTTGTTAAGCTTGTCGAGCTTGTTGCGTATGTCTCTGACAGCCGGATCGCTCTTGTTGGCCTTGCTGATGACGTCAGTGGCGGCGCGCTGAACTGCGTTGTACGCCTCTTGTCGCTTGTCCAGGTCTTCAGATAAGGCATTGTTCTCCTCGATTTGGTCCCTAAAATAAAAATAAAAATATTTTAAATAATTCATAAAGGTATTTTTACTAGTGGTAGGAATTCTTTCGATAGTTAAAAGTTACAGCTCCTCTAATTTATGAGAGGGTTTTAGAACAAGGAGATGAAATGTAAACGCAGCCCCAATGCGTGTTGGCGAACTTCACATGTCTTAGAAATTTTTTTTCTTATTTCTCAGAAATGCAGGTTTCCTTACGATGTTTTTCTTCACTGTCGAGCATGTTGAAAATCAGCACTTAAAATGGCAATTGACAATTTCATTGGTGGCGGCGGGGAGCGAAACTTTTTCGCGTACTGTGAAATTTACAGCGAGCGTTAAGCCTCTGCGCTATCACAGCTTATTCTATGGATTGTGCCTTATCTATACAAATAAATAAAATTGAAGTGTCTGTTTATAATGTCAAAATAACAGCTTTTTACTAAATGCATATGAAAGTTTAAACGGTACTTATAACCAAATACAATTTTTAAAATTTTTGTCTGTCTGTTTGTTCCGGCTAATCTCCAAAACGGCTGGACCGATTTTGACGGGACTTTCACTGGGAGATAGCTGATGTCATAAGGAGTAACTTAGGCTACTTTTATTTTAGAAAAAGAATTAGAGTTCCGCGCAAATAAATAAAAACCCTAACACGCGAGCGAAGTCGCGGGGAATAGATAGTTATATCACATATCGTCATCACTCATCAAAATTGTACATATTTAACTTATAAAATTTCGATACGACGATTGAATGTTTGACAATTGTGATTTCACACGTTTTTGCAATATTTATAAACAGCGTCGTTTTAGGAGCAGAAACGCAAGAATTTATTTGGTAATTAAATGTTAACAATTCTAAACAATAACTTGTAATTTCAACAAATGCATTCATTTTATTCATACATTCTTTAATTTTTATAATAACAATTTACTGGCCTTCTTCAAATTAAAGTAAAATAAAGAAGAAACAGAATTATAAGTGCAAAACTGACTGTATCTTAGGCGGGTGGGCGGACACTGGCTCGGCGTGTTGAAGTTGATCTGCAGTGCCGGCCAGAGCACGCAGCATCCCTTCCAACTTGTCCGAGAACTGCGATGACTCCTGTAACGCCTGTATCAAAAATCAACATTAAATCCTAATGTTTTACAAGAAATTTTTTTGCTATATGTTATTTTTATTTCAGACGTAAATACCATTGATTATTTTTTTAACGTCATTTTTTCTTATTTTTGTTTATTGTAGAAATCTAAATGAGGAGAATACTTATAGGGAAGTAAAATAAATAAGATAATTTTGACCAAGTGATCAACATAAATACGAAATATTGGAGTGCTATAAATAAACGTATAAAGTATCGTGTTTATTTACAAGTGTTGACTTAAGCTGAGCTTCCAAGATACGCGATTTGATAGGTCATATAAAACATACAAAAAAAAACTATTACATTTTATCCAACGAGGTTAATTTAGTCAATAGAAGTTGCCATGTAAGGTTTAGTGTTGGAAACTATTTATATAAAAAAATGTTGCGATTACATGTAGCACTGAGTGCAAGTATTTGATTAAAAAAAAAACCAAAATTTGTTGCTTATGATATTATAATATTCCAAATTGAGCTTTAAAGCTTACGATCTTTATTCCACTAACCTGTTCTAATTCTTGTTGACGCTGTCTCAGCTCTGCTCGTAGCGCGTTGTATCGTTCGCAGTCAGTCTCCACTATGTCCTGTAATTTCGATGCGTCCTCCTCTCCGCAGAGTTTAGACAACGCTTCACCAGTCTTCATTAGTTTGTCTACCAGCGGCTTGTGCCCGGCGATAGATTGTTGCAGCAACTTAGAAAGAGAAGTTATTTAATTAATATAAATACGTAACTAAACAGAGTTATTCTCGATGTTCCGTATGTGTATTAAGGCTTTCGGATGCCAGTCCGAATATGATAATTATTTTTAGCTCAAATTTTATGTATCTATGTTTATCATTTTATGAATCTGTTATTATAGTTACCTCATTTTTGTCTTGCTGCTGAACGATCTGCTCGGGGCGAAGCGCCGGCATGGCCAGCATCTGGATTTGATCCTCCATCTCGTCTAACCATGATGACAATCTTTTGGCAAAGAGCAATGAAATAAGTGTCTTTTAAAATTATAATTTACTCATTACAGTATATAAAATGATACGTGTGTTTGTGTTGTACTTGCATTTAAGATAGGTATTGTCAAAATTCATTTATCATTTACAAGATATTTTAATATTTCTTATATGTTTATCGATGATACTAACAAGCAACAGATAATATAATTTTGCATGAATTTTGAAATGATTGTTACACATTGATACGATCAATATAAAGTGTACATGTAGTGTGTGGTGTATAGGGTATGGTATGTGGTATGCGGTGAGTAGTGTTGTGTATAGTGTGTTTTGTAGTATGTTGTGCAGTGTGTAGTGTGTAGTATGTGGTGTGTAATGTGAGGTATGTGGTGTGTAGTGTGTAGTACGTGGTGTGTAGCGTGAGGTTTGTGGTGTGTAGTGTGAGGTATGTGGTGTGTGGTGTGTAGTATGTGGTGTGTAGTGTGAGGTATGTGGTATGCGGTGAGTAGTGTTGTGTATAGTGTTTTTTTTTAGTATGGTGTGCAGTGTAGTGTGTAGTATGTGGTGTGTAGTGTGAGGTATGTGGTGTGTAGTGTGTAATGTGTAGTATGTGATGTGTAGTGTGAGGTATGTGGTGTGTGGTGTGTAGTATGTGGTGTGTAGTTTGAGGTATGTGGTATGCGGTAAGTAGTGTTGTGTATAGTGTGTTTTGTAGTATGGTGTGCTGTGTAGTATGTGGTGTGTAGTTTGAGGTATGTGGTATGTGGTGAGTAGTGTGTATTATGTGGTGTGTAGTGTGAAGTATGTGGTGTGTAGTGTGTAGTATGTGGTATGTAGTGAGAGGTATGTGGTGTGTAGTATGTAGTGTGAGGTATGTGGAGTGTAGTGTGAGGTATGTGATGTGTAGTGTGAGGTATGTGGTGTGTGGTGTGTAGTATGTAGTGTGTAGTGTGAGGTATGTGGCGTGTGATGTGTAGTATGTGGTGTGTAGTGTGAGGTATGTGGTATGCGGTGAGTAGTGTTGTGTATAGTGTGTTTTGTAGTATGGTGTGCAGTGTGTAGTGTGTAGTATGTGGTGTGTAGTGTGAGGTATGTGGTGTGCAGTATGTGGTGTGTAGTGTGAGGTATGTGGTGTGTAGTGTGAGGTATGTGGTGTGTAGTGTGAGGTATGTGGTGTGTGGTGTGTAGTATGTGGTGTGTGGTGTGTAGTATGTGGTGTGTAGTATGTGGTGGGTAGTGTGTAGTATGTAGTGTAGTTTGTAGTGAGAAGCGTACACTAACCCGTGATGCGTGTCGGCGAAGTGTTCGGCGAGCGGCAACGCCTGCTCTAACGCAGCGAGGCGCGCGGCGCTGAGGCGGCCCACCTCGTCCATCATCTCGCGCAGCTCTTCACTGCGCTCGCGGATTACCGCAGCCTCCTCGCTCGACTGGCATTCGCGGAGCACCTGCCAAGTACGCTAATTTCAATATTTTCCGAAAATAATTTTGCTACAAACTCATACAGTCATTTTTGTGAGTAGTGAAGAGTAGTTTGCAATTTCTTTTATTGCAATTGCTTGCAATTTCTATTATTTGGCGTACATGTCAAATATGTGTGCATTTTTGGATACATACTACACCGGTATTCGGTGTTGGAATGCGGGGGTCCGGCGCGCAGCAAGTAAGTAGACAGTATGTGTGCGGGGGGCGTGGGGCGTACCTTCTTGGCCTGCGCGAGCAGGTCCCGGGCGCGCACGCGCTGCGCGGCCACCTCGTCGGCCAGCGGGCGCTGCGCCGCCAGCTGCGCGCGCAGCAGTATGCAGACAGTATGTGTGCGGGGGGCGTGGGGCGTACCTTCTTGGCCTGCGCGAGCAGGTCCCGGGCGCGCACGCGCTGCGCGGCCACCTCGTCGGCCAGCGGGCGCTGCGCCGCCAGCTGCGCGCGCAGCAGTATGCAGACAGTATGTGTGCGGGGGGCGTGGGGCGTACCTTCTTGGCCTGCGCGAGCAGGTCCCGGGCGCGCACGCGCTGCGCGGCCACCTCGTCGGCCAGCGGGCGCTGCGCCGCCAGCTGCGCGCGCAGCAGTATGCAGACAGTATGTGTGCGGGGGGCGTGGGGCGTACCTTCTTGGCCTGCGCGAGCAGGTCCCGGGCGCGCACGCGCTGCGCGGCCACCTCGTCGGCCAGCGGGCGCTGCGCCGCCAGCTGCGCGCGCAGCAGTATGCAGACAGTATGTGTGCGGGGGGCGTGGGGCGTACCTTCTTGGCCTGCGCGAGCAGGTCCCGGGCGCGCACGCGCTGCGCGGCCACCTCGTCGGCCAGCGGGCGCTGCGCCGCCAGCTGCGCGCGCAGCCGCGCCGGCGCCACGCCCGGCGGCTCGGCCCCGCGCAGCGCTGCGTCCGCCGCGCGCAGCCACTCCACCAGCTCCTCCATGTCGCCCGCCACCTCCAGCGACCGCTGCACCAACACACCACAGTTATTACTTCATTCAAAACTGACACTAAGGTACTAACGCATTCATACACTCATGATTTATAACGATTAAAAATTTATCTCTCTATTCAAACTTTCAAAGCATAGATTTCTATTTATACTACTAAACCGGCAATTCTTAACAAAAACTGTGTCACAACTGTAGATTAAACAGGAACAAATGCGAGCGCGGGCAAGAAACGAGTTACATAAATTAAGATGACCGTTATATTTTCATTTACGACAGATACATTTTCAGGCAAATACGTAATAAACATTAACTTCAAACGACCTTGACAAAGTACACACATAAATAATGACAACGTTTTCTTAGTCACATTTAACAAAATCAATTTTATATTGTCGAAAAAAAACGTTTCCGATTTTAAAAAAAACAAAAACAGACTTCTTACCCGCTTCTAAAAAATAGCACTTAGTGCCGTAATACGCAATGTATTAATGCCACAGAGCCCGTTTAGTAGTATACATAGAAGTCTTGATTGAAACTTTTTTTACTATTCTAAGCCAGTGCTTGACTTAGATTGCATCAAATTAAAGGACATTAAGTTTCCTAAAAAATATTTTTAGTGGAATAATGCAAATATTTTTTTGAAGGAAGTATATGGTTTTTAAGACGAGCAAACATTTGTAAAAATTTTTTTCGGTAGCTTCCTTAGAAACATTCCAGAACCAAACATGATAAAAAAAATCATGCCCAGATCTGAAAACTTGTTTAGACAGTTTGCTTTTTTTTTGCTGTACGATCATTTTCCTCGGAGTTATAGCTTGTTGAAAATTATCAAAATTTTTGATTTTTTTATATCCCTTATTTTTTGTGACAACTTTATTAACATTACAAAAATCCTTAGACATTGACATATCATATGATGTTTAGCCATGAATGCTAGCGTAATATTTTCGTAAACCACAAATTTCTTATTCCGATAAATAATATTTCATTAAATCCACAATTTTAATCAGTAATTCAGTAGATTCCAATTTTACTACAGAAACAAAGACAAACGAGTATTTCAATTTGCAATTACAAAATTAAAAAAAATATATATATTAAGGTTATTGGCTTGGACGCTTGTTCTTTAAGCCATGTCTTCATTTATCTCAGTATCAAGTGATAATAATATTTTATAGTACACTGCTTAACAATATGTTGATGCGTCAAATTGCGTAGCCTTTGGAAAATTTTGACGGCAAACTGAGCCAGCAGACAGTTGGCGAAAGTATCTCAAGACGCCTAAGCAGACAGACACCTTATCTTGAGATTCACATTGCCATTGGAGCACTTGTTTCACCGTTCCCGCTAAAAGTTTACATACGCAGACATTTAATACACAAAATCGCACCACTTTCACATATCACAATCCACTTCAAACCATTATTTGAACAATACAGGAGCAGCAATCCGCCGCCGGTCTTGTTCCCGCCAAAATTCCCTATCAAAAATTATAGGCAGTCCTACCACAGAATAAGTAACAGTACGTTTTAGTAGCCTACATAATTATTATTAATTAGACAAATCACGCACGCAAGCTAAATTCAACCTTATTGGTGGCGCACGAGTGTCCATATATGGCTTTGCATCTTTTTCCCTTTCTACCTCACGGACGATATTGTGTGATAGCTGATTACCTAGGGCTTTAAATAAAGAGTAAAAAATGCAGTACGTATAGTATCTTTTAATTTTTCATTTAATTTACAATTGTTTATCTTTAATATAGTCTTATATTTTTTTCCATCTCTAAATTAACGATTATTTAATTTAAGAGGTGAAAAAACCTCTAAATCTGACCTATAATTTAAATAAATACTGGGAGGAAAAACACGAGGCATGGAGTGTTAAAATTAATATTTGTTAATAAATTTACAAAATTATTTGCTGCATTTTGCTTATTATGTTTTGAAATTTGTTAATGTTATATATAATGTACATATAAATACTCAAATTTATACAGCTATTTTATTCTATAAATAAATATGTATACTAAACAATAAACATATATTTCCGTAAACAGCGTTAAAAAAATTTTGAAATTCACTAGAACGTCGCTCATCTAAAACGCGCTGGCCCTGACTGCGTACGTAACCTGAGGTTCCGCGCGATTGTAGGCATTTATTTCCCGCAGGTAGCAAGAGTAACAGAGGCCTGGTCCTACATAGAACTCAATAGTTCTTAGAATTCTCAATTCCATGTCATGATTTTATATAAATTGTTCAGTATTGCATACTATCTGGGATCACGTATCTACTATTTTTAATAATTTAAATTAATACGGGCAAAAGACCATTAGCAACCTATTCAAATGCAAAAATATTACACTTTAATAAAAAAAAATACCTTCTTGCTGAGCAACACTCTTTCAGCCTTCCTCTGTACTTGCTCAGCAATGGCGTCGAAGCGTCGGTTGTCTCGGGTCACTATGCCCTCTATGTGAGTGGCGCCCTCACCAGGCGAAATCTAAAAAAAATATATATAAATTTGTTAATGTGAGAAAATAAAACATTTATTCTTCGCAATATATTTGACAGGCAAATCTTTGTAAGAGATACTTTTACTATCATAATACATCTAAAATTAAAATAAAAACTATTTACAGCTAAATTAATTGAAAATAAAATTGATATAAAAAGCGAATAATAGTCTTAAGACTAGTTTTACATCCGTTCGTTGTTTATCGTTTTAAAGTGAGATAACTCTGCTCAAGAAGATTATTTTTTAAATGTTTTTTTTGCCACTTGTACAGTAAGTACAACTTTTCATTCATTCATTTATTATAGCCTATCTAAAGTTCAGCGCTGACCAAAGGCCTCCCCATAGATTGCCTCATAGGACATTTGCCTTAGTTATCACCCTTGGAAGGCAGGTTGGCAACCGCGGTTTTTTTTTTAGTTGTTATAAGGAAGATTCTGCTATCTTCATTCTGCCATCTCTTTCATTTGTCCCTGTTGTGTCTTACCACATCCACGAGATGACATGAAGTAGTAGATTCTCAATACAACTTAATTATTTAAAATAACCTTTTCTTATTCTTTTAAAACCTATCTAATTTTCCGTATACAGGACGCAGTAAGTAAAGTAACAACACGAAGTACAATCATTGTATTTTTTTATTCCTTCGATGTACCGCAAGGCTCATATCTAGTCCCAATTTATTCATAATTTACATTAGTGTCATCTGAATGCTAATTAAAATTCAAAACGAAAAACCCAAGTGACATAAAGGTTTATAACGACATCCGTATAAAAATACCTTAAGAACACACATAAAATTAAATTCTGAAGGTTTTTCTCACCTGGCACAACTGTGGTCCTATCAGATTGATGTTTTCAAGTACTGGCCTGTACTCTTGAATTTCAGCCTCCAATCTCAGTATATCTTCTTCACGCGGCTCTACAGATTGTAAGCATGATTCCGCTCCGGACATCCATTCTGTTAATCTGTGGGAAATGAAAAATTTGTAAGCACATTATCACATTTCATATTTTTAGTACGGAAGGTCTGATCTCTTTGTGGCCTTTTCTTATAGATTAAGGGTGACAAACGAGCACACAGACCTAATCATAGCAAATGGATGCTATGGACACTTATATCTATCTTCGATTAAGTATCAAAATGCAGATGCGTTGTCACTCCCGAGGACTAAGATGGAATGCTTCATTTCCAGTAAAAAGGGTGTCCAGTTCTCTACACTCTCCACACAAAACATAACCCCAGGTCGACCGACCCATTCGTGCAGCTGCAGCATGGCGCTATCACGTTCATGCTCTCTTTTCCGTTCTTGCTATGATTTTAAGGTCGACATAAATTAGGTATTTTAAATTCGATTGCTATGACGCTGTTGTCTGTTTCTAACCACAGCGATTACCATATTATTATATTTAAATAGCTGAAAGAAAACTTTGAGAACAAAAATGTTTATAGAGTGAGATAGAGATATTAAGATCTAAATTTAATATTTTCTTTCTTACTTGGTATGGCTGTTGGTTAATTGTTGCACCAACGGTAAGGTCTCGGAAGCAACACGCAGCAACTCTGCTCCGCGGCTCGTGAGATCGTTGTATCGCCGCTGCAATGCGTCTAGTTTGTCCTTAAGCTGCAGAGCCTCGTCTCCAGAGATGTGCTTCATTAGTTCTAAACCAGACTCCACTGTGCTGTCTACAGCTTCCTGTTTCGCCGCAATTTCTTCGGTTTTCTCCTGTTGGTAATAAATTACAACGAACATTAATATAATATAATAAAATATACCATATAAAGGTAAAATAATATTTTTTCCACGTTTTTATTAACTCGCTTTCGTGTACGTCTATTCGAGTCGAATTTAGTAATTGATTTCAAACTAACTTAGAGACGAGTTAGAGACTTGAAATTTAACATAGCTCACAATTGGATGACAATGTAAGAATATGAAAAAACGAAACGTGGTATATTAAAAAAGTGTAATTACAAAAACAATTATTAATAGGGACAGTTAAATCTGATAGGAAGTGAGTGTGGAGACCCACAGACTCTTGTATGCACACTCGTTTAAGACAAAATCCAGATGCGTTGTCATTCCTGAGGACAAAGACGGAGAGCACTGAACTCAGCAGCACTGTGCTGTTATGTTATTTTATGCTTGTTATAGCTGATACCCGCGACTTCGTACGCGTTGCTTGATGATGTATTAACAAAGTTTTCGCTACTAAAAATCGTTATTTCTTAAAACTTTAATAACTTTATATTTAATGAAGATATCGCAATATTATTTTTTTCTAGATAAGGGCCAAGTGTCTAAGAAATAAAACTTAAAAACCTAATTGAAATCTATCCAGTAGTTTTTCCGTGATGCGCGCACAACTGCAAACATCTAACATTTTATTTATATAGATTTTGTAAGCGCTTGATCATTCCCCGGATGACCTGACTCATTAGTCCTGCAGCCTTATTATGGCTGCTTCTCTATCATATCCAGAAACAGAGAACCTCCTGCATGTAAGCTACCAAGGCTCCATATACATATTTCTAACAATATGTTTGTAGATAATCCGTGTAAATAGTATCCACACTTACTGCTAACTCGTCCATCTGTCTAAGCAATTTTTCCATATGCACCGGCAGTATCTTCCTCTTAGCTAGGTACTGTTCCATCACATCCATCCAAGCAGATAGGTCTTGGTACGTCAGCACGAGATGGCGGAGACCTTTGCGAGAGTTGTCTAGAAGTTCGCCGATGTTCAAGCTGTGTTCTACTAACGCTTGGTATCTAAAACAAATCCAATGGTTATAACAGTCATTAAAAATACTCAACTGTGCAAGAAAGATAACTGAAAAAAAAATTCTATTAAATGTAGTGTTCGCGTAAATATAAAAAATCATTAAATAGTAAAATTATTTTTGGTTAAAGTTGAATCAAAACAATATATTATGCTAATACGAGTAACAGACTTTTCTTACACTTATCTTAGTTAAATTAAAATAAAATCTTTTTATTTAAATTTCACCTTTATCGTGTGTATAGGCGTTAATCATAGGTCACTTTTTATATGCATCGTTAATAAACGCACCTGTCGGTACCGGCTTGTAGTCGATCCGCTAAGGCCGTGGCCTCATCGTCTCCAACCAGAGCCATTAGTGTTGAGGCAGTTTCAGTGAGCTGCTTGAACGCCGGTTGTTTCGAAAGGATATCGTCATGGAGAATCTAACAAGGAAGATACAAAAGATTTTTTTAAATTTCATATAAGTTTGTCATTTGAAGAAATATGTATATGTAGTAGTAAAGGACAAGGAGTACAAAGTGTGCCTGGCCGCTGGCTAGTTAGTTTAATATATAATAAAATGTTTTATTACAGAATTTGTATAATTTTAGAAAAAAATAATCTTATTATGAGTACTATAGTCATCATTTTATGGAAAAGGCATTGAATCAAATTAAATATTATTAACGTTTGGGCACAAACCTTGTGTTCCCTGATCTTTTGCTGAATCTTCTCCTCGTCAGTGGGCACGAGCTCCAAAGCCTTGACCTGGCGCTCTGCGCTGGATAGCCATTCCACTAATGGTTGAAGTTCTTCTTGGAATTGTTTCGCGACCTGCAGAGTGAAAGAGTATTCTAGAATGTTTGTTTTCCGTATTCAAAAAAGGACCTATTTTGATTTAAAATAACATAATCTATCTTTTAACTTTTTCCATATTTGATGGTGGAACATTAGCTCAGGGGCAAGTGTGCTTGTTGTAAATATCTCCTATCTACAGCACGCGTCCAACTCGGGTTAGACCACACCGCCGCCACCAACCTGATTTACCACGATCTCGGCGGTGTAGGAAAATATCAAGAGAAATCCTGCATAATCCCCTAAGAATGGTAGGAGACTATGTCCAGAAGCGGGACGTAATAAGTTTGTAACTTTTTTTATAATTTATAGTTATTTAATTTATTCTAAGCTTTATACTAAAATTCATTAAATCAATGTGTATTTATTGTTTCAGCAAAAAATATATAATCATACATCCTACACAACGCACTTAAAGTAAGTACGCAATGCGAAGAGATACACCAGTTTAATATATAGTACCTTCATGGCTTGCTCCAAGTCCAGCATGCGCTGTTGAGCCCCGTTGGTGAGAGCGTCGAAACGCTGCATGAGTCCCTTCAGCTGCTTCTCTATACTCTTGCGTTCCGCTGGCTCGCAGCCGGCCGCCACTTCGTTGCCCATCGCGAACAGAGACGACATCGAGTTTTGCCGGTCCATCAGCATCTTCTTCAGGAACTGCAGACGAAACAAACATTAATTAAATTTGATTCCTCTTTTTATATTAAAATGACAAAGAAGCTAACGGTCTATCTGGTAATTAATTCTAGCTCCCATAGACACTTGTAACCATTTTCAAATCGACCGTGTAATTCCAGTCGTAAGAAGCGACAGAGGACCACAAACCAGGTGATGGGCAACAGCGTCTTCCTAATAAAATTAGGAAACAAAAACAATTGCGGTTGGCTAACCGCCTGCCAAGAGTGGCAAGTACGGCAAATGAGACAATGTATAGGGAGGCCTATATTGTAATGATGATAAACCAATTTCAAATAAAGTTCATTTGTGGCTTTGTTGCCTCAGCACGGCTAGCATAAGCTGGGGACAAAAATTTATTCCCCGATTATATCCACTGACAAGAGATAAAATTATCTTGTTCATGACGGCTCCGTGGCGCAGTGGCTTAGCAATCAGTTGTTGCGCTGGGGACCGCGGGTTCGAATCCCGCACGGAACAAGTATTTGTATGGCCTACAAATAATTGTTCCGGGTCTGGATGTTTGTCCTTGTGCAATTTATGTTTGTAAACTGCCTCCACGACATAGGAGAAAATCCTAGTGTGGGAGTGACGTTTTTTTAAAATAAACCAAATAAAAAAATATGCCAAAGCACAGCAACGGGGAAAAGTATATCCCCGTTTGATATAACGAGTAGACATACGAGTATATCCCCTGTCTGTAGCATGGAGCCAAATGAAAGATAAAAAATTATGCATTTTGGACATTTGAAAGGGACAATTTTATCCTATAGTAAAATTATTTTGTGCGTGCAGTTGGGGTCATAAATCATAGCTCGGCCTCAGCCCGTCTATGGCGGTGAGCATGTTGGGCGGGCGCAACGCCATTATCGATAACAACAAATTAAATTTTAGATATAAGTTATTATCTTTATATTTATATTTATTTTTAATATAACTTGTTACATTCCAAACATTTGTATTTATAGTTTTTTTTTAATACATAGATACCTAATTAATAATTTATTTAAATCATTATTATTCTTATTTTAATAAATACGTTGTTTTATCTTTTTTACCTTTTTTTTCTTTTTTATCACTAACGCACATCATGACAAAACTAAATACTCTATCGATAACGGTTATCGACAAAAATAATGTGCATCACTATGCTCGCTCCTATGGCCCGTGAGTGGGAGAGAGAGCGAAATACTCCAATGATTTATGACCCAAATTGCACGCACAAAATAATTCTAGAAGAGTTTTATCTTACTGTGGATTATATCCACCGGTGTGCCCATGCTCGAAGGGTGGATAAAATTAAGCGAGCGGATAAACATTTTCTCCTTTCCCCGGGGATAAAATTGTTTCCTGCCTATGCTAGCCCTGCAGAGGCTAGCATAGGCAGGCTTAATCTTTTAATATTTACAAGATAAGGTAAGGTGGATTCAACGATTTTCTTACAAAACACGGCGTAATTAATTTTTAAGTAGTTGTTTCAAGATAAAAAAAAAACAGCTAACATAATTAATAACTAAGTGCAAGTATATCAAAATAATGGTACGGGCGGAATTTCATAATGTAATATATAGAAACCTTTTGTTCCTGGAGCTGCGCCTTGACGACCTTGTAGTCGGCGGAGGGCGGCTTCTGGTTGTGGACCATGTCCTCGGTGTCGGCGAGCCACTTCTCCAGGCCGGCCAGCGCCTCGGCGAACTTGCCCGACTGCAGCAGCCCCACGTCCAGCCGTCGCTCGCGCTCGTTCATCTGCGACCGAACGTGCACTTGAGAACGCCGAACGTAGGCCGAATTAAAATAAGTGTTTGCTTTAAATATTCAGAATAACCTAAATCATGATTTTTAACTTTTTTATAATGCACACAAAAGTTAAAAATATTTTTCATCTTGTTATCAGTTTGTTAAAATTTTACTAACAAACTGAAAACAAAGTGGTTTAAAAGAGCATTTTTATTACAAATTTCTGCGCTATTTTCTTTTCCGTATTATCAAACTGACAAAAATATTAATTATTTAGGTAAAACTTGATTTTTTTTTCTTTTGTCATTTCTTTAAATAGAATCTAAGTTTAGATATAAAATAATAAATATCATAAGGTAAAATTATTTTTAGCTCTTCAAACTATAAAAAAATGACGAATTTTTGTGACTAATCACACCGTAAAAGTTATTTGTCATACACATTTTCTAGAATATTCTTACGTTTAAATAATAACACTTTATTTATTTATAAAACTGACCTTCTCCTTAAGCGCGTTCCACCTGTCGTTCATCTTCTCTAGATCCTTCTCGAGCTGTTGCGTAGAGACGCCCTGCAACGCTGACCGCACCAGACCCTGGCCGATCTTGTTGCAATGTGCAACATTCTGTCCCAAGGGCTCCAAGGTTTGTCGCTTAAGATCCGCGAAGTCCTTCTGCTGTGAACGAATTTGTTCTACCTCTGACGATACCGGTTTCAAACTACGCACTTGTTCCGACGCCTGCAAACAGTTTTTTAATAATGAATATAATATTTGGAAATTATTATGACAAATTTAGGCATTGGAATATTTGTTATTTTTTATTGTTAACAGTTTCGCTTTTTAATGGCACCCCATTTGTTCCTGTCGAAGTCGTAAAAAGCGACTAAAGGCAAGTTCAAAAGGCTCAAAGCCTTCGATAGTCTGCGATATAACCTTGCATAATATACATCTTACTACTGCATATTGTAAAGGTGCGATACTGCGGTCGTCGATCCGCTTGCCAAATATAAAATCATATCTTTACATTTTTCACAACAATGGAAGAGACTCATGTCCAACAGTGGGCTGCTAGGGGCTGATAAAGAAGAAAATATTTTCGTCAACGGCGGGAATATGGTTAAGTGATCAGAGTACCCAAATATTAAGACGCAGGTTCGAATTCCAGCCCTAAGGAAACATTGGTGGAAAACACAAACATTTATGGTTGTACATATATTATGTATTCTAGCTTATATTTTATCACATAAGTATAACCTTACCTCTTGTACGTCATCCATAACCGAATCATACGCCTTGTAGAATGCCTCCAGTTTACTTAAAGTGTCATCCAGGTCTTGCTCCTTAGAACGAGCACGTTCATCCAGTTTGCCTAGCTTTTTACGTAGACTTTCCACCTAAGAATAAATAAATAAATGTTACTATGCAAGTAAAATATTAACAAAATTTAACAAAATTATTCTTGGAGTGACATTAACTGACCTGATCCCGGGTCTTTGAAGTGTCGACGGAGTGTCCACTATCGACCAAGTTCTCTGCCGCCCTTTCGGTATCCGCGATAAGATCTTCTGCGTTTTCCAGGCGCTTATAGAAGCGTCCGAGATCATCTAGTTGTTGGCGGACTGTTTTTATGTCGCGACCTGGAGCTTTCATACCGTCCAGCTCCTTTTCCAAGTCGGATAGGTCCTGTGATACGCCCTTAACTTTGTCCTAAAAGATAAATATGTTAAGAAAAATAATACTTATTTACTCTTTTAATTTTTATATAAAAAGTGCTTTTTTTCTATCGTCTAATTCTACTATAATACAAAATATTAGAAGCAAAAATATAAACCAAAACATTGAAAATTTGGTAATATCATGAATTTTTTTATATCGTACATATAATCAATATGAAACGATCTTTAAAATATCAATGGAGTACGAATAATACCTGGAACTGTGCTAGTGCAGCAGTAGCACCGGCCAGTTTGTCTCGAGCGTCATCAGCTTGGGCTTCTAAGAGTTGCAAACGTTCGGCCAGAGCTCTAGCGGTCTCTTCCAATACGGGCCGCGCCCTATTTGCCAGTTCTGGTCCTCCGCACTCAAGTGCAAGGGAAATTATATCATCGGCTGCTGAGTGTACACTCTGCAATAGAAAATAATATGCTTAATAGAATCAGGCGTTACTTTGCGGAAATCCATTATATAAAAGCTTTTACAAAAATTTACTTCGCAAATATCCGCGTTATAAAATAAAATGATGTGTCTTACCTAGTATGAAGAAGCACCTCCCGCCCTCCCTCAATTGCGTGCACTATCCCCGTCACCACTAGCGGTGCTGGGATTAGTGATGACGGGGATAGTGCACGCAATTGAGGGAGGGCGGGAGGTGCTTCTTCATACAAGGTAAGACACATCATTTTATTTTATAACGCGGATATTTGCGAAGTAAATTTTTGTAAAAAAAAAAAATAATATGCATTAAAAAGAGTACTTAAATAGTTTGGAAAATCCAAAAGTGCACATCTCATGAGCGCTTCATTTAGTTTTGATAAATAAATAGATTACCAAAATAAATCGATTACACAAAGTATAAAATCGATATAGGCTGTTGGTACATTTGTCCTTTGTTTATCAAGGGTTAAAGAAAGAAAATTTAACAGCATTAAAAGTTATATAATTTAAAATTAAAACTTTTGTACAGCCGACTTCAATATAATTTATTTAAGAATAACTCAAAGACTATTGGTCTGACCTTGATCAAATTCATATGGGACCACACGAGAACTATCAGCTTTCATATAAAAAAAGAATTATCTAAATCGGTTCACTCAGTACAAAGTTATGAGGTAACACACAAAAAAAAATACAGTCGAATTGAGTACCGTCTCCTTTTTGGAAGTCGCCAGAAAAGTAGAAAATCATTTTACTAACAAACTACGCGTATTAGGCTATTGATATGAAATAGGGAACCAGTTGATGTAATTCCGAAGCTAATAAAAACAATCCGGTCTCGATATGTCAATTTTTTGGGGAGTTATCGTGACCATATACAAAATCAACTATCGGACGGCCACGTAAAATTTTTTCAAACCGTTTTTTTTTTTTCAAAGTACCAATATAAAATTATATTTTTAGAAAATATAAGATGGATTAATTAGTGTTTTATTGATATACGGCTATCATATTATTGTATAAGTGCAATATGGTTATGAATTATGATAGGCATTTAAAGACCACAAAATTGCTTGACCTTGACGTATCTAGAGCAATGCACTACCTAATAACGCTTTGTGTTATAAAGCATGCAATAGATGAAAAATTATAATGTATTTTTTAAATAAACTTTCAAATAATTCATGAATATATTTCTAACGTTTGATTTAACTAGTATTTATTATTGAGAAACGATATTAAACTAACCTGGTTATTTTTGTAAAAAGGAAAAAAGCGAATTTTGCAACTTAATTATATTAAATTTTTTAATTTAATAACTATTTCATATGAGGTTGTTTTTAAACTCATGAAGAAATTAAGAGTCAAGCTGGATACTTAAATACGGAAGGCGAATTTGTAAGATCATTCGACTAATTGAGTAATCAGTATCAATACTTGGTGGGACTCGTGTTATTTATTTATTAGGTGGTGGTGGGAGTATTTATTTAGTTCGACAAACGGCAAAGTTCGTAGTTTCTCCGGTGTTGCAGTTATTTATGGGCGGTAGTACTATCAGTTGAGTTGTATTTTCTTGTACCCCCTCTTATTTTTTATATATATAATTCCTCTGTTCGTGTGTACGTGACTGAAGGCTTAAAGGGTTGGAACAATTTTGATGAAATTTTGTGTGTGTGATTGAGTTGATTCAAGAATAGTTTAGATTAATAATTGGATTTGATAGATGGCGCTATTGTCGAGATTCAGAAATAACCCGTGCGAAGTCTCGGCGGGTCGCTAGTGTAGAACTTATATAGAATAATTTACAATAGGTAATACTGGCTCACTATCACACCGAGTTTTTTGGTACACGCCCTACCTCGGTGCGCTCCACAACGCAACTGACTGCCGGAACTCAGTGCAACCACCGAATAACGTGCTACCCTCCATTACTTGTGTGTATGAGACAATGTATTGTATGTATTAAATAGATACAAATACTTCAGCTATTATATATAAAAAAGCGTGTTTACCTGCAGCGGTGCGCGGAGCGCGTGCAGCTGGTCGGCCAGGCGCGCCACAGCGTCGCGCGCTGCGGCCGGCGTCGCGCCACGCGCGCCCGCCAGGCGCTCCTCGCAGCGCTGCAGCGGCGCCTCCACCGCGCGCACGCGCTCCTGGAACTCGCCCAGCTTGCGCGCCGTCGCCTCCAGGAACTCCACCTGCTGCAGCACCACTGCAACACCACAACACCGCACCACCGTCTTTATTCTACAGACCCACACTGGCACCTATATTATAGTTTTACCACTAATAGATGCCTGTACCGTGAAAGGAACACACTCTCACAAAATACCAGTGTGAAATACCAGTTTGAAACTACTGTATTGCGTATGATAAGTGTACAAAATCACAGACCTTTTTACTAGAAAAGAAGCAGTCTATCTTAGTCCCTTATCCTTTAGGTAACAACGCAGTTGCATTATGACTTTTAATCTAAAATAAATGTGACGTCTATAAGCCTCAGCATCCACTTATCATGAGGTAAACAGTGTGCTCCTTCGTCACCCACATTCTATAAAAAAATCAACAAGTTTATACATAACCGAAATTAATCTTTTAATAAAAACCAAGCCTTCTTCAAAGAAGCCGAAGCGACAGTAGTCTAATAACTGGGATACGAACCACGAAGTCAAAAAATCGTGAATCCAAATTCACCATTTAACCACAGTCGTCAACCAATCCTAACACAAACATTTTAAACTTACCAGAAGTTGTTAACCACTCAGATATTATTACGGCTCATGTATACTAAATGAGAAATACCCAGACCAAAGACAAAAAGCTATGAAATATATTCGCAACTATGGGAGAAACTTATATACAACAGTAAAATCATAACACTGAAAACTGGTAATTCGACTTTAACTTTGATTACTTTCGACCAAACAAAAATAATCCATTTGCACTCACTTTATCTTAATATCACTTATCAAAACAATCTTATTTCATTTCATTATAACTTACCGTTGTTGATTTTATCCCATCTCTCCTTCATGCTATCAATTTGTTTCCTAACCACTTCCTGGTCAACGTCACAGGATGAAATAAATGTTTCACCCAGAGTTTTATTGTTTTCAAATTCTCCAGACCTAACAAGAAAAAACATATTTATTAATTTGTTTTATTAAACTAAACAATAATTTTGTTGTATACAGTAATATTGTACATTTGTAAAATGAAAAAAAAAAATGAATGATGCATTTTATTTTAATTTCACCTCTTCCAAATGTCGTTTCTAATCTGCTGAAGTTCGCGCAGCAGTTTTTCAACCTCTTTCTTAGTAAATCCAGTTGGAGGAAGTTTTTCCAGACGCTCCTCGGTGTCAGAAAGCCAAGGCAGGAAGGATTCCTGCGCTTTGCTATATTTGCGGCAGTGTTCCTATGAGGACGAAACAAAGTTATGTTAATTTGTATGAAATTTTGAATATTACATTTCAAGTCTTTACTTAAAAAAAATCCTTGTAAACTAAAACATAAAGTTCCATTTTGAATATTTGAAAACTTACCATAGCAGTTTGTAAGCGAGTGTATCTGTCGACTGTTTCTCGTTTGAGTTTGTCCCACTGTGTCTGGATCCTATCCAGGTCTTTACGAAGACCTTCGTGGGAAGGTTTTTTTTCCATCTCACGGCCTGTTCGACAAGAAAGTGATTTTTTAATTTTAATTCGAATTTAATTTAAAGTTTACGGTTTATCAAAGAAAAAAAAGTTTTATTAAGTTTAACTGCCTAACAAATTCAATGAACAATGGTCTAGGAGAATTGGACAAGGAAAAAACATAAATCGTTACCGCCATGATACTGTCCCCAAAATTTAGCATATTGTTAACGTTTATTAATCAACGGATATCATCACTTTATTTTTAAATTGGCTAACTGGGGAAATATAAACCGTCACTAGTAATTATTTACGTTCCTAAAAGGGAATATAAACGTTTTACTAGAGACGTGAATAGGTACCAAAGATAATGTATGTTTGTTGATAGATGTGGATATTTTTCCAGCATTTTAGACATCGACAGGTACAGTCTGGCTGTGCGGGAATCTGCAGCGCTAGCAGTGTGCACTGACCCTTGTCCAGCAGCATGATGATCTCGTGCTCGCGCTGCGTGAGCTCGCGGTACAGCGGCTCGTGCTGCTCCAGCTGCTGCTGCAGGCGCGTTCGCACCGCCGACACCTGCAGGCGGCCCGGGAGCGCCACCAGCTCCGTCTGTAGCCAGCCTAATGTGCGCGCCACGTTCTCTTCCAGATTACGTCCTTCCCTGATCATTTAAACAGAAAAAATGTGCAACCATACCAAGATACGGGAGAAATACCTAGCCCTTTTAGAATTTCTCCTGTATACTGAAACTATCGTAGAACCAGGAATTCTTTTTCTTGTAGTTTTTTTTATAAAGTTTGCATAGACTTATAAATAAAAATATGCAAACTTCGCAATATAATTATCACTTGAAAGTTATTTAAAGAGATGTGTCTACTAAATAGACTTGATGCGACACAATAGATTTCTCCACCCACAATTTTTTTTTTATTTGCAGAATTCTTTACCAAATTTTGTCATTGTAATGAGCTTTTTTTAATATATTACCAGTAAGTAAGCGAAGCCTTTTGCTTAGCACACATATATATGTGACAATTGAAATCCTCGCCGGAAGTTCATAGTCAATCGACTTCTATACAAATGTCTTTGAAATCTGTACATAATTCGACGTAATTGCGATCAATATCGCAATTCCAAACAATCATATTTAAAGTTAGATTTTAACGTATAGTATAAGTACTATCGACACTATCTTATTCTATATTAATACTCGCATAATTTTCTTTTTTTTTTTGAAGTGCTTGGTGCTACTGCAACTAATCATTAGTGGCCTGCCGTCATGTGGTATGATCACATCTATGGAGGATGTAATACTTCTGGCTGCCATTTTTTTAAATGGGGAAATGCCTACGCATACACATACACGTACCCGTCATGGGCAGGTTATGTCGGACTTGTATTTCTACCTGTAACGATTAGTCATTTGAAAAGGCGTGAGTACTGACTTGAGCGCAGCTTCGGCCTCGGCCTTGGCGATGTCAAGGCGGCGCTGCAGCGCGTCGTACTGGCGCGCGGCGCCGGCCAGCTTGGCGGCCACGTCCTGCCGCGCCGCCGCCTCGCCCAGCACTGCGCCCAGCGCTTCGCCTGCCGCTTCCAGGTCCGCCAGCAGGGGCCGCTGCCCTTCCAGCTGCCTCTCCAAGTTCTGGTACACAGATTGTTCATTTTTTTACATATTTATCGTACACACAAATAATTTCACACATTTGTTACTTTAATCGTATATTTTAATGTATTTCATAAAAACTTTTATCGTGTGTGACATGAAATTGTATTACTCTAAACCCAAAAATATGTTTTTTTTTTATTTTTTACTTTGTGATTAAATAATTTTGTATGTGAGCCCCGCGTCCAGCTCGCGTGCCGAGTCCGCCGAGTGCGCCGCTCCAGGCCGCACGCAGCACACGCACTTACCTCGATGGTGCGCAGGCGCTCGTCGGCGGGATGGCTGGGCGCGGCGTCCAGCCTGTCGGCGAGCGCGTGCAGCGCGTCGCGCATGCGCGCCAGCCCCGCGTCCAGCTCGCGCGCCGAGTGCGCCGCTCCAGGCCGCACGCAGCACACGCACTTACCTCGATGGTGCGCAGGCGCTCGTCGGCGGGATGGCTGGGCGCGGCGTCCAGCCTGTCGGCGAGCGCGTGCAGCGCGTCGCGCATGCGCGCCAGCCCCGCGTCCAGCTCGCGCGCCGAGTGCGCCGCTCCAGGCCGCACGCAGCACACGCACTTACCTCGATGGTGCGCAGGCGCTCGTCGGCGGGATGGCTGGGCGCGGCGTCCAGCCTGTCGGCGAGCGCGTGCAGCGCGTCGCGCATGCGCGCCAGCCCCGCGTCCAGCTCGCGCGCCGAGTGCGCCGCTCCAGGCCGCACGCAGCACACGCACTTACCTCGATGGTGCGCAGGCGCTCGTCGGCGGGATGGCTGGGCGCGGCGTCCAGCCTGTCGGCGAGCGCGTGCAGCGCGTCGCGCATGCGCGCCAGCCCCGCGTCCAGCTCGCGCGCCGAGTGCGCCGCTCCAGGCCGCACGCAGCACACGCACTTACCTCGATGGTGCGCAGGCGCTCGTCGGCGGGATGGCTGGGCGCGGCGTCCAGCCTGTCGGCGAGCGCGTGCAGCGCGTCGCGCATGCGCGCCAGCCCCGCGTCCAGCTCGCGCGCCGAGTCCGCCGCCGCGCCCAGGCTCGCCGCGCGCTGCTCCAGCCTGCACGCACCACACTCACTTAAGCCGTGTATCGATTATGCGCTCCAACATGCCGAACATTGGCGCGCGTTCCAGACGCGCGAAATGGATACCGCCATGGAACGCGCGCCAAACTGTTCGTTGGAACGCACAAACGTGCAACGGGCCGTTCCACCTGGTGTCGGTTTTTTATCGTGTATCAAAGTAGTTAAGTTCTGGCGGAACGGTTGTTTTCATCATTCGTGTGCTCGTTACGTTCCAAGCTATAGATAACCAGAGTTGGCGTAAATTGATAAAATTATATGATTCAAAATAACTGCTGTAGAATAGCAGAACTCGTTTTATCATAATAAAGCGCTCAGAGAAAATGTATGGAACTATGAAAGCGGCAACTGTTCGTACACGACCGACATCCATGTTGAACAGTCAAACACTGGAACGGCTGCCGCACCAGGCGCGCTTAGTTGATATACTTGAAATATTTGAAACGCGTTCCGCGGAACGCACTGTCGGCGCAGTCATTCATGGCACGCGCGTGTGCACTTACGCACCGCTCGTATGCACTCCTCGCGTGTGCACTTACTCACCAACACACGAGCTTGCGTACGCACTCGCGTATAGACAGCGGCGCGAATCATAACCACCGTATACTACCAGATAGAATCTACCTTAATATATTGCGCACTAAGTTACACTTAATTCTCCATAATTTCTTAAGTCGACTGCGAACAATCAAAAAGACTAGTTCTTTGTTTTGTAAACCGCGTATATTGTTTTTGATAATCAAATTCTGATTTTGTTTAATGTTACTAAAAAACGATGTCATTAATTATAACGGCTCAGTAACAACATGATTTTAAGTTTATATCAATTTAATATATTTATTTCATACTTGACTAAAAACGCTCGCGCGATTTTCAGCTATACACAGTTGAACAGTTTACATCGAACACATTATGTACGAGTAGACATTTTAGTTTAAAGTTTTTATTTAAGTCAGTACATGTATGGACGCCAACATGGTCTCGTGTGTGCTCACATACATAACATTTATAAACATTATAACAATATAATAAACATTTTGTGTATAAACAGTATTTTAAGTAACATTACATCAAAAGGTGTTGAATAGCACAACAACAGAGTTCATCTGAATTGCCAGTCTAGTAATGTACATAAGTCACTTACGAACACGCAATAACAACATAACATACTAGAACAATACTACTGTGTGTCGTATGCTGAGTTACAAGAACCAACTACTTTATATCGGTAAGAATCTATCCCATTTTGATACTCAGGACTCAGGGGTAATATGCTCATTACAACCTATCAAAAGCCCATACATTAACTCATAATATCCACCATATTTGTTTTAGTTGCTTTACCTTTGTCAACGACCTTCGACAACCGTTGTTTTGGCTTTTGGTTTTTTTTTAAGATACTATCAGAAAGATACTTCCGCCTATCTCCTGTAGAAATGACAGTGTGAAATTTCACACTGTGACTTCTTACGACACAGGATAATATATACGACCTACAAGGCAGCAACACATTCCAATTCTCAATGGAGGATGGATTTAAGTGTCTATGTACTAAATAATCTTCTCTTACTCTTACCATCAGATGAATTTGTGATAATTTGTCATCCTTACTTATACGGGGTTATTTTACAATAACCGGCCAAATTTGCAGAGAAAGTTTAGAATAAGTAATGTAGGCAAATGGTGAAGAAAAATTTATAAAAAAAAATTCAAACATTCTGTCCTTTTTGTCTTTTAAATTCAAAATGTGTGGTAATGCGTTATTTTAACCGGTTGTCATTCATAAATATCTATTTTAGTACGTACGCACACATTTGTGAGGGTCGATCGGTCAGCAAAACGTTGTGAATTAAACCACACACAGAGAAGCGCGCATGTAGTTATTGCCCATAAATCACAAACAATTTGGGATAATTTAAAATAAAAGTAGAATCCTCATTTACTCGGTATTTTTAAAAACTACAATAACGATATATAATTATTTATATGTTAGAACTTAAGTTTAAAATTTGTCTACTCTTTGAAAAATAACCCTGTATAAAATAAAATGTGTTCATGTCTCGGCAACGAAATCTAACAACTTGTTGAAGAGAGAAAATATGTTAAAAATAGATTTGTGATTGTTCCATTCCAGTCGCGAGCTAAAAAAATGTACGCCAAAATAACAAAAAGGTACTTATAATATAGTCGGTAAACGGTTTTGTGGCGCTGAGGGTCGCGAATTCGAATTCCGAGGAGAAGAAATATTTGTATCCTTGTGCAATTAAAACATATATAAACTTTCTCTGGGATACAGAAGAAAATTCTAGTGTGGGATAGCTATATTAATAAATGCATGTGTACTGACTGGTCGAGCAGGCGGTCCCAGTGCTGCTGCAGCAGCTGCACGCGCTGCTGCAGCGCCGCAGCGTCGGGCGCGCCGTGCGGCAAGCGCTGCAGCGCGGCGCTGCACACGCGCTGCAGGTGCGCCAGCTGCGGCTGCTGCGCGCGGAACTCCTCGCGCAGCACCACCACCTGCGCACACATCACCGCATTACTACTTTCAATACTCATCATCATCATCATCATTACAGCCCTTCACAAGTCCACTGCTGAATAATGAGTTTTTTTTATGATTTTTCAAATAAAAATGTATTTTAATTAAAGCCACAAAAAATACAAACATTTTTGTGAATATCACATGACTTAAATCGTTTTACTCTATTCAAGTGTTGGCATTTACTATATTCATATTATTTTGGTATTCACTTTGTAAGACTACCAACACAACACACAAACACAAAATATTTTTATATTAAGTTATTATTAGTTGTTGGTTTGTATTTCTTTATACTATCAGTAATAATAAAAATAAAAGTGATATGGTTGAAAATAAGTCTCTAACAAAGAACTTCCTACAATAATACATTATCTCAATCATAGTACTATGTAACAATTTCATTTAATGCTATGGCAACACTAGCTAAAACAAAATGTCACTGTATTTTTACTGACTTTACGGCTCTGGGTTCTAGCCCTTCTGTATCTGTAATAAGTATCTCACTGTATGTCACAAAGGCCCTTACCTTAAATTTACCAAAAGGTAATTATTCTTTGTGTAAATGTATCAGCGTTAATTATAAACTGATATCTTTCTTTAGGCTACATCTTTTTTTAGGTTACAAAGTGTTATCATAAAATGTCTCATGAATCACAACACTATTAATACATTTTACTTTAACATACCTGTTGGACTTGTGTCTGCACCATCCTCGAGTCGGATGAGATGGGCCCTAAAGCGGCCATCATGCGGTCTTTTGCGCCGAGCCATTGAGAGAGATTGCTGTGAGTATCATGGAAGTCCTTCATCTCTTCCATTAGTTGGATCCTGTTAAAATTAAGCCAAAATAAAGTTTTCCATCATCCCATCACATTCCACTCACTTCACGAAACGCAGAAGCGATTTCCTTTTATTTAATTAATCCAAGTCGATCTATTTGTGCGTTAAATAAGTAGCAGTAATAGTTTAAATAACAAAAATATAAATTAAGCAATTGAATAAGAATTTCCAACGTAATTATGTATAAATTAAGCAATTGAATAAGAATTTCCAACGTAATTATGTATATATAAATAACTAATTACTTACTTGTCTTTGAAGGCATCATGAAGTGACTTCCACCTGGAAGCGACGTCCTCCATCTCATCGTGCAGTCGATCCGCGCCTTGTACGCTCTGTTTGCGCTTAAGAAGTTCGCGGACCTGCAAGCAAAACATATTATAATTAACATATTTAAAATATAAACCCGTATTTTATAAATAAAGTAGCGATCCCCCTCTTTGCACGGGATGCACCTTCTCATAAGTGTTTTTTTTTAAATAGTACCTGGGTCTTAGTAGAGTCCAATAAGCTCTGTTTCTCATACATCTCCTCGAGTACGGCTCGCGCTTGTTTGATCGTCTTGTCTGCTTCTTCTTTCGTGTTGGGAACGGAATCCTTCGGCAGTTGTCTTTGTACCTGGGATTAAAAGAATATTGACAATTAGATATTATTCTTATAGTTTAGATATTTTACTACCGCGGCAACCTATCTTGCTTCTATCACATCTATATATCTCAGCATGGTCGATTTTAAATATGTCGCCAATTTGGTCGATAAACTTCCAACTAAAGGGTTTCTTGACGACTCTGTCACGAACTTTTGCAGCATAAATTTGATTCGTCACTCTTTTCAGTGACGTTTATCATTAAAAAGTCGATGAATAAACAATAATTATGAGAATAATGACGTACCTTGTCAAGGAAATTGTTGAGTGTGCGCAAGTTGTCGAGATGCTTCCTAATTTCCTCCCTGATATTGTCGATCTCGGCCTGGCGGTCGGATAGCTTGCTGCCCAACAGCCCGTACCGATTGTTGATGTCGGAAATATGCTGCTGCACTGGAGAAAGATCTGTAAAAGATTTTGTTATTTTGTTATTGTTTGTATATAGGCCTCCTTCATAGAATAGAACAAATATCACGTGTACAAAGACGTGTACACTTTACAAAATATTATCATGTATTACAACTAAGCTTTACCTTCAAGATGGAAGCCATCTTGGCTGGAGCGACGCGACGAGAACCCACTAGAAGTTGAGTGAGACCCAGGGCTCACTAAGTGACCTTTGGTTGGTGACGGCGATCTCGCGTCCAACGAACGAGCTATAATATGATAAAAACTAAATAACACATCTGTAATAAGTATTTATGATAGTTAAAAATACAACTTTGTATGCTGTAATGGCAATAATTCTAAATATCACTAATTACATGACATATTAAGAATGAGAAGAATATGAGGGTAGAAGTAATTTAACAGTTAACTGAGGAAGACTCACTTGGTGTTTGCCTCTTTGTCGGGCTGTATATCTGTCTTCTTCTGTGTGGACTGTCGGCACGGTCGCCCCTCGTTAGATTTTCATACAAAGCAGCGGCTTCGTTAACCTGCGTAGTAAACAGTAAATTAGTGTCAATAAATTTGCAAAAGATATAAGATATAGAAACGCCTGCAAAAAATATTACTCGTATACTTTTTATTAAAGTTTTCTTGAAATTTTTACTAAAACTAGTAGTAGGTCTGTTTGCTCACCCTGTCGATGGTAATAGAGAAATCTCTGTGCTCTTTGGTCAGCGGTCGCAACTCTTCGTGCTGTGTCTTCAAAATGTCCAAGTCAACAGCCACTGGCTGCAAGCGAGCTACCCTCTCCTCCATCATCTGCAGCCATTCTTGCACCTGGGGAATTATATAGTAGGTTAAATATACGACCTAATTAATATCAAGTCGAAGTTCAGCCGATATCTAATTTGATGGTGAATCGTAAATTATACCCATTTGCAGTTTTTAATGTTGTAGCGCATTGCAACAGAGTTCTAATTGGTCGTAGAAAAAACAGGTATACGTCATTTGCTTTATCTTTACCATTTACATTATTATTCCCTTAACACAAACATTTGATCAATTATTTGATCAGTGGTAATCCATGCTTTTTTTGTTATGTAAGAGTAACAAGTATGCTGCATATTATTTATAATCATACACGAAGTTAGCGTGTGGCAAATTCATTACCCCATTTCATGTTAATGTCTTAAGAGGCGACTATGGAAAATATCAAAAAATCATATTATCATGGCTCTGGACTTTGCTTTGTGGCATTTCTTGGGGGGGGGGGGGGGGGGGGGGGCTATGTTCAGCAGTGGACTTGCTGTTATGATAATGATGATGATTCCAATATATTGAGATATAACCATCCCGTTTACGTCTGACTTAAAATACCTAGACAGGAGACTGACAACAGTGTGAAAAGTGCGAGACGTTTGGTATTGCGATTCATATGCGGCGGCCCATAAGCCATGGACTTACACAGGCGAACAACAGGTAAACAATGGGTACTTCAATATTTGGAATTATATGACATATTTACTGTTTAATAGTTGAAGAGAATGCGTAATTATATGATTTATTTACTATTTAATAATTGTAACACACAATGACTTGTCAGTGAAGCCACAAAGCTCCTAATTAAAACCAGCGCTGACTTTACAGCATTACGCAAGAGTTGGAGAGCTATTTGATGTCACATTTTAATTATTTTTTTATTTTATTATTAACTAGCGATCCACCCCGGCTTCGCACGAGTGATTTCTGGATCTCGACAACAGCGCCACCTACCGAGTCCAATTGTGAATCTAAGACATCCAGGGACTCGCTCAAGCGCACACAAAAAATTTCATCAAAATCGTTTGAACCGGTTTCGAGTTTTTATCGAACCTAACGATGCTTTCCGTTAATTTTCTTAATGCGTATATCTTTATGCGGTAATTCTTATTATTAATGCGTATGCAGTCTTAAACTGATGCGTGCATATTTTTGCTCCTTGCGTTTGTATATTTCTTTTTTCAAAATATATGTATCAAATAAATAGTTCTTTCTTTCTTTCTTTCAAATAATCATTATACCTGAATCCTGAGCGACTCGTATTGATTAAGTTGGTCGGCACGTTGTTTAGATAGCTTCTGTTTCTCTTCCAGTGCGGTATTGAAGTCGCGCCATAAGTTCTCCAGAGCCTGAAAAAATTCAGTTATTTAATTATATAATACGGATGAGAATTTATCGAAACTAGGTATTGTACAAGAGTTAAATAATGTTTTTTTATTCACAAAATGCAACATTTCACTCCTTATTAAATTAAATAAATAAATAAAATTTACAAACCATATTTAATAATTTACTGTTATTAAAATAATTGGGAAATAGAGGACAATTTTATGTTACAGAAATGTATACATATACATACCTTCATCCTGTCACGCACAACATGGGTGTCGGTGATGTCTTTCTTGGCGAGAAGTTGTTTGCCGATATGGAGGCACTCCTCTAGTAGAGGCATTTGTTTGTCCCTATAACCAAACATAAATATTTGTTATGTAATAAATATAAATAAACCTAGACAACAACGAACGCTAATAAAGATATTTTAGGAAAATTAAAGTAGCTACATGGAGCCATATGTGTGTGCTGCAATTATATTATATTGCAACTTAGTTGGTTGGACACTCTGGGTGACACTCCGTTTAGGTGGTTTGTATAGGAGGCCGTCTGGTAGGTGCCATTCTCTTACCTACGTATTTCTGACGCCAAAAAGCACTGCAACTGAAATCGCGGTCTGAAGTGTGTGGAGGCAGCATAATTACAAGTTGTGAGGCAATTCTATATTAGTTTTATAGGTGACAACACATTTGTAGTGTTGTTAGTTTGCAGATGGTTGCAGGAGTCTGGTTTGTATTTTTTTTATAGTATAAAGGTGACAAACGGCCACACAGTCCACCTGATGGTAAGTGCTTAGTGTGGCTCACAGACATCTACAGTTATCTTCGATTAAGAATCAAAATACAGTAGCATCGTCACCTCTGAAGATTAAGATGGAATGCCTCGTTTCCAGTAAAAAGGGTGTCCGGTTCTCTATACTCACCATACAAAACACAGCAGCATTGAGCTGCTATTTTACGCTGGTATTCTCTGAGTGTGGTTTTTGCCCGATCGTGCCGAGCCATTCGTGCTACAAGCATAATATAGCTGCAGCGTGGCTCTACCACGAACAAAAATAGGCACGGGTAGTATTAAAAAGTGCGTGGACAGGTCGTACAGCGGCTGCAGCGGCTGCAGCGGCTGCGTGCAGCGGGCCGGCTCGTACCTGAGCGCGGGCAGGTCGTGTGCGCGCGGATCTTGCAGCGCCTGCAGCAGCTGCGCGTGCGCAGACTCCAGGCGGCCGGCTTGCTGCGTGAAGCGGCTCAGGTCGCCGCTCACCTCCTCCAGGAATTGCCCGCGCCGGCTCGACTTCTCCACCAGCTTCTCGTATCTAGAGAGGAAAAACACCATATACAGAAAAATATTACAGCGATATAGCACCTCGTCGCTGCGCTTGCTATACGCGACATACAAGTAAACCGACTTTTCATTAACAACAAAGATATATTCAACAGTTTTAACAAGATAAGTTATTTAAATACATTAAATTTTTGCTCTTTATGAGCCTTAATATATATTTAAGGCGCAGTTTTCCGATGTTAAAATGCTTTTAACGCTCCCCTTCTCTGCTGTACATATTTGTACAGCGCAAAGTAAGCGTATAAAGTTACTTTATTTGAAACGTTTTTGCTAATTATCAAAAAATAAACTATCTAAACTAAAATGTAGCCGACTAAGAATCTAATTCACTAACATGCTTTAAATATCGAAAAATATTAAAAAATATTTTTTTAAAAACGAGAATTTGAACGTCTTTTAAAAATATAAAGTATTTTAAAAATTCATTGGATTAACAAATTAATTAAGTATTTCATGTATATTTTTTTCCTGAGTATATACTATTTCAAGAAGTATCAATTGTCGGGCGTCAAAATCGTGTCTTAAGGTGACACTAGTCGACAATATTTCCATTGATTTCCATACAAATTTCGGAGGGGTTTTACTACGCTGTTTGACAGTGTACATCCAAAGTTAAACATGATATCGTTTTGTCTCATTATCAAATTTGTCTGTACGGAAACAGAATAGTAAAATAAAATGTTATTAAAAAGTTACGAGCTACCAAAGATTCGTTTTTATTGCCAATTTTAACACAACTTTGGGCGTAAATTAGTAATAAAAGAAGTGTGAAATTTCCAAAACAAAGTCGGTACCGACACAGCTCAATTATCGAAGAATTCAAGAAATTTTATTCGTAATTAATTTATGCAGTGGTTTTTTCATAAAACCCCTTCTTCCAAAGGCCTTTTCGTATTTTTTTACGCGCGTATGTTACTATGAATTATCGTGCATCTCACTGAATAATGTTTGCCCCGGTGCGGTGCGGGAGGACGACGCTTACACACACATGCACGGGCGGTGACGCGGGCTTATTCGAGTTTTATTCGAAACGAAAAGTTTTGCTATTTTGTAATTTGGACGCCAAAGACAAAAGACAGCATGGAAATTGATATAATTGAAAGAGATGATGCGTTTTGGACGACAGACAATTTTGTTTTTTATTTCAATTTTCGTCTGTAATATAATATAATTATAAAAGAAAAAAAATTAAGTCTATAATATACGATTACTATATAAAATTGCAACAATTTCATTGGTGCCGACGGGGATCGAACCCGGGTTGCTCGCGTAGTGTGATACTTACGGCGAACGATAACCATCTGAGCTACCACGGCTCTCAATGCAAGTGTTATAAATAAATAAAGAATTACAAATACAGTTTAATTATTTATTAGACGACTCTTGCGGCGGACAAACAAGGTATATTATGTGGGATTTTCATAGGTACCTACTGTTATTACCTAGATACCTACAACCTACAATACAACAAAATGTCACAAAACGTCACCGCGTCGTGGCCACAAAATTGTAAACTTTAGGTAGGTACGTCAGTACTAAGAAAACAATCTTGATGGGTCACTTGTCTTGATAAAAACCTGTGTTTACGTTTAGTGATATTGAGTATATATAAAAAAAAGTAAGAAGACAGGTAAGTATTTTTGAAAAAAATTTATAGGTAAGCAGAACTAATTACAATTATTATCTAAATATTATAAATGCGAAAGTTTGGATATTTGGATGGACGAATGAAAGGATGTATGTTATTCAATCACGCCAGAACCGCTGAAGGGACCTGGATGATATTTTGCTCAGAGATAGGTTATAGTCTGGAATTTTATTTTATTTTATTTTTTAAAAATACATTACCCCCGCACTAGCATTTTCTCCTGTATAGTGGAAGCAGTTTACAAACATCCAGACCCGGAACAACTATTTGTAGGCCATACAAATTTTTTTTTTCTTATTTAAAAAACGTTACACCCACACTAGGAGTTTCTCCTGTATCGTGGAGGCAGTTTACAAACATAAATTGCACAAGGACAAACATCCAGACCCGGAAGAATTATTTGTAGGCCATACAAATACTTGTTCCGTGCGGGATTCGAACCCGCGGCTCCCAGTAATATAAAATATTTCGTTCCCGTGGGATAATTTTTGCAGTTACACACGTTCGAAGCCGAACTCTTGAGTGATCGCTGCATAACCACTCGGAAAAACTAAACATAATAAAATAAGCAATCTATATTAGGTATATAGAGCCACAGAGGTATAATATGAAGCGATAAAGCAGCGCCTAATCATTTCGCGGTTTCACCCGCGTCATCATGTGTCCGAGATGCATGGCATGACATGACACCTAGTTTTATAATTGCAATCAAATATTTTATTTGATAATAATGTATGGAAAAATTGTCATAATTAATGAAGTACTTTTATTTTATCTGTCGGCATACTATGCGCGGTTTTATTCAGTTTTAAAGAAAAACGTACACGATACATGAAAAGTGTGTAGGCAAGAAATGATTCTTGATACATTTGCTATCAACCTCTTATACTCTTATACGGCTCCGTGGCGCAGTGTCTTAGCAATGAGTTGCTGAGCAGGGGGCCGCGGGTTCGAATCCCGCACGGATCAAGTATTTGTATTTGTATGGCCTACAAATAATTGTTCCGGGTCTGGATGTTTGTCCTTGTGCAATTTGTGTTTGTAAACTGCCTCCACGATACACGAGAAAATCCTAGTGTGGGGGTAACGTCTTTTTTTTAAAGAAATAAATAAAATAAAAACTTATTAATCAATTAAACTTTCAAAATACCATAGCAACGTGAAATGAAAGAGTTCAGAATTAACTAATCATTGTTACGCTCACCTGGGAGATAGATAAAAGCACTCAATTAATTTTGAATTTATTTTAGCTACCAGCTGTTCCCCGCGACTTCGTCCGCATTTAGTTTAGGGTGTTAATTTTGTTGCACGGACGCCTAATAATTTTTCTAAAATTTAAGCATTCTAAGTTACTACTTATAACATGAGCTATCTACTAGTGAAAGTCCCGTCAAAATCGGTCCAGCCGTTTTGGAAATTAACCGGAACAAACAGACAGACAGACAGAAAAATGTTAAAAATTGTGTTATAAGTAGCGTATATAATTTCATATGCAATTAGTAAAAAGCTGTTATTTTGACATTATAACAGACACTTCAATTTTATTTATTTGTGTAGATATAGATAATGATTGAACTAACGGCTAACCTAACCTCGCTCATAGAAGCTTTCAATACTGGCTTCTCAGTTCGCACCGGGCTAGGGGTTATGCGTTGTTTGCGCGTCAAGGCCAAGTATTGAATTATTTTAATTTTACATTATCTCAACTATGTACTATATAAACATGGCATAAACAACGAAGTTTATCTTCAAAAAATTGTCTTGATAATGAAGTAACTTTCGTTCGTAAGGATAAATATGCCATGCCTAATAATTAAATTTTCATTTTTTTTTTGTCAAAATAAAAATGCCTAATTGTGGCTTATACGAGTATATAAAAAATAGACATATGGTATCGCGGACTTTTTTTTAGACGGAGTAAAGATCTATATTTTCTGCTTTATTATATTAGTATAAATGTTGCATCGTGTTCGTGTAACTTCGTTTTTGTTCAAACGGTTCTGAATGCCGTACGAACAAGACGTGCGTGAATACTAGTGTCGATATGCTCATCACTGATACTATCTCTGTCGGGCACGATGCCAGGTGAGACAGCGTGCTTTTTGGCCGCGCCCACCAGCGAGTTCGAGCCCGCGACTTGTGCCACCTTAAAAACAATATTTTCTCCAACCTAACCTTACCAAAAATGTTGGTACAACGACACAACAAAATTTAAATTTTATTAAATGGTATTGCAATGCTGCAGATATAACTGCAGCAATAATGACTGGGAAAAGAAGCTTTCATAAACAACATATATGACACACAGTGACAAAGTATCTGTATTTTTATTTATCAAAGATACTCTCAATAATACTCTCTGTTGTCAGTTTGCACACTTTAAATCAAAAAAATGTACTGTGACTAGTCTATTATCAGTCTTATTCATGTATGCAGGCGAGTTTAGCATTTACTTTAAGAATTAATTAGGAACATTTTCCCATGGATAAATTTTTTTACCATCAAGGATCCTGTATACGATCTGGGACAGTCATCAAGCACTGACTTATAATAGTTAAAAAGGACCAATAATTTACCTAGAGTACATGTCCTCAGCGCGTTGCTCCAGCTTCTTGGCGATTCTGGCGTTAGATGGCGTTAGCGCGGCGTCCCTGGCGGCGGCCAGCAGCTTGGCGAACGTGGCGCGCCGAGCCTCCGCCTCGCCGTGCCACACGCGCTGCTCGCGGATCTGTTCGTCGAGCCGCTCGCGGATTAGTGACGCCGGCTTCACTTGACTCCTGTTGACAAAAATAATTTTATAGCGGCAATCAGAGACTTTTAAGTAGTCATTTTATGTTTTATACTGATGGGATATTAGTCAAATATCGGTATATTAATAATATTTCTTTTTATTGCAAGCGTATCAATTATTCTAGAGTCAAAAGTAAAGTACTGAGAGAAATCCATTATTATTATTATGTCTGTCCATTCACATTGTTCACTATTTTCACACCACCACCGGCCACGCAAATTATTATAGGCATTCTAAATTTCTAAAAACTCACTTGAAATTATTTTCAGCCTGATTGAGCCACATTGCTTGTGTCTCAGCGGCGTCTTGGAGTCCTTGGCACTGTAGCAACGCTGCTTCCAACTCGGCGCAACGCGACGCCACCGCGTTACCGATCTCGTTGTAACGTTCCGTTAGTTCTATAACCGGTCCTTCCAGTTGCCGCATCTCTGATGGTGTGACGCTGCCTTCTAGGCTGCTGAGGAGCTGCTCGCAAGCCTGGCATTATTATTATTTAATTGTCAAAAGAAATAATATTTTTACCCTCTTTATAAAACAAAGAAATAAAGAAGTAAAATTAAGTAGAATAAGCGGACGAATCAATCTAAAAGTATATAATATAAGTATTGCTTTCAGACGATTAAAATAAAAAAATATTGGTAGTTTTTGTTTACTGTTTTATTACTGTATTTATTTTTTATATAAGCGTAAAATCATAAGGGAATATGTCATCTCATTTGGCCTTGTAGAAATGATGAAAGTTAGGTTTATGTAGGTAAGGGGATATTTTACAAAGAACTGACATAGATACTATAGAACTAAAAGGCTCAAACTGGTGATTGCGGCAGCATATAAAACCCGAAGGGTACGGAACCTTTAACTGAAATCCATCCTACAGTGGACTGTTTCAGATTGATGATTGATAAGTTAGGCACTTGCTTAGTAATATGATATGGTAACGATAAAAATATTTCCGACATATTTATCGTAATTAACTTTTTTTTAAATTTGTACAGTTTTTTTTTTTATATCTGATAAAGTTAAGCAATTTTCATTCCGCAATAAATAATTACTGGTCTACTCACCTCTTTAGCATTGTCGATGAGACGTCCTTGTGACAGTATTTCATTGTGCAGGGCCTTGATGTGCTGCAGTTGTGATTCAACGGCGCGGGGCTCCCCACCGATCGCCTCTTCTAGGGCGATTCTGACTTGTGGTTCCACCTGTTAAAGGAAATGTATTTAGTGTCAAGATATTGCCGAATGCCAAGTTGAGTTCTTAATTAATAAAAACACAGGAACATGTTTGTGGCGCACTGAGCTAAATTGTATCGTATTCGTTCATATGGTATTCGGAAATAGAGAAAACGTGGTAGAGCCATGCTGCAGCTATATTTCTGGAATAGTTGTAGCACGAATGGGTCGGCTCGACCAGGGAAGGACCACGCTCTCACAGAATACCAGCGTAAATTAGCAGCTTGATGCAGCTGTGTTTCGTAAGGTGAGTGTAGAGAACCGGAGACCCTTTTTACTGGAAACGAGGCATTCCATCATAGTCCTCACGGGTGACAACGCATCTGCATTTTGATTCGTAATCGAGGATAAATGTAGATGTCTATGGGCCACAGCAACCACTTACCATCAGGTGGACTGTGTGCTCATTTGTCACCCTTATCTTATAAAAAAGAAAAACAAAAAAAAAACGAAGCATTAAGTTTACTCTACGTTATAATTTGTACATCCAACATTGTCTCGTTGTTAGTTAGAAGGGTTAAATCAATATAATTCAATTCACAACAATAATATACTGCCATTTTACGTTGGTGTTTTGAAAGAGCCAGGAGGACCTTATTCAATTGGGCCAACCTTACGATTCGTGCTGCAGCCAAAATACAGTTTCAGCCTGTCTTTACGGCATATCTCGTGCATGATTGCTCAAGGTGTGCGTTGTTACGCTACGTATTTACTGCAATCAGCGCTATCTGCACGCGTTGCCAGCTCGCCTAGTACGGAGTTGATCTATTTTTTTTTTGGAGTTTATGGCCTGGTATCTAGACCTTTAGGCCAAGTCTTAAGTATTTTTATTCGGTTTATTGTAATTTTCCCACTCCTTCATAGTATACTACTTCACAATATGTTGATGCGTCACATTGTGCAGTTCTTGGGAGATTTTGGCGGCAACTTGATCCAGCAGACAGCTGATAGTTGGCGATGGTATCTAAAGGTGCCTATGCAAACAAACAGCTTATCTTGAGAATCCATCACCATCAGAGCACTTGTTTCACTGTTTCCACTAATAGTTCACATGCGTAGACACTTAATACACAAAATCGCAACACTTTTACATATCAAAGTCCACTTCAAACCATTATTTAAACAATAATACAGGAGCAGCAAACCGCCGCCGGTCAATTTCCCGCCAAAACTCGGAGTTGATCTATACACCTTACGGTTGCTGCCAGCTCGCCACGTATGGATATTGTGTATGTATTTTACGCGCGTTGCTAGCTCACCACGCACCCTTCGAGCGGCCAGCGCTGAGTGCACGTGCCGCCAGCTGTCCACGTGCAGCGCTTGGTGTACGTACCTCGTGCAGCCAGCGCGTTGCGCGCTGCAGCGCGGCGCGGTGGCGCTGCAAGCGCGCGTCGGCAGCACGCAAGCGCTCGAGCAGGCGCTGCGCGCGCGCCGCCAGCTCGGCGTGGCGCCGGCGCGCCTCTGCCGCCTCCTCGCGCACGCGCTCGCCACTGACGCTTAATGCGGCGCCGCGCGACTCTATTGACGCCCGATGATCGTTCACTGTCGCCGCGAACTCCTGTATACGAAACTCACGTTAATTATCAACTTGCTACAGCTTAAATAAATATTCTATGTGTGCGTATTTAAAACTACGATGAAGGTCAAAATCTATAAAAAAAACATAGCATAGCATATATATATATATAAGCACTCACGTCTGTCACCCAGAAGGGCGGCATAGACTACGGACTTCAATTTAGCACGCTCATGAGTCATGACATACCTCTCTCGCCTCCTTTACATCCGTATACCTCCTTTACATCGCATACATGCTCGTCGGTTAAGGATACATATAATTTAGCCCATTTTTAATATATCGCCAATTTGGTCGACAAACTTTCGCCTAGTGCGTCTCTTCCCGCATGGCCGTCCATAACCACATTTCTACAGCATTTATTCTACTCGTGCTTCTTCTGCCACACCCATTTTCACTACCATACATAAAAGTAACAGCATTGTGAATTGACATACGAGCCTCTTTTGATACATCCTAATTTTTCACAATAGAGTATAGAGCCCCTCTACTCTATTTCCTGCATTCACTCGTCGTTCTATTATATCCTTATCATATATACCATACCTACTAAATACACATCCGTGTAATTTGTATGTATTTTGTACATGGTAGAGCCATGCTGCAGCTATATTAGTAGTATAGTTGTAGAACAAATGGGTCGGCTCGACCGGAGAAGGACCACGCTCTCATAAAAAACCAGCGTAAAATAGCAGCTTAACGCTGCTGTGTTTCATATGGTGAGTGTAGAGAACCAGTGACCCTTTTTACTGGCAAAGAGCCATTCTATCTTAGTCCTCACGGGTGGCAACGCATCTGCATCTTGAGTCTTTATTGAGGATAGATGTAGATGTCTATGGGTGTCGGCGCCGTTACGACAGCACCGACGGTGTTTGCGGGGAGTATGTGAAGTGCGGGGGGTTTCTCACCACCACGCCTAAGACCGGCACTCGCCGATAGCTCGCGACCCGATCGCCACCAAATATTTTGTATTTTTCATTCCTTTTAAATATACAATTTGCCTATCGTGTGAGTCGCCTATTTTATTCATGTTCCCTAACTGAACATAGTGGCGACCGTGATAAATTAAAATATCGAATTCCGATTTCGCCGCGTAATACGGTCCAAAGGTCGTAGCACTTACCCCGCGTTTACAACGTCGCGAACGCAAGTTTTTTTTTTTTTTTTTATAGGATAAGGGTGACAAACGAGCACACAGTCCACCTGATGGTAAGTGGTCGCTGTGGCCCATAGACATCTACATCCATCTTCGATTAAGAGTCAAAATGCAGATGCGTTGTCACCCGTGAGGACCAAGATGGAATGCCTCGTTTCCAGTAAAAAGGGTCTCCGGTTCTCTACACTCACCATACGAAACACAGCAGCGTTAAGCTGCTATTTTACGCTGGTATTCTGTGAAAGCGTGGTCCTTCCCCGGTCGAGCCGACCCATTCGTGCTACAACCATAATATAGATGCAGCATGGCTCTACCACGTATAAAAGTAAAAGTACTACGAGCTACGAGAACAAAGGAAGCCACGCCGATCTACTACATCAGCTAAGAAGATTATTAAATTGGCGTACCATCCCGAGTCCTAAGAACAACAAAGCGGTCAAGAAGAATTCATCTGGAGCGGAGAGAAGACAAGAGGACAGCTATTGAGAACCGGCCAAGCTGAGGTCCAGCGGAGTCTACGCGCCACATCAGCGGTTTTTGCCAACTAAAAGTGAGCCCGTTCCTATTATTTTACCTCTTCGTGTCCCACTATTCCTAAAAATTCTATTTGTGTGAACAGGGAAACAAGGAATATAGTCCTATTTTTTGTTGCCTTACCCTACCTACCTATTCTTAAGCAACATCCTTTATATTCCTTGTCTATCTTATACCCTTTCGTATATAAAACTGCTAATCTAAATAAACTATTCCTACTCAATAATCCTACCAAATAAAATACCTATTAAAACAATCCTAAAAGAATTACCTAGTTAAACCTACCAACAATCTACATACCTAACGAGTTAAAATCACCTATTTACACCTATTTGCTTGCCTATCAGCTAATTTTCTATTATTTCTTACTATTATTTCGCCGCATCATTTGCTAAGTAATCAGTGCTATTTTTCAAGCCGCCTATAATTTGCATTCATTGCGCCTATTTTACGACTTGAAAGTCTTCACTAGCATTTAATTAGTTAGTAGCCACTGTTAAATAGTTAGAATTTAAATAGCTGAACCTATTTCTTTAAACGTAAGCATACACATACTATGTACATAGCTACGCAAAAATTTGAGCTTAACTCCTCAATGCAAGTAAATTCACTTCTCGCTATTCACTGTTAGCTGTTTATGCACGCAAATAAATTAGTCATCACTATAGCATAATCATTCGCTAAGCCCTATATTACGCTAATTAAACCATTATTTGCACAAATCAATTAAATTTACGATCAACCTTGCTTCCCGTTATTATTTTATGTACGGAGATATCTGCAAAGCATTCCAACAATCAATTTCAGCTACGGTGCAGCGGTCGCTCGAGACTATCATCGCATCCCGTGTCACTGCCAGCACTGCGGGCTCACGTCGTGGTACTGGACCGCGGGCGTCGCGCGTCATCAATCCCACCTTTCACCGCGCTTCTGCTGATTTTGAACCGGTTTCCGTCACAGCGGCCACGAAGCGAGGAACGTATTGTATGCAATTCTTATTTATTTGATTAGTACAGCGCATAACTAGTTGTTTTGATTGTCTGCGCGTTAACTTTGCTAGTATGGAGGCAAAGTACAAAACTCTTAATTTAAAACGCGCTTCAATTAGAGGCCGTGTTACGAAATTTAATAACCATTTAGAAGAATTAAAAGGTAAAAAGCTTACTCCTACGGAAGTTAGCGTGCTATCGCAGCGATTAGTTAAACTTGAGACTTTATTTGGCGAATTCGATAGCGTGCAAAATCAGATTGAAGCATTGGAGGAAAATAATTTAAGCTTAGAATTGGATACCAGAGAAGTTATCGAACAAGCTTTCCACAATTCGATCGCATTGGCTCAGGAAATTATTTCCGTAAGCAGTACGACAAAAAAGTCGTCGCTTCAGCATAGCAGTATTTACACAGCTGATGAAGATGATCACGAAGTTATCGGCTTTCGTTTACCAGTCATTAAAATTAATAAGTTTGATGGTACGTTCAACAAATGGTTGGAATTTCGTGATACGTTCAGTTCTCTGATACATAATAATACAAAAATAAAAAATATACACAAATTTCATTATTTAAATTCCTATCTAGAAGGTGAAGCTGCTCGTGTAATATGTAATTTAGAAGTTTGCGACAATAATTATCCTGAGGCATGGAGTCTTCTTTGTGAGCGTTTTAATAATATTCGTCAATTAATAAATAATCATTTGAAGTCTTTGTTTAATATTGAGCCGTTGCGTGAGTCTGACAAGTCATTAAGATTTCTAGTAGACCACGTCACAAAAAACCTACGTGCTTTAAATACTTTAAAACAGCCAACTGATCATTGGGATACCCTGATCATATTCATAGTCTCAGCGAAATTAGACAGCAACACGCGTGTTAAATGGGAGGAGTACATTCAAGCTAATGTTAATGCTTCGGATATGCCTAGCCTAGATGATTTCATGACTTTTATTAAGGGCCGCGCTGAAGTTTTAGTCTGTTTATCGCAGTAAACAAGACAAAAATATAAAGTCAAACCCGAATCACAATCAAGGCGTCAAACAAAATCCCGTTTCTCATACTAAGTCATTCGTTAGCGCTGAGCAGGGCGACTCATCAGCAACTGCCCCTCACAAGTGTATTTTCTGTGGTCAAGGTCATCGTAATTATGAGTGCTCACAATTTCAATCGAAATCTATTGATGATAGACTTTCATTAGTGTCCGAGCTAAAGTTGTGTCCCAACTGTTTGCGCAAAGGGCATAATACGCGCGCATGCAAGCTTCCAGGTACGTGCAAGATATGCAAAAAACGTCACAATACCTTTTTACACAAACCTACGGATTCTGATACCAATGTGGCAGTCACTAATGTTGCAGTCTCTGAGCCAGTTTCAATGTCAGCTGTTTCTGCTTCTGAGACACTACTATGTACGGCTTTGGTTGATATTTTTAATCCCAAAACAATCAATTACATTACCACTAAAGCTCTCTTAGACAACGGTAGTCAGTCTAGCTTTATTACAGAATCACTTAAATCAAAGTTAAATTTAACTTCTTCCACGTCTGATGTTAGGAATGTGGTCGGCATATGTAACACTATTGTCAAGCTTAATGCTGAACGTTGCAATGTTCGAATTCATTCAAAGGTAGGTTCTTTCAGCGTTATGACGTCATGTTTAGTCATACCCCAAATATCAGGTAAGATACCTAAGTCTCTTGTGTCTATTACACACCTTAACCTGAAGTCCTTTGCATTAGCAGACCCCAGCTTTTATGAGCCGTCTGACATAGGACTGCTCATCGGTGCTGACCTATTTTGGTCCATTATTGGAACCAAACAGCACTCTTTAGGCAAAGGAAATCCTATTCTACATGAGTCTAAATTAGGATGGCTTATCGCAGGTCCCATGCACTATATTCAAAATGACAATCTCAATTTAAATTCCCCAGTGAAATGTAATTTTGTAAGTATTGAAAGCAACAATACTTTAGTTGAGCTTCACAATGATTTGAAGAGGTTTTGGGAGCTTGAAAGCTTGCCACAAAGGCCCCTTCTTACAGACCAAGAGAAAGCTTGCGAACAACATTTTTTACAGCACACAAAACGCACTGAAGAAGGTCGTTTTTGTGTCAAGCTGCCATTGATCGACAAACCAGACTGCCTAGGCACTTCCTATTTCATAGCCAGGCGGCGATTTATAAACCTGGAACGTCGCTTTCGCAAGCAACCGGAACTTAAGTCCGCCTATGTTGATTTCATTGAGGAGTATCGCAAACTAGGACATCTAGCAATATCTGAGGTAGACCGACCTGAGCTGGCCTATTTTGTTCCGCATCATCCTGTCATTCGTGAAGACAGTGAGTCAACACGTCTACGCGTCGTTTTTGACGCATCAGCTCGCACTTCATCTGGTTTGTCTATAAACGACATTCAAATGATAGGCCCTACAGTTCAAGACTCTCTTTTCAATATCCTCATCCGGTTCCGGCAATATCGTTATGTGTTGTCAGCGGATATTGAAAAAATGTACCGGCAGGTTTTAATAGATGAGTCTGACCGAAACCTACAGCTGATTTTATGGCGTGATGCGGAGGACAAACCATTACAAACACTCAGGCTTAACACGGTCACCTACGGATTTGCTAGCGCTAGTTTCCTTGCCACCAGGTGTCTCTGGCAAGTGGGCGAGGAGTGTGACGATGACGTTATTAAGGCAGTCATACAGGAGGACATATATGTTGATGACTTACTAACTTCTAGCGATGATGAAGATCAATTACGGTCTATACAGAAATCAACACATGTGGCTCTTTCTATGGCTGGTTTTGACTTGCGTAAGTACCGATCCAACTTACCTTCTTTACTGCCTTCAGACGTTGTCCAGTCATCCGGCAACCTGACATTGAGTCAGTCTACAAATACGCTGGGCCTAGATTGGAGTCCTTCGACCGACAGCATTAATTTTCCCATTACAGTGGATCAGTCTGACGTCGTCACCAAGCGCACTATACTTTCTTCAACTTTCAAGATCTTCGATCCCTTGGGCCTCCTATCCTTGTCCACTATCGTTCCCAAAATTTTAATTCAGACCTTATGGTCTCTCAAATTGGACTGGGATGAGCCCGCTCCAAAGGATATTGTCGATGTCTGGAGACCTTTTGTTGATGGACTTAAATGCCTTTTTTCACTAAATATACCTAGATGGGTATCAATAGAATATCCAGTCTCTGCTGAAATCCACTGTTTTTGCGATGCATCGCAACGCGCCTATGGTGCATGCTTGTACCTTCGCTCTACAAATAAAGAAGGACAAATACATGTCCAACTTTTATGTGCGAAATCTCGCGTTGCCCCAGCATCCAGCCCTATTACAATTCCTCGTTTGGAGCTTTCAGGTGCTCTTCTGGCAGCTGAAATGAGCTCATCGTGACCAAAGCCTTGCGACGTAAAATATCGCGTCATGTCTATTGGACTGACTCGAGCGTAGTTCTTAGTTGGTTGCGCTGCGGTTCTTCTAACTTGAAAGCATTCGTTGCCAACAGAGTCGCCGCCATTAGAGAGCTGACTGACGCAAATTCATGGCACCACGTTCCTACAGAACACAACCCAGCTGACCTGCTATCCCGTGGCGTGAACCCACAACAGATCGCTGCATGTGATATGTGGTGGTATGGACCTAAGTTTTTATCGTTGCCGGAGTCCGAGTGGCCTTCTATGCAGTCGCAGACTATTATTGAGATGAAGAATTTGCCGGAAGTTAAAGCACATCCAGTTGCTATTTGTGATAATTATCAATCAATTATTAACTTTAACAAATATTCTAAATTAAAACAATTACAACACATTTTAGCCTATGTACATAGATTTATTAATAACTGTAAAAATTCTAAAACTAAAATTACAGGTTCCTTAACTACCGCCGAGCTCAATAAAACTCTTAATTCATTAGTGTATATTTCCCAATTAGAGGCATTCCCTAAAGAATACGACTTATTATTAAAAGGAAATTCCCTAAGTCCTAAGTCGCACATTTCGGCACTTAATCCATTTTTACATGAAGGAGTGATAAGAGTAGGTGGTCGAATTCAGGCTTCTGAATATAGTTTCGATATGAAGCATCCCATGTTGTTAAGCTCTAAACACCATTTTACTCAACTTTTATTCCAACAAGAACACGTACGGCTTCTACATCTGGGGCCCCAAGCCTTACTGGCTTCTATTAGAACGCGTTTTTGGCCCATTAGTGGAAGAAGTCTGGCTAGACGTACTGTGCATAATTGCACCGTATGTAGGCGTTTTAAGGGTCAGTCTATGAAAAACATAATGGGCAACCTACCTGCTCAAAGACTAATGCCCGACTTTCCTTTTATTACAGTAGGGACTGATTTCGCTGGGCCATTTATGGTCACGGATCGCAAAGGTCATGGTTGTAAAATTACAAAATGTTATTGTGTATTTTCATATGTTTTAGGTATAAGTGCATCCATTTGGAGGCTGTTAGTGAGCTGTCCAAGGATGCTTTTATATTAACTTTGAGACGCTTTGTTTCACGGAGAGGGCTACCAAAGCAGATATTCTGCGACAATGGTGGAAACTTTGTAGCTGCTTCAAAGGAACTTAAAGAGTTTTTTGAAGTTAATGCCAAAACTATCGCTGATTTTGCCGCTAACGAAGGCGTTGAATTTTGTTTTTCGCCTGCATACGCTCCTCACTTCAATGGTTTGATGGAGGCCGGTGTAAAGTCAGCCAAATTCCACCTGGCTAGGATATTAGGGACTACGCACCTAACCTATGAGGAATTGTCATCTTTGTTCACACAAATAGAATGTATCCTAAATAGCCGCCCCCTATGTCCATTAAGTTCCTCTCCCACGGACTATTATCCCTTAACTCCGGGCCACTTTTAATTGGTAGACCACTAAGCTCGCTGCTATCTCCGTGTCTACAATCCGCTAATGCCAATCGTCTCGACAGATTCCAGCGCATCGAGCAGTTTAAGCAACACTTTTGGCGACGCTGGAGCCACGAGTACATTGCGGAGCTGCAGTTGAGGACGAAGTGGCGCACGAAGTCCAAAGAGAGCCTACAAATTGACGACCTAGTCCTCTTGAAAGAGGAAAACGCTCCACCGCTCTATTGGCGTCTCGGACGTGTAAGAAAACTCTTCCCGGGATCTGACGGATTGACACGCGTCGCAGATATAGACACTGCAAGAGGAATTGTGCGGCGCGCCCTAAACAGAATCGTCCTACTACCGAAGCCCGATGAGTTGGAAGATCTTGAAAGCTGTTAAGCTTTCCAACGCCGGGAGTATGTCGGCGCCGTTACGACAGCACCGACGGTGTTTGCGGGGAGTATGTGAAGTGCGGGGGGTTTCTCACCACCACGCCTAAGACCGGCACTCGCCGATAGCTCGCGACCCGATCGCCACCAAATATTTTGTATTTTTCATTCCTTTTAAATATACAATTTGCCTATCGTGTGAGTCGCCTATTTTATTCATGTTCCCTAACTGAACATGGGTCACAGTAACCACTTACCATCAGGTGGACTGTGTGCTCGTTTGTCACCCTATCCTATAAAAAAAAAAACATTCTAAATACATATAAAAAATATTTAAGTAAATATCCTTCCTATGTAACAATAAGGTAGCAATAATCAGTATTTGTCAATAAACATCACATCAGTACACTCACTGTTGTGTTCCGATTGAAAGAAAAAGAGAATTAAATACCTAATTACAGGCTGTGAGCTGTGAGGCATTTCATCCTACAAAGACTTATTTGTATACTATTAAACGGGCTCCGCGGCCTCAATACATTGCGCACTAAATTACGGTCATTTCTTCTAACTCCTTTAGTTTAGAAAGAGAAGACTAATTCTTTGTTTTGTAAGCCGCGAACATTTTTTTCGACAACCTAACACTGATTTTGTTTAATATGACTAAGGAAACGTTGTTGTGTGCACTTTGTCAACGTGATTAGACGTTAATTTCGGATAAATATGTATATTTTGTATTGGTCTAAAAACAGTAATTACCATAAATGAAAATATAATTGCGTAGCATATTTGCGTGCTTGCTGCCCGGACAGGGCGCACCATAGCCACAGCTGTGACTAGCGTTGGCACCTTTTTTTTTGAACAAATATAGTATTTTTCCCAAAAAAGATGCAAAAATATAGTACTATTGGGAAATTCAGTAAATAAAAAGTACACATTATACATATATACATATAAGTATACATATTTATATGTTATTGCTCTTCGCTTTGGCCATCAATCTAGGAATCTGAGCAATTTAGATTCATATTAAAATAAATTAACAATTCATTTTTAATAAAATTAATACATGCTCTATTTCTTTCTTCGTTTCGTTTTACATTCATGACGGAAAAAATTATTTCCGTAAAACTTACTTGTTCCCGACTTCCAGTCACAGTAAATGTAAATGAATAATCAATTAAAATTGGAAACATTTTTTTCTTTGTACTTTGTTGGCTTCCTAATAAACAAATAAAAAGCGCAGCAGTTGAATTAGGGATAAAATATAGTATTTTCCGTACTATATTATTTTTTTATAATATATAGTACAAGTGACTGAAATATAGTACGATACCATATATTTGAGAACGGGTGGAAACCCTATCTGTGACACAGTTTTAGTTCTGAATTGCCGGTCCAGTTGTATACATAGAACTTCTTGTAGTCCTCAAGGATAACAACCGGTCAGCCTTCATTATTTGATAACGCATATTCATGTGCTGTAAAAGCCACTTGTACCATCAAGTAGATTATTATTTCATATGCCACTTTGATATTATAAAAGAAAGTAATAATCAAAACACCGAAAGCCATAAACTGCGTATGAAACAATATGTTACGGTTCGTGATAATACTAGTGCCCGACGTAACACTATGCGATAAGATCAGAATCATCGGTTTATTGCGTTTATCGATCCTTCCTTTCTATAAAATAGTAAAATTATTACTACTGAAAACGAGTTATCACGAATAAGAAAGAGCCCAACCCTATCGGGTATCGGGCCCAATATATGTTGGCGAACTGCACACATTCTTAAAATATTTTTCTAGCAAGTTACCTCACGTTTTTTTTTTCTGCACCGTAGAGCACATATAAGAACAGATAAACATTTACTGGGGCGACGAGCATCGAAGTTGATTTTGATGAAGTCGAGTCAAAGCTTGGAAGTTTGCAAAAAATGTATTAAGAGAATGCTCCATACGAACCTTGCTCTCGTCAATAAACTTCTGTGCGGCCATGGTGATGAACCTCAAGTCCGCTTGGTGTGCGATCACGTCCGACACGAACTCGCGCACTTCCTCGCTGTGCGACGGCAGGTTGTCTAAATTGGCAAGTGCGGCTTCCTTATCTTCCAGGTTTCTGTACGCACTGTCCATCCACGTTTCGAAGGCGTTAAGTTCGTTCCTGTATCAAATAATATAATATAGTATTGCCTAATTGTACAGTATTAGGCCTGACCGAAGAAATGTCACTATAAAAATTAAGTATTTGTTGCTTTGTTTCACAAGTATGTGTAAAATGTATAAGAAATAAAAAAGGATAAGACATATTAAAAAAGTACCTTTTTAATTTGTACCATTTAGTATAAAGTAAGTTTTACATTTAATACACTGGTTATGTAGTGACAGTTTAAGAATATGTACTACTACCCCACAACGTTGCGTGCGTGTCGTAACAGACCATAGAGGGAAACATATCAGGAAATGTGCATCAGCTACTCCGTACTGTTATAATACACATAGTTTTTATAATAATAGTACAATTGTCTAATAAATATCATACATAATAATTCTAAAGTTACAATAAAAACTATTAAATTCAAAAATATATTCAATATCACTTACGTGAATTTGCCAAGTTCATCTTTGGCGGCTGCAAGCCTTCGCAGCATCTTGTCAGATCTCTCAGTGCATCTGTCATACTTCTGTTTCAGTTGACGCACTCCCCGTTCAAGGGCTGCCACCTAGCACATACATATTATGAATAAAATCTTCTATTCGACACTAAGGAGGGATTAAAATATATTTGCAAGGTCGCCCTGGAGAACTACTTATCTATATGCGATAAATTAGACGCAATATAATATAAATATGCAAGAATCTTTAAGTAATACGGTGGAATACTGTATTGCTAGAATTGATATTAAGCACCTTTATATTTCTTTAAAATAATGCAGAGAAAAAAAGTTAGAATAATTAAAAAAGTACTTAATTTTAATAAATATAAGAGATAAATGTCATTGTAATTTTTGTTTCGAATCTACCTTACAAGAAGTGCCCCGACAATTTTTTTTAAAGTATTTCAAAAATTACAATAATATTCGGATTATAACTGTATGTACAAAGTTATGAGAATACCTCATGAGGTGCTAGCACATCGCCTCCGGACACAAGAAGCTGCTTGGCTTGATCGGCACAGGCTGAAACCTGGCGTTGATGACTCTCGAGGTCATCCTTAATTATCTGAAAAGATAAATGACTCATTAGGCACCCCGAAATCTTACCTAAGACCAAGTCCAAGTATTCATGAACTGTGCATGGCAACTCACCTTCAAAACGTTGATTTGATTACGAAGCTCTTCCATGTTCTCTTTCACTGGCTCCTGGTTTGCCAATTTTTGCTCAACATCGGCGATCCATTCCAGCAACTTGGAAAGGGTATCATCGCATAGTCTATATTTCTCCTCAACTGCTTGCTAAAGATTAAAAAAATCAAATTATTTGCTAATCACAAAATCACAGTCCTCATAGTTACAGTATCAAGTTCTGTGAGGTGCATTCAATTCTATTGCTACATGGGTATCTTACAATGCGTCTATCTACATTTACTGTATTTACACATCATTTACAACGTCTATGTGCATTTATACAGTGCAGTGTCAACGTTTACAAACTTGGCATAGAAATAATCTTTTTTACACAGAGAATGATATGACGAACTTCTTAGGACTAAAAACAAAGAACCTGCAAAGCTTAACATATAATAAGTATGTACAAAGAAGCGAAGAAATTCGTCCCAAACGAAGGAAAAGAAACTACAACATACAGCCAATTCACACTAGCGTGGAGATGACGACGCACAACAGGTCGAATTGTTGCGTACAATAGATAGATAACATACACGTGCAAAATAAGCGGCTCATGCAAGCTGTGACGGCAGCGAATGACACGAATTGAACAGTTTCTTAAAAACTCACTCAATTCAGTGACATTTGCATAAAAATAGAAAAAGCTTCAAATTTTGTAATGGTATGAATATCAGATTAATATTTACGTAGAGTTAATTGTTAACAAAAGTATAGAAAAATAAAATAAAATACCTTTTGAGATATCTGAAACTTTGAAACATAGTTTGGGGTAGGTACAGTTGAAGAATGAAATAAAGTAAGTTTAAGGTTTTCAAGTAAGAATATACACTTATTTTTTAAGAATATAGAGTTGAAAACGGATTTACAATGAATTTACAGTTACAATGAGATCTTATTTCATAGTTGAATAATTAAAATACCATAAGCTAGAAAAAAAGTGTTGATACTTTTAGTGAAATAAAATCTCATTAGGGCGAAGTATTTATAATAAGACGTACATATATGAATCGGAAATACTACCTTTCGTGTTTGTGTTCGTTGAAAATGTTTTACCAGTTCGTGATTTTTGTGAATGTTTGCACCGCGATTATTATCTTTAAATTAATATCATGATAGCTTAGGGTTGATCATGCATTCCAAACATATGAGCACGGGTCCAAGGAATGAGTATATCGAAACTTAAGACATTTTGAAAAAAAAATGCATAATGAAATTTAATATTTAACGAATAAAAGAAATCACTGGCCAGCCAGTCATATTTAGCTGGTTTGTTTTTTTTTTCAAATGAAGAAGCGAACATAATTAAGCGTAACATAGATCGAAGGGCATCGCCCTTTTGATCATTGGAATTCTTAGCACAATGTGAACATGGGTTAGATATTTGGCGAAACGGTGATGGTTCGTATCGTCGTTAATATGATCCCTCAAAGGCAAGCATTCACGATTTAGCTCAAAAGGGCTCTTTAGCATCGCAGGCAACGGCTGGAAATAAAAAACAACATACATCGAGCCTTATTACTATGTGTATAGGCGGCTTTTTAATAACAATTATCAATTTTTCTTTAAATCTACTTATAAACGGATTCAGACTTTAATTTAAAAAAAAATGTGATATATTTTACTTTCGTCTTGCATAATATGTATTCAAGGAGAAAATAACAGATTCAATTAGGTTTAAAACTTCTTAGATTAGGCCTAAGTTAACCTAATTCATAGGGTTTCAACCACATAAATTAGGTTAGTTTAGGCATAAGTGAAAAGTGATAATTGTATGAGGATTTTAACCTTAACTTAAGCAACTAGACACAACACAAGACAATGTAATTTCACTACATAAACGAATGATAATACTATTTAGCATATTGCTCTAAAAGCTACTTTTATATAGAAATTAAAAAATATTTTTTGTCTTAACTTGTAGTTTAACGTCACATGAACGTTTAACGTCGCATACTCGTACAAGGTGATCGAAGTGCTTTTAACTACTCAATTATGCGGAATAAGTAACTTTGCTAACTACTCGTAATAATAGTAATAGCGAAATTAAAGTAAATGATTCATCGTAAATCTAATGTAAACCACAATAAAGTTGCCCCAGTCTTCGACACTGTAGGTCTTGTGAGTGTCGTGCCATGCCATTGTTTAAGCCAAACGCTTAAGATAAGATAGATAACCATCTAAAGTGGAAGAAAAGGATATTCAAAGCAACACCATTGCTTGATAGAAGCACAAAGTTAATTTTAAATGATAAAGCTTACCCTTGTTTCTGCTGGCAGCAAAAATCCCTTCTTTAGCGCCTTGACTAAATCGAGGCTAGTGCCTTTTTGTGGATCAATAATTAGGCTGCCTTCAACAGGATTGATCAGTTGTTGCTCTATAGCTTGAATCAATGGCCAAATCTTTCCTGTTTCTGGCTCTTTGACGACAGTACTAGATGGATCCACAATTCCTTGTTGGATCGCCTCGCCAAGTGTTAGTCTCTTTCTATCCATCACGCTTGTAGTTATGAATGGATCGTTTAATGCCCCTGTTGTTGGGTTATAAATGCCGAAATTTAAAGTTTCAATCAAACTGAAGCTCTTCTTGGGAGTCATAAGGAGGCCACTATCAATGGCCGCCGACAAAGTATTAAGTTTAGAGGTCTCAGTGTCTAAAATGTTTCCCTTTTCAGCATCCATAAGCCCTTTTCGGAATGCTTCTGGCAGCTTCACTAGTCTCTTTTTCAGATTATCTTTTATAAGCGCTGTGTCTGGATCAATATAGCCTAAAGTGGCCGCGTCTTTTACAGTTAAAACTTGTTTGGAATGTGGATCAGTAAATCGAGCAGTATTAAGATTGAGATAACCATTTTCTAACGCTTGCTCAAACGTAAGCGGCTCGCGAACGTAAACTATAACGCTATTTTCAAAAACAAAACATAACGTACGTGATCTACCAGTTTGTGTGTCAAAAGATCCCTTAATATTTTTATCAATGATACCTTCAGATAAACCTAACGATAATGGAATGTATTTGTTTTTATGAGGATCTTTAATTAAAGCAGTTTCCGGATCTATAAATTCATATTTAATTGCTTCATCTAACGTAAACTCCCTTAACATTGGCTCGTTTAAAGCAGACGAATCAGTTACGTAACGTTTTGAAATAGTTTGCGAAGTTAAGGGTTGAACAATAGTTACGAGCAGACCTTTATCAAAAGCAATGTCAATGCTATATGTTTTCTTTGCTTTTGTATCGAGAACTCTGCCTTTAGTGATATCCACATCGCCATGTTGTATTGCAGTAAGCAGAGGTTTAAACTTGTTTGTAAAGTTATCTTTAACAACAGTTAATTCAGGATTAATAAGGTTAATTTCTATGGCTTTGTTGATGTCAACAAATTCATTTGTACTTGGATCGACTATTTTTCCATTGTCTGCCCTAAATAAGCCGTTTCGAATTACTTCTTCGAGGCTGAGATTCTTTTTGGGGTTTACAATGAGACCCCGGTGTTTCGCGTCTAATAAATTGATTTGATTGCCATTTGGCAAGATATAAACGCTGTTATTTTCGTCTATAATACCAGTTTGTATAGCTTCAGTTAATTTAATGTATTTACTTGAAGGGATATTTTTAACAAGGGACGTATCGGGATTGATGAGTTCTTCAGTGATAGCTGATTTAAGCGAAAGTTTTCGTTCAGTAACTGGGTGAATAAATAACAACTCCGTAATATTATACATATTCATAGATAAAGTTTCGTATAAGCTAAATCCTGCACTTTCAATGTCAACGATAAGGCCTAAACTCATAGCTTCAGATAGAGGTATTTGAACGTCAGAACCTGGTTCAATAAACTTCCCACTTCTTCTATCTACGATTTCGCTGCGACAGCAATCAGTTAATGTTAAAGGTTTTTCAGATTTTTTATCGAAATAGCATAGATATTTTGGACTTATAATCGAGCGTCTTATCGCTTCATGAAGAGTGATTTTACGAGTTGTTGCTGGATCAATGATTTTACCAGTACTTTCATCATACAAGCCCTGATGTAACGCTCTTTGGAGGCTAATAGGAGCTTTACTGTCTACAAGTAAGCCAATTTCGAATGCCTTACGAAGACTGATCTCTTCGTTATCGTTATTGATATTTCTTATTTTGCCTGTCTTATTATCGATGACTCCATTTTCTATCGATTCAGCTAGAGTTATATTGTCCCATTTGCCTAATTTGTTGTACCGAATATGTACAGAATGTGGGTCTATTAGGTTCATTTTGATGGCTTCTGCTAGTGTGTATTTTTTACCACTTTGCGGATCCATAAAAAGCCCTGTTATTTCACTGTAAACGCCTTTTTCAAGCGCTTCTATCAATGACAAAGGTTTCCGCACTTCAACTAAAATGCCTCTTTCAAAAGCTTCTCGGAAATCTATTTTTTCATCACCTAGCACAATTGTACCAGTTCTGCCATCCACAATACCTTTATCGACGGCAAATTCAAATGGTATCACTTTACCTCCAATATGTACAAGGGTTGACTGAGGATCTAACATACGTTTTTTAATTGCCCTATCTGTTGCTATTTTGTCTTTAAATTGAGGATGAGAAAATTTACCAGTTTTTGGATCATAAAATCCTTTAAAAACGGCCTCTGGTAAACTCAGTTTACGTTTAGCAGGAATTATTAAACCTCGTTCAGAAGCATCAATTAATGATATTTTATCTCCCTGTACGGGGTCTATAACTTTACCTTCCTTAGAGTCAATTATTCCTTCTTTAATGGCATCTGACAGCGAAATAATTTCTCCCGAACTAGAATCCTTAACAGTTAAGGCTTCTGGATTGATATTACCGATTTTAATTGCGTCATCTAGGGTCATAGTGTTATTGTTAATAGTTAAAAAGCCGGTATCTGGATCATAAAAGCCCTGAACCAATCCCTCTTGTAAAGACATTGGTTTTTTATCGCTTAATAAATAACCTTTTTCAGAAGCATCTTTAAGGTTAGAAAGTGGAGTGGTTATAATACCACGTTTTAAGTCTAACAGACCAGATGTTACAGCCTGTTTGAAAGTTATAACCGCTTCTGATTTATCTTCTTTAATTTTCACATCAGAAGGATCAATTAGTTTCGTCTCTATAGCTTCTTTAAGTGTTATTTTATGACCAGACTTCGGGTCTAGCACAAGACCAGTGTCTGGGGAGTAATAGCCCAAATCAATAACATCGAATAATGAAAACGTAACATCTTTCGTCGCGATTAGACCCTTTTTCAACGCATCATCTAAAGGAATAACCTTACCAGTCTTTTTATCCTTATATTTTCCGGTATTAGGATCAACAAGTTTCATTTCAAGAGCTTCAGAAAGGGGAATGAATTTTTCTAACGCAGTATCTTTAACTTCAGATATAGTAGGATGAACAATATTTCTATCAACTGCATCTTCGACAGATATGAATTGTTCTGTAACATTGTCTTTGATTTTACCTGACGTGGGTTCATACATGTCATTGACAATAGCTGCTTCAATAGAAATTGGCCGTCGAATGATGGTCATGAGTCCACGTTGTATTGCGACAGATATTTCCATAGTTTCACGTGTTTCAATAACCGTAATGACTCCTTTATGTATTTCTATAATACCTCGATCTATAGCGTCTGATAATGAGATAGTTTTATTAGAACGAGGTAATTTTATAAGTAACGATTCATGATCTACTAGGTGTTTTTCAACTGCCTCACCAATTGATATTAATTTTCCTGTATTGACATCTTGGATCTCACCAGTTTTAGGATTATATAGTCCCTTTTCAAAAGCTGTTTCTAAAGTCGTTTGTTCAGAAACTGAAACATCTTCTGGCTGTTCAACTATCCAACCTATTTGGACGCATTCCCAAAATGAAACACGCTTTCCTGTTTTAGGGTTAACCATATAGCCAGTTGTTTTATCAATAATAGGTCTAGCAATAGCTTCATCAAAAGTTATATAATTATCGGATTTCGAATTTAGATCTTTAACTAAAATGGTTGTTGGATCAAAAATATGTAAGCCATAAACAAGTTCCTCAAAAGTAATTTTAGAGCCAGTTTCAGGGTTTAAGAATATTTGTTTTTCTATATCGTAAACTCCCATTTCGGATAGTTCCTCAGGGGTTAACTTTTGCGAAATCGAAATGCTATACCTTGGTTTAAATTGTTTTACAACCACGCAGTTTTTAGAAATTACGTCTACAGGTGTGAATCTACTAATTTGTTCTTGTTCTAGTGAGTCTTGAACTGTGAGCGGAGACTCAATATTATTTATTATAATCCTACATACTTTGGGTTCTATTTTACCTTCTACAATGGCATCAATTAAAGGTACGTTTTCATAAAGTGGCTTAACTTGTTCCGCCTTTACTTTTGTTACATTATGTTCAGTAATTTCGTCTACATCTCTTAGGGGCTGCTTTTCAGCATCAATAAACATAGATGATATAGTTTTAGCATCTGTATGTAAGCGTTCACCGATTTCGTTCTGTAATAATGTATTTTCAATTGATGAAGTTAACTGAGTTGGGATTTGTACAGATGTTTTTGAAAGTGTTACTTGCGAGGAGTGCATAACGGCAGTAGAAATCTGACTTTCTACGTCTTTGTCGGAATCCAATATTTGCGATACAGGAACGGGTTTAGTTTTCTCACTTATTTTTGGTTTAGAAAATTCAACAGGGGTGTCCGGGTAAATTAAACTTTTAGTTGGTGTTTTTTCTAATTGACTCTGATTATCAGAACTGGAATCTACAACAGCACTTTTGACAACGTCAATCAATTTAGAAGCTGCTAAAATCGGTGCTCCTACTACAGCCACTAATCCTATTTGAGCAGCGTGGGCAATAGTTATAGATTTCCCTGTTTTATCTTTAAGACTGCCTGTTTCCCTGTCAACAATACCATTGTCAATGGCTTGCTTTAAAGTCATTTCTTTTCCAGTTACAGGTTCTAAAATTTTTACAGATTCAACGGAAATAGTGCCTTTATTAACAGCAGTGAAGATATCTTCTTGCAAACCGGAAGAGGTAGACATTACTGTTTTTGTTTCGGGATCATAAATTATCCCTGTTGCTACTTCAAGGGGACTTTCTGATTTGTTGATTTCAGCTACTTCTGTAATTTGTTTTTCTATTTGACTTGCAGATTTATTTGTTTTAAATTGTTCTGTATCAACAACAGCCCTAACACAATCTGAATGTTTTTCTTTGCTAGAGATATAAGTCGAATCTTGGGGATATTCTGTTCTTGTTGATTTGTCAGCATCTTGCACTTTACATAAAGCTTTATCAACTTGATCTGGTGACACGACTTGTAATTGATGACTGTCAATATGTGTATGAATGTTGGAAGGTAAGCTTTTGTCTTCAGTAACGATATAAGGCCTAGTTTGATTTTGGTTTGATTTATTCACCATTGTGGTAACTTCGGTAGCTTTTGATATTACGGGATCACTATACTCGCGAATATATTCTGGAAGTATGTTTTTAGAGATCATCTTTTCAGCTTCGGTAATTTCCTCACTACCAGGAACATAACTCCGGAAATCTTGAGCAGTAGAAGGTTGATCTAAAACTTTTTTCTCTTTATCGTCATAAACAGGCTCTGACTTGTCTTCCTGTGTGAATTCCGAAACATTGGAGAGGTCTTTATTCAAATGTTTGGAATTTACCTCTTTTAAATTGATGTCAGTATGAAGTATATTTTCTTCTGGTTTTGATATTTTTACTTCATATCCACATTCAACCTTAGCATTTGAATCATATTTAGAAGAAAACTTAATATCAACTTTTTGATCCTTTCTGTCTAAATCAATTTTAGTCACAGCTGATTCTTCTATATTAGAAGATGTCGTTTCAAAATCTTTTTGGTCTTGTTGTTTCGTTACTGACGACTTGGACATTTTTTCTCGCAACGAGTTCTGAGATGTGAATGGTTGTGGAGATGTATTTTCTTTCTTGTTCAAGTCCTCCTCCTTAATCACAGCTGATTTTTCTATATTACGAGATATCATTTCAAAATCTTTTTGGTCTTGTTGTTTCGTTAATGACGACTTGGACATTTTTTCTTCCAATGAGTCCTGAGATATTAATGGTTGTGAAGGCGTGTTTTCTTTTTTGTTCAAAATTAGTACAGACTGCTTATTTTCTAACAATTCATCAGACCCTTTTTTATAACTTTCTGCTTTTATAATTGGTTGTTGATCTTTTCGTGAAATATCTTTATTTTCACTTTTATCAACCGGTTTCTGTGCAGTAGGAGTTTCATCTTGAGATCCCTTTAAAAATATTGTATTTATATTTATTTTCTTGATGTTGTCTTTATTATCATTTTCTGTAGTTTCCAATGTTGTTTTCTGAGCTGTAATACGCACCGCATGTGTCTCCTCCTTTTCCGGCACGATATTAGTAATTTTTGTAGCAACAGAATCTTTTGGTTTAGGTATAACCTTATTAGTGACAGCTTGAGCTCCTTGAACGACAGCCATGCCAGCTAACACTGGTGCTGCAACGACTGCTAACAAACCCATCTTTGCTGCTTTTCTGACATCAAACGATTTGCCAGAGTTAGGTTCTTTTAATTTTCCACTCTTTGTATCTAAGACGCCTGATTCGACAGCTTCTTGTAAAGTTAAGGGTTTATCTGAACCTAATCTATATATAATAGACTCAGGATTGATTAATTTTCTGTCAAGAGCTTCTTTAAAGGTAATTACCTTATTTGGTGAATTAGGATCTTTGAATTTTTGAGTTTTTTCATCAAAGAGTAATTGAAATGCTTCATTAAGATCCAGCATATTTAAATCCTGTGTTCTTATTTCAGTTTTAGTATTGGATTGAATTTCAGTGTTTAATAATCCACTGTTAACAGCATCCGTTACACTAACGGTCTCCCCAGTCGTAGGATGAGTGAACGTACCTTTTGCTAAATTAATATAACCGCACATTAAGGCATCGTTAAAACTTATATTGGAATCACTTGTTATAAACTGTTCTTTATTTGTTTGTTCATCTCTAATAATACCTTTTAATCGTGCCTCTTCTATCGAAATTATTTCTCCCGTTTTCGTGTTCTGTACTTCGTTAGCGCTAATTAATACGTAGTCTGCCAGAAGTTCAACCATTTTAGTTGTCACTGTATGTTGTGATGAAAAGGTTTCAGTAATGGTAGTCACAACACTACTTTTATCTGATATTTCAGGATCACGTTTTATGGCCACCAATCCTTGTTCCATTGCTTTATCGACAGGTAATAACTCTTTCGTGTTTGGATCAGTGAAGGTGTAATTCAACAAATCTACTATACCTTTATCGACTGCTTCTTTAAGAGTGAGTGTGTTAGGTGTTTGTGGATACGGGATTCCCATCAATAAATCCTTTTCTACGGCGTCTTCTAGAGGAATTATTTCACCAGTCAGAGGATGTTTTATTTCACCCTTTATTGGATTCAATAAACTTTGTTTTATTGCCACCGAAAGGGTCATTGCAGCTAAGGGAATCTTTTCCAAAGGTTTAACTTGAACTTCAGGGAAAATTCTTGCATTTACTGCTGATATTAAGTCTAAAACACCATCACTCGTTTTCACTACATTTTTTTCATTATCGATAAAGTTCTTTTCCATAGCTTGTGCAAGGGTTATATCATTACCAGGAGCTATTGTAACTGTAGATAGTGGATCAACAATGTCACAAATGATCGCTTCTCTAAGTGTGAGAAGACTACCAGTCTCAGGATGTATAATTTTTTCAGAAGCAGGATCCCATAATCCCTGTTGCATTATTTCTGGGATCGATAAGCTTCTAGCAGTAGGAATTAATACTTCATCTTGGCATTCTTCATCTAAAATACCTCTTTTAATGGCTTCCTTAATTGTGAGCGAATCGCCATGAATTGGATCCACGATTTTTCCTTTATTTTCATCGATAAGTCCTATTTCTATTGCTTTTTTAAGTGTAATAGGTAGGTCATTTTTGTCTTTGTATATTTTGATAGAGTCCAACATTTTAGCTGTATCCTCGTCTAATAATCCCTTTTCCAAAGCTTCGAGAGGACTAATAACTCGCTTTCTTAGTTTCGATAATATAATTGGCTTAGACTCAACACATTCACTTTTAATATTTTTAATGGCATGGTATTTAGGCTTTTCATCGACATATTTCTTGTTAATTTGAATAACATGTGATGGACGGATATTTTTATGTTTATCCGACGAAAACTCTTTACTAACAGTATTAGCCAATATACTGTTTTGTATTGATTCTACAGTTATAAAACCTTCTGATACAGCTGCGCCTACTGACATTGGTTTATTCATTTTGTTTAGATCTAAAGATTTATTTGTTTCTTTAACTGTATACGTTTCATCAGGTGACAAATCCTTGACAGATTCTCGATGTTTAATATAAACCAGAGGATCAACCAATCTCTTTTCGTATGCCTCATTTGTAATAATTTCAGATACTTTGGTTGATGTTGTTACAGACGATGTTTCAGTTTTTTGTTGCACGTTTTTGTCTACTATACCTCTTTTGAACACTTCCTTAACAGAAATATTATTATCATTTTCACTTAACCGCGATAATGATTCCGTTGTACTTTGTTTTCCTGTTTGATTTGATGAAAATGAGATATCCGGTGATTTCTCTTTTAATGAATCCTCATATTTTTTGTAGGTTGTTGAGTCTACAAGTCCTCTTTCATATGCAACTTCCATAGGAACATTCTCTCCAGTTTGTGGATCAACTACCATTGTGTCCTTTACAACTTTAATAATTTTAGAAGCTGCAACTAAAGGAGCCCCTACTACAGCAACGAGACCGACTTTAGCTGCATCAGCCAAGCTTATCTTGTTACCATGCTTATCATTGTATTCCCCAGAGTTTTTGTCAATTATTCCTTTTTCGAAAGCTTGCTCTAAGGATATTCTTTTTCCCGTATGGGTCTCTAAAACTTTTACAGTATTCCTAGGAACAACACCTCGATCTACTGCCTCTACAATGTTTTCAGATATTCCTGATGTAGTTGAAATAACTAATGCTGTCGCTGGATCAAAAATAACACCCGGTATTACCTGTACTGGTTCTAATGCTGTTAATTCTTCATTGACTACGCTTTGTGGTTCTACCTCCGATATTTCCATTTTATCGGGCATACCTGCCATCGAAGTAATTGTTATAACTTTATGAATAGATGCAGATGGCGTTAATTGCACAAATGATACAAATTTACGCTCAATTGCTTCTTTCATTGTTAAAGTTTCTGTTACATGTTTATACCGGCCCACTGAATCTAGAATATGTAATACGACTGCTTTGTACAACGGAAGTTCTTTTTTAGTTTTAGGGTCTACTATATTAGCCGATTCCGGATTTATAATGTTTAGTTTTAAAGTTTCTTCTAAGTTTAAAATTCTATCTGTACCAGGAATTATAAACATACCGGAAGAAGGATCAAAAAGGTTTTGTTGAATCGCGTCTTTAAGAGACCATCCGCCGCGAGGTAGTTCAATAGTGTTCTTTTTTATTGTTAGGGAAGTTACAGTGGGTTCTAAAGATGTGGATTTCGATGATACGGTTTTAATCTCATGTGTAATGTCCTGTCGCGGTCGATGAGCTTCCCTAAAAGTGTAATCTGGGCTTTTAACAGTTTCAGGCTTGGTATCTTTTTGCAACTTACTTTCAGGACTTGGAGGTAGATCTTTAATAAAAGATTTCTTTGTAATTTTTAGCTCAACAACTTGACCAGGCACTAAGTCTTTTTTACTTACTTTATCAGACAGGCGAGCAACTCGAGGCTCATTTTTATCTACGCCTAACAAACCTTCGTCCAGCGCTTGTTGAATCGGAAACACTGTTCCGGTTGTAGGATCTGTAAACGTTTGAGTAGTTTCATCAATAAGACCACGTTGAATGGCCTCAGCAAATGTAATGATAGTTTCTGATCGATGAGATGAATTTGTATTTGTCACTGTAACGTATCGTTTGACAGTCTTTGTTACAGTCTGTAAAGTTAGAGTAATGTTTAAGAGAGAATTTAATAAAGCGGCACCCTCAGGCGTTATCATGTTTATTTCTACAGCTTTATTAAATGGGATAGGTTTTTTAGTCGTTAAGTCAAGTAAATGACCAGTTTTAGGATCTAATATATTTTTAAACACCGCGTCTAATACAGATAGTTCTTTGTCATTTTCAAAAATACCTATCTTTCGGTTAAACATCTCTAAAACTTCAGGACGTACTATGGAAACTTTAGTGCAATCTTCAAGATAAACGAAATCTCCACTTTCTGATTTGAGGAAAGTTTCGCCTTTAACATACTTCAAATAACCTTTGCTTAATGCATTATTAAAAGAAACAAATTCACCAGTTTTTGGATCCCTAAATCCATCAATGTCAAAGATAGATCTTTGAGAAACGGATGTGATTAAGCCGCGATCGACTGCTTCGGGTATTGTGCAAAGTTCACCCGTTAAATTGTCACGGAATTTGTTATCAGGTAATATAATACGCGCTCCTAAAGCTTCAGATAAACTCAATAGCTGACCAGTGGTAGTATCAGTAATACATTTTACATTATCGCTGTCAAGAACACCTGTTGAAATGGCCTCTAAAATATTGAGGGGTATTTTTTTAGTTGGTGAAAGGATCTTGCCATCGTTCGTCATTAAATTACTATCACAAACATCTTTAAGGGTCATGGGCTTACTGATATAACGTTTACTCGCTGCATCTTTGAAGGTTAATTTTTCTTTTGTAATATTATGTACATACTTAGAGTGCTTTGTATTAATAATATTTCTATCTATAGCTTCAGCAAGCGTTATTTTGGTGTCATTTTTGGGATCAACGACTTCTCTTAAATCGGTATTGATTAGTTCATTTTTAATTGCAACATCTAATTGGAATCTGTCGCCCGAATTTCTGTCCAATATCCAACCATTGTTGTCTACTAGATCCTGACTAATAGCATCGGAAAGAGACAAAGCGCTTGATTTTATTTTAATTATTTCTTTGTAAATAAGATAACCTCGTTGATAAGCTTCAGCAATAGTGATATAGCTGCCGTTCGGAAGCCTATAGAGACCTCTTTGTAAGTCGACCTGACCACGATTTAATGCGTCTGAAATACTCATTCCTTGTGTGCTGAATTTCTCGCCTTCGACAGTTACCTTTATTCTTTTTTCCGCTGGATCTGTCAATCCTTGTTCAGCATCATAAAGCTCCCTTTGGATTGCTTCTAAAAGCGTTACTTCATTACCATCTTCCGTCATTCCACATGGTCCTGTTAACCTTGCAGCAAGTTTTGGATCGATTAGACCTTCTTTCGCTGCCTGTTCTATTGTCATGGTGTGTCTCGTCTCGGGAGAGGATAGAAGTCGTCCCGTTCGAACGTCGAGTATTCTCATACTTATTGCTTGACCAACTGTTAAAATTTCTCTTGTTTCCGGGTGAATTATACCTCGGGACTCTATTATATTTGGTCCTTCGTACATTTTATGTACTCGTTTGAGCTTTCTTACATCAGGTCTGTCTTCTTCTGTGATAACTGTTTTAGTGGCGTAAGAAGGCGAGCTTATTTTTCCATTGGCCATTGTTTTTTGTACTTGACCGTCTAGTTCCGTTGAATGTGAAGTCCTCATATATCTGTTTTAAGTAAACACTTTAATTATAAAACGTAAAATAAAAATGTGACTAATTATTGGAGTTTTCTTTTAATAAAATACGTAAGCTGTTGTTTATATAATTTTAAATTCGGTTTGATAACTTACTTCTCTGAAGTGTAAGTAGAGTATGTATGCTCAGTAGTCGCAACATCCTGCATATTGAATTCTTGGCGGAAAGTTCTTGCCGATCGGGGTGCCATCGCCTCCACCAGCCGCTGTAAATAAATTCATAGGAAACATTTATATATATAAAAGTCACTGTAAAAAATATCCTACTATATAGTAAGATAATTATTTCTCCTTTTAAAAAAAATTAAGAGACGATTGAACTTGCAGTCCACCTGATGGTGAGTGTGGCTACTGCAGTCCATGGACACCCGTACACAATTTCAAACAAATAAAACTAAAGATGCGTTGTTACCTCTGAGGAATAAGTTCGAATACCTCACAGCCTGCAATTACACTTATAACTTTTCTGTTGACTTATGCATTAAACTACGTTATCTATACACGAGCATCACTTAAAAGAAGTAAATTAAATTAAAAGAGGTAAATTTAAAACCTTAACTTAAATTAATTTCATTTATGTGGTAGAGACGTATACGTGGTAGAGCCATGCTGCAATAATATTATTGCAATAAAAATATTAGTAGTATAGTTGTAGCACGAATGGGTCGGCTCGACCGGGGAAGGACCACGCTCTCACAGAATACCTGGGTGCTAGAACCACGATATAGCTGTAGCATGTCTCTACCACGTATACATCTGCATTTAAAGTAAATCTTCTGTGGCATGACGGTAGGTATTACTACTTGAACAGTGATAGAGAAACGGGATAACATTCTTACGCAATAGTTTGTATATTGAATTATTTCCATCAGCCAGTTTGCGTGTGGTTGTTCTTTTGATCATAAGTTAACATTTTTATGTTTATCACTTCGTAATAGTTCACTGTAAGATACAAGGGTTTGTCTTAATCGCCCATACATGGCGGGTGGATTGACGAATGCACTAAGCGCCGTAAAAGTCCTCATACAAGTGACCGCAACTAAGATTCTTAGAGAATATTTTGCAACCAATATGTAATACAATACGATATTTAAACATTAATTAATACTTTTTCTTCTCTTTGTGAATTATTGCCGTTCTTTATTTAATAAGGAATGTTAAAAAAACGATTAAAAAAGATTATACCCGATATCGTGGATTTGTGGAGTATTTTACATACGGTAAAGTACCGTATGTAAAATGCTCCACAAATCCACGAGCGAGGGTGCTTCGTTCAGCGTTAGAAAAAAATTCTAAGGGATTAAGCCTATCTAGAAATACTTGTAAAGTAAAACATTATCTAAGAAAACATTATATAATAACCGAGACCAGTTACATACTATAATATGTATATTTTCTAAATTTAATTATTCAATAAAAGTTATAATTAAATTTGATTGTATATGGATGTAATCAAACATTTTTCGACAAAGCTTGTAGTCCGCATAGCGCCATAAAAATGTACCTACGTTACTGGTTACCTATATTACTATAATTATGTAATAATTTACTTTCGTCCAGTGGTGAGACTGTGTTGGCTAGAATACGTTGCTAAGAAAAAATTAAAAAGCCTGGCCACTGCAGGATTCGAATCACGCACTCGGTCGTGGTAGCTTTACTTTTTAGCCATTAGGCTGTTGAGACGTTTATCTCTATGGTAAAATGATGCATAGTAAGCTGGGAAGTCAAGTTTATTACTTGACTTGATTCGGAGAAAATGAATTTTAATAAAAACGAGACTTAGCTAGATCGAGAGTCCGCCGTGCTGCATTAATTTAGGTAGGTACCTAAATATGTCGTAGGAAAATGAGGATACCAGGGATTTTACGAAATCTCTAGGGATACACGGAAGATGTCGAATATTCTAGTTTATTACGTCATCTCACTAAAAGTTTTTAGTGATATATCGTTTCACCTATCTAAATCTAGTAAAATGAGAAGTGTTGTGTGAATGGACTTAACATACCTAACCTAACCTAAATAATCCACAGAAATAGGTTAAAAGGGACATGACATGAGCGTGACAAATGAATAGCTCAAATCTTATTCTCTAGGGTCCGCTCTTTTGACATACATCTTCCGCGATTTCGTGGTATCCCTAGGGATTTCGTGAAATCCCCGGTATCCTTATTTTCCTGCGACATATATGTTTTGGCAAACTTTACGTGTTTACGAAATATTCATCATCGAAATACTAAAAGCGTAAATCACTAAAGTCAGTTCCCATTAGACCTGCTAAAATAAGCATTAAAAATAAGTGGAGTGATTCCGGATTTAGATGTGAGAACTAACAAAAAAGAGAAAGTAGCAAGATGCACAGATACTTGAATAATATATATATATATATACACCATATTTATTCAGGTAAATCTGAATCTTGCTTTAAAGAACACTCGATGGTGGTAGCGGTTAAAATTTTGAACGAATTGGCATATAGTGAGCTGGGCGGAGACAGGTTTTCTTGCCTGTAGTAATTCAGATTTATAAATCACGTTTAACAATTATATAAATGATTACGAAAATACTCGAAACATTACAAGTTTAAAAGTTACCTGCGGCAGCAATAACAGTCGACAACAAATTATGTATTAATAAGGATAAAGTATCTTGGGCTAAAAAGTCGTCAGCGGTCCGGTTTATATTTTTGATTGAAATGAGTTTACATCTTTTTATTTGTATTTGTTAAGTTAAGCTTAAAATGTTTGTATTGGGAGTGGTTCACTACGGTAGTCGAATTCGAACCCACGATATTCAAATTTATGTTTCGCACCTACCATTACTACGCTCTTCTTTCTTCGCTTGATCTTTTGTAATGGTTAACGTAAATAGTTTACTTAAGCCTTGATCAGGCAACTTGAAACTACGCCTTTTATTTTGACGAATTAATCAACATTATATTAATTTGAAGTCCTTACACTGAACACTACGGAATTCAATCGCGGGCTTTACCTACGAAGCTTGAAGTCTATTATTTTAAAGTCTATGTCTCCGTTTGAAACGCCATAGTATTTTTTCAAATTGGTTATTTGCGTAGTTACGTCATGTGGACTAAAGGTATCTCGTTTGTATTTTTCTTGTTTGTAACAATAACACTAACTTGTATTAAAAATCAAACAATTTTTTTAATGTAGGTAACCTTAGAGCCTCATAAGTTACTGCGTAGTACCTACATGGATATAAATTCTAAATCAAGCGTTGGTTTGTGTGATTTGTTTGATGTATATATAAAAATCAATTAAGTATTTTGTAAATTTAAAAATCATGTTCACATTAATAGAGACCACGCATTTTTATAACAAATAATTATTATCACCAAAGAATATTACTACGTATACGTACGTATATATTACTACGTATATATTTCGTACATAGTAGGTATATATTACTACGTACATCACTATCACCAATACAGCTATTCCAAGACTATTGCCGAACCAAACTATTCCAAGAATTCGTTAACTGCCATATATTAATTCAATACTGTATTTTGATTATGGAGGAGTTACCCACCACACTGGGTGAGAAAGGTATTGAACTTATTGATCTATAAGTACAGATATGATATCTTCATATCATATGTACATTACCAGTCAGTAAATTTTGAGCAAGCGTTTTTGGATGGAATTTAAGCCAACAGTTGGTTACTATAGACTACCGTCGATCAGGAACGCGTACCTCCTAAAGGATGATATACATAAACGAGCATTCTTTGTTGAAGGTGAGAATTTTATAGGGAAATTTAAAATATTTACCTTAAGGCATACAATATAACAATTGCCCTGTTGCATTCCGTCAAATAAAAAAATTGTTATTTTTTAATATTTCACAGAAATAATCTTTTCAATTTTTATTATTATCCGTAATATGTAGTGTAAATATAATATAATGACTAATAACATTAAACATATTGAAGTAGGTACTAGGCATTTGTCGTAATTGCTTGATAAAAAATAAAAAAGTCATCCAGTTAAAATTATTTAAATAATAAAAATAATAATATATACCCACCCGGCACTCGTATGCGAAGTCATAATCGTAGTCTTCCATTGTACACACTAAAGTTCACAACACAACACACAACACTAAAATATTAACATCGTCCACTTAACAATAACATCGTTTATATTTATAGAGTTAATCATAGTTAACAAACATTCAATGAACCATTTTGTGTAAAATGTAACCTAAGATAATATTCATAAAATTATTTAGAAAAAATCTACAGTATAAAATAATATACGTTAATTGCCAAAAAGGAACGGACTTTACGCCGTCCGTACTAGCTGAAAACTGAATGAACGCGAGAAAACCGTAAATCGAAATTAAAAAAAAATACCGGCGATGCTAAATTTAAAATTATTTCGTAACAGCTTCCACCGCGTCTAGACGTCCCATGTGTTGGTTTTGTCGTTTATTATTTAATCGTTTATTACGCGTTCCTGACTATATGCGTCGAAAAACAGCTGTTTTAGAGGTAGATTGTTTTGAGGTTATGAAAATGACTGGCTTATTCGATACTTGTATTGCTGGGTTTGCGAGATGCGCGCGCAGCTGGATGCGCCGTTGCGGTGTCCGATCTAACACTTCGGCTTACTTTGGGTAAAAATGACGTTGTCGGCCCCTTTTTTGTGCCACTGCCAGAAAATTTCGGTGATGTAAGCTTTTAACTTAAAAGCTTAATGTATGAGTCAGTGGCGGAACTAAGTAAGCATGTTTTCATTGCAAATAGAAATTCAGACCGACGTTTTTAATACATTGGATTATAAATGAACAATGACGAGTATTTCGGTCTATAGTGTTTGCATGCTATACTAACAAAACTAAAAACAAAACAAGTGGTGATTTCTTAAAAAGAAAATGAATCGCAACCTATGAAAGACAAGGACAACTAAATACTAAGTACAGCAGTTTTGCACGCAACGTATGTCCGCTATTAATTACTGCAGAATTTATAATCAATTAATCGAACACATATTAATTACTTAAAACAAATAAGAGATACATAGGTAGGATATTAATTAATTAAAAATATTGGTATTTTAAAATTAAAATATCAAATATGATACACCGCTATAATTTAACGATTTACTGTTTATAAAGACAGATTTGAAATTTTTGTCTTATAGTAATTTAGAATTAAAATTTTGTCTATTTAATTAACGTATCT